AAACATTTCCCATCTATCTTCCCTCTCTCTCTCTCTCTCTCTCTCTCGTTTCCACAAGGACCTTTTCCAGCTGGTTTTCCGTGAATGAAAACGGGAAAAAGGTTTGAGGCTGTTCGAGGCTAGACATTCAAATGCAGTTCGACTAAGAGTCAACAATTGACAGTTATGAAAACAGATAACGATGATCGGTCTGACAATTTAGAGGATGATGATGATGTTAGGGTTCTCAAGGGATAACAGTTGTTGTTGGCACACTTTAAGGACGACCCGAAGCGATTTTGTAAGGAAAGAAAACAAGAAAAAGGCTCGCTAATTTGGGTAAATCAAAATATGTGATTGATTTTAGAGTAATGAATAATTTAGTAAAACTGAAAAATGGATATCATATTGGCGTTTACAAATTATACGTAAATTTAAAGATCTTTCTTAGAAACCTAATAACAAATAGTGAGGCCTGAAATTAATGACCTGCATTAAGGCCAAATGAAGCCCTTTCTATTTCAACAATTTCTTTAACAACAACCAGGGATCGCACTTTCGCCTTCGAAGACTGTTTTTTCAAAGGGGGAATATCTTCCCACACAAAACCCAGACACTTGACTTAAGCCACCGCCCAACAAAGTTCTACCCCTTGAAAAATAGAAGGGGAAAATGGGGCTTAGACCGCTGTACATGCATTCTGGGGACGAGGAGGAAATTTGACATTTCCCCGGCACTCAGATGTCACATAAAGTGTTAAACGAAATGAGGCAGAGGCGGCCGCAGAACAGAGAGCACTTGAGATTTCGATTCCGAGAGTCCGATGTTGTGGCGACCCCAAATGTGCATCACTCTGCACCACCGAGCGGCACCACCACCACATTCCGTACATTATAGCACCGCCACCACCACTCTGAAAAGTATTTATGCTGTCATTACTTTTCGGTTCGGTTTCGAATCGAATTGGTTTCGGGTTCTTTTGTTTTTCGGGGCCGCGCAAAGTTTACTGCTAATTAAAAATTGTGGAAAAACGAGAAACATGCATGCAATTCAATACGAACGAGTGTGAGAAGCGGTGACCCATCTGGAGAGCCCCTCAGGATCTAAGATCTAATGTTTACAGCAACCCCTCGGAAAGGATTGCCTTTCCCAGAGTCCTTCTCTCGCTTTCCTCCATCCGCTGATTGTGGAGGGAAATTAATTGATTCCTCCAGTCAATAACGTCAACGCGGAACCACCAAAAGTACTTACTTAACTTTATTTCATGTGGGTACCAGCAGCGATGGGTGAGAATCCCGAGTTGTGGAAATAAAAGTGAGAGAAGGAATCGGAAAATGATCGACAAATCCAATTTAAATGAAGAACTTGCAGTGGGAGTTGCCTTCGAGAGCCTGGGAACAGAATCCTTGAGTGCAAATGCGGGACGCGGTAATTGAAGGTACTCTCCGTTAAATCCGGATATATTTCGAATAGGATGTGTGCCAATTAAGCGGTAAATGAGGGCAACTCCTGGGGGAACAGGAGGTGCTGGAAATTTCAGTCCCTACCAAGGAAAATTATAAAACATCTGCATATGCATGTAACTTTTAACTCCCCAGTTTTTTCAACTTCCAAGTTTTCCAACAAGAATCCTAATTCTGGAAGCCCTCAACCCATTACTTTGCTAATTTTAGTGCGATTCCAAAGTGGCCTACCTCTTAATGTTTGTAATCGCATCCCTGAATAAACTGCATTCAAACTTTTTCATTTTTAGATGGTCGATATTTTGTCCCCTGTTCATGACAGATTTTTCCAACAGAAGATCTAATTCTTCAATATGTATTTTTATTCGTAGGAAAATAAATAAATAGTATTTGAGGTCACATTAAAAAATACATTTTTACCAATGGGATTTTCCCACCTCCCAGTTTTCCCCCTCTCAGTTTTCCCAGGGGCTTTTCCGCCAATCGAGTAAGCGCAACAGGTGCAGCAGAATGACGACCAATGTGCGCACCTTTCTCGCTTTTCATTAAACACCCACGTCGCCTCACACAGATACGCAATACATCCAAAGGCAGACCGCCACACAATCACACGCACGTTGAACGGCAACTAATTAACATACAAAATGAATGAAACAAAACAACAAAAAAGCGGCCTCTCCCTCGATATCCCTCACTCGTTCGCTCTTCTTGGCTCACTCTTTCCCTCTCACGAGAATTTATTTCAAGTGAGAAAATTATGAAGCTCCACCTATTTTACACTTACACACACACGCGGCGGGTGTGCGAGTGTGTGGGGGTGTGCGAGGGAGAGGGGGAACACATGTTAACCGCATTAAAAATTAATGTACAAATTGTTTATTATGCTGTTGAGACTGTTTTTTGTTTTTGCTCTTTTTCAAAGAGTATTTGTCAGTGAGTAGATTTTTGGAAAACAGTTGAGGTTTTTCCTTGTGTGTGTGTGCGTTAGTTTGCCGACAGAAGGGAAATAACCGAAAACCTTCCCTCATTAATTGAAATTAATAAAACCAAATTCCAAGCATTTGAGATTCATCAATAAAATAAAATGTATCTTAAAGATAAGCTTTCAAAATACGATCTGAGGCGCAATCTTGTTGCTGTGCTCACAAATGTTTCTAGATAACGTTTGACTTTCTTTGAAAAAAACCCCTACACAAAGTAACAGGCCGGATGAAAAGTCCCCGGTCTGACCCATACTAGATTTTACTAGATTTTTTTTCCATATGATTTTCATTCAGTACCAACCTTCAAACGATACGTGTCAAAATTTGACAGCAATCGGACAATTAGTTCGGGAGTTATATCGATTTGAGTGAAGCTACTTTTGTTATTGTTGAAAAGATGGAAAAAAAAGAATTTCGTGTGTTAATAAAGTATTGCTTTTTGAAAGGAAAAAATACAGTTGAAGCCAAAGTGTGGCTTGATAAAGAGTTTCCGGGGTCTGCACCAGGAAAATCAACCATCATTGATTGGTATGCTAAGTTTAAACGTGGTGAAATGAGCACTGAAGACGGTGAACGCAGTGGACGCCCAAAAGAGGCTGTTACCGACGAAAACATCAAAAAAATCCATAGAATGATTTTGAATGACCGTAAAATGAAGTTGAGCGAGATAGCAGACATTGTAAAGATATCAAAGGAACGTGTACATCATATCATTCGCGAATATTTGGGCATGCGAAAGCTCTGTGCAAAGTGGGTGCCGCGCGAGCTCACAATCGATCAAAAACAACAACGAGTTGATGATTCGGAGCAGTGTTTGGAGATGTTTAAGCGCAATAAAGCCGAATTTTTCCGTCGATATGTGACAATGGATGAAACATGGCTCCATCACTACACTCCAGAGTCCAATCGTCAATCATCTGAATGGACAGCAAGCGACGAACCCAATCCAAAGCGTGGAAAAACGCAACAGTCGGCTGGAAAGGTTATGGCGTCTGTTTTTTGGGATGCGCATGGAATAATATTCATCGACTATCTCCAGAAGGGACAGACAATCAACAGCGACTATTACATTGCTTTATTGGAGCGGTTGAAAGCCGAAATCGCAAAGAAACGGCCGCATTTGAAGAGGAAAAAAGTGCTGTTCCACCAAGACAATGCACCATGTCACAAGTCTGGAAAAACGATGGCTAAAATTTATGAATTGGGCTACGAATTGCTTCCTCATCCACCGTATTCTCCAGATCTGGCCCCCAGCGACTATTTCCTGTTTGCGGACCTTAAAAGAATGCTCGCTGGCAAGAAATTTAAGACCGATGATGAAGTGATTGCTGAAACTGAGGCCTATTTTGAGGATAAACCGAAAGAGTACTACAAAAGTGGCATCGAAAAGTTGGAAAATCGCTATAATCGCTGTATCGCCCTCGAAGGCAACTATGTTGAATAATAAAATTGAATTTTGCAAAAAAAAAATTTTTTACTATGGTAAACCGGGGACTTTTCATCCGACCTGTTATCACGAGGGACCGCACAACTTGTTGATGGAGCCACGAAAATTCGGAATTCTTCCAGTCTTTGGGATCTTTGCTCTTCTTTCGTTTGTAGACGTGTCCATTGATGGACATTCTCAAGAACTCGCCCATCAGCAAACGATGTCATTGATGTGTCCCAATCGCAGAACGATTTCGGTACTTCTTCCTCGAAAATCCCATCAGAATATTTTGCAATCGCAAGTGCAAATGAGACTGTCTGTTAACGCAGCGATATGGTCAGAATAAGTTAAGGGATTCCCTGGAAAAAAAATCCCTTCATCTTGCACCGCTAAAATTCCCCTGAAGAAAAACTATGAAAAGCTTTTTTGCGTGGGTGATTAATCATACAACTGCCACACAAGGGATATATTGTAGGTAGTTTTTTCTTAATTTTAAGATGCTATTATATTAAAGCCCTTTTCAGCCCAAGTATGATATTTCTTAATGATATAACTGTTTAATAAAATGTCTGTAATGTTATGGCCAAATAAAACGGAATTAAAATTTCATTGTTAGCGAAAAACCTAAGGGAGAGACTTATAATTCGCTTGGTCAATAAACTAAGAATACGAGCAAATGGTAATATAGTCAAATCCCATACACAAAACCCGTATAACCGCCATATGTTTACGAGAAAGTCCCGCAACGGGGGGAGAACACCCTTACGTAGTGCTTACGTTTTTGAACGTACGAGAGGAGCGGCACCAGTGCCGCTTAACATTTACGATATGGGGATAACAGACCGATGTTATGTTAAGGAGAGAGCTCTGAAGTTGGAGAGCTGTAGTACCAACACCAACACCACCACCACCATCACCACCACCCCACACCGAAGCACCAACACACACCCCACTTCGTGTCCATTTCACCTCGTATATCGCAACGGTGAACCGTTACACCGTTATATTATGCTGGTGGTGGCTGCTCACACACACACACCCTCGCAGCGCTCTCTCGCTCTCTCCGGCTAGCTGCGTCCTCTTCGCTCTCCGTAGACCCGTAGAGCCCGTAGAACCCCGTGGAACCCGAAATGCTCAGTTCGCATCCGACGGATACGAGGACGTCGGACGATGCTGCGAAAGTCGGAACGCTGAGTTCTGGCTCTAGATTCTGAATTCAGTTGCGTTATACGTCGCGACGGCAGCACACGCGTCGCTCCCCCACAGAGAAAGTCTGGGAAGTGTTCAGTCGAGTCCCGCAGAGAACGCATATAGCACAGAGATCTGAGGCATCAGCCGAGCCGAGGAATAAAAACAAACGCGACACTCGCAGCGCTAAACAGAAAAAGTGTTACCCATGTTCCAAAGATAAAAACCCAAGGCCCTTGCCCAAATGGCCGTCACACGTGTGTGCTCTATAAGAAATACGTAGCTAAACCCAGAAGAACCCACGCAAGTCCAAGCCAAAACCCAAAACCTCACAGAAAACTATCCGAAAGGCGAGGCAAAGTGTTACAACAAGCATTCCAAATGTTGTCCTGTCTGGCGCCGTCGTCTTCACGTTTCGGCCAAGAGGATACCATCATTCAGCAGAGCATGCCATCCACCGCCTTCACCATGCAGTGTAAGTGATCCCCGGTCGACCCGACCAGACCAGACAGATCTTCCCGTGACTCACCGGAACCACTCGGTTCATTATCAGCTAGGCGGATGCAATTGAACTCGGTTCAGTCTGGGTGGTGGTGTGTGTGTGTGAGTGCCCCATTGATTTGCGCGCCAAGACGCGGGAACCCCGATTCAAGATCCCAGATTCGAGATCCAAGTGCAAGCTTAGCAGTTTCCCAGAAAGTCGGCCATCTTGAGCGCGTTCGGTATGTGTGGTCCTACCTCAGGGGAACAAAAAGAAAAGAAACTGTAGAAAAACAAAAACGTAAAAAACGAGTAAGGATCGCAGCAGGTCTCGAATTACAAACTCCTACGCGGTGAACGAGCTCCGATTCTCGAAAGGAGAGCGGACCCAACAAAGTTTGCCCGATCAGCACTCCGAAAAAATGTGACCACCTCGGTAGTAACTGATATTAAATGTCAACTGTTTACTCAGATTTAGATTGAATACAATATATTAGGGTCTTTAAAATAAAAATACACCCCTAGAGTCATTTGTTTATTTGCATTAAAAAAACTGATACAGGTTATTCCCAACCTTATTACGTTCTACAGACTTATAAGTCAACCAATCGATCTTGGGTAATAGCGCAGTATTTTCCCTGCATTCTATACGTGGCCACCTCTCCTTTCCTCCTATTTGCCAACCAATTGCAGCCACATCTCAATTTGATTTGTTGGCACCGCCGAAACAGCACCGCCGCCTTGGCCGTAATCTCCACCCACTCGAGCAGACAGGTAGCTACCCCTAACGCGTAAAACCGCATGCGCAGGCGAGCAGGTAGCAGGTATTCTAGCCACCTTCGGGGGTCTCACCTCCATTGAGGAACCTGTTTGTGGCCATATTGCTGGTCAGCACTCAAAACAGTGTTTATCGAGTGTAAACAAAGCATAAAACTGTCAGTGGGCAGAGCTCATCGGTTTAAATGGAAGGTGCGAAAGACTAGAAATTAATTGAAAGTGGAAAGTGGGGAAAAATACTGGGGGATTGGGGATTGGGATGGCGCAAGATTTTGGAGGGGGGAACGCCCACGTCTGCCGCGGAACGCTCCACTCTCCGACTGACAATTGATAAGCCAGCTAAAGAGACGGATTAATTGCACATGTTCGGCAGGAGCGGAGGCAACACCGCAGCCATAAATTATAATTTATGGCTATTTAAGCAGCTCTGCCGCTGCCGCTGCCTCTGTGGGCGGAACTAAAAGCCCTCGAACAAGATAGTTCGGCTAATCGATCAGACGCTCGAGGAGCACAGGTTGGCCCACATACTTCGCAGATACAAATGTATCTATATAGCCCGGGTTGTGCTTCTTTTCCCTGGCCAACTTTTGATGGCGCTGGGCAGCTGCGACTGCGATGGATATTAATCGCCGGCTACATACGAAATTCTGTTCTCTCGGCTTTTTGGAAAAGCAGGGAAAACGCCGGGCAACTTGTACCAATTTCCCGGCTGCTCGGCGTGTGTTGTGTCGCGTTTCGAAACGGCTCCAAAACGCCATAAATCAAACATTTCGCCCTGGCGAAAACCTGTCGCCCGTTATCACCTACGGTTACGCCCCCTTATAGTCGTATGTGTTTCGGATGTATTTATCTTTAGACTCGCGGCCACTAAATCAGCGCTAATTTCCACCCATCAGAGCTGTTTAGAATTTAATTTCGCCTGGCACTATCTATCTATCTATCTGACTTTCGCATCTTGATTGGAGTCCTTGGGATGTGTGCTATTCCCCTGGAACAGGAACAGGATTTCCCCTGGCTAATTAATCATTTTGGGCCCTGTCAGTGGATGTCAGTTTTATATGCTGGTGCTGTCGGTGCTGCCATTTATAACTCCTGGCTCATCCTGCACCTCTCACCGCCGACAGGACTTTCCCTGCGCCAGCTGGTAATCGAAATTAAACAAACTTGGCCCCAAACTATCTGGCAACTGGCATGCAAAGATGATTAATTTCGGCCGATGCCTATCTCAAGTGGAGTTGCCTGGTTTTCCCCAAAAATAAACACGTTTCGCTCGGACTTCGCCTTTAAATTGCAATCGAGAAACCGGGGAAAAAAAAGATTTGCCTCGGCAAACACAAAAAGACAATAAATCAATGAGGGGAAAGTCCTCTTTGATATCCTGCTGCAGATTCCCTTTATTCCATGTTCAACCTGCCGCAGCTTTGGGCAAATTATTTGCCACATTCTACTTTTATTTCGCATTTTGCCCAAAAAGTAAATTGTTTGCCAATATTTTTTGCTGCTCGCTTTTTGCTGCTGCTGCTGGTGCTGTGTGCACACAATTGAAACAAAGATAACTTTGAAACAGTTGTAAAGTGAAAATTGCACGGAATGCGCCCGCCTCCTTGTGAATATTTTTTATTTTCTTATTTATTTAATGCCCGCCGCGCACCACGAGACAACAATTCCCGTGCTACCCCCGAAAAAAGTGCCAAAAAATCGGCGCAAACAAAGGGGTGCAGCCAGCCCCCTAAACCCCCCTCCATTGCCAGAAAAAAGGTGTTGCCAAAGGGCAGGCAAATGCAGCGCCAAAAAGGAGGCTCTAAAAAGCGGACTGGGCCTCAGCAGGCACAATTTAACATGTAAACGATTTTGGTTAACGGGTAACGAAAAGCGGCATTGGGAAAAACTGGAAGCTGGAGTGAAAAGCCAGGGAAAAGGGCCAACGAGGCACTGCCACTTCCCCTCTGATTGGCGTTCAATTGCAATAAATTTCGCACAATTGCACAATAATTGTTAAAAGTTTTAAATAAACAAAAATAGTCAACAGCTCTATTGTGGTGGCGGCAGCAGAAAAAGTTTCAATTGCATTCGATGGGCTTTATTTCGGACTTTTTCACCGAGCCCTTCGACGATGGAGTGCAAAATTTATACCGAACACAGGGCGAAGTGAATATCAATTAGCCGAGTTAAGCTTAACTTTGGTTATATATTCTGAATTAATGAAGTAGTTTCGGTTGAAATTGTAACTGTAATATTTGGATTTTTTAAAACTAAGGTATTAATTACGAGCATTGCTGATTAAAATTCCACGAAAATAATAAAAACACTTCCGCAGAAAAAGTTTTCAAAATTGTTCCATCAGTGAGACATTTTTTATGGTTTTTGGAAAATTACGCTATTAAATTAATTTGTTTCCAAATAAGTTTCTTAAACTGTTTGTTGTAAAAGCATTTAAATAACGCCAAAGAAATAGAACGAAATTTAAATATCCATGGCTTTTTCCAAGAAAACAAATCGAAAATTTAATTGCAAGTATCGTGCGGATTGCTGGGCGTCTTTTCCGCATTTTCCCCACTTTGAACACCTCTCGGCATCGCGGCACCTCGGCATATTTCCCTAATTGCATTCTGCTCGCCAACGCATCGCATCGCAACTCCAATTTGAAACCGAAGAACGCCCACGAACCCGACATCACACGCGTTTCTGCATATTTTTTCAAGGTAAATTGCAGAAATAGTTTGCCGTTCCCCGGGACACATATGTTTTCCCTGCCCTCCAGATACACCTCCTATAGGCATATATGTATGTATATTGGGTAGGGAACAAAAGGACAGGGACAGGGACACGAACACGGACACGGCTCGCTTGGCTATTAAAATTTCACACTCAGCAAAGCAAAATGCTACAAATAAAATAAACGTGGCAGCAGCTTCAACTAGCAACTAGCAACCAGCAACCAGAAAGCAGCAACGTGCAGCATGCAACATGCAGCAGGCAGCACGCAGCATCAGCTTGCTGAACAAACAAATAAAGAAAAGGGCAGAAAGGAGAAGTCTATTTATAGGAAATCGTCTGGCTCCGAATCTGCACCTTTGCAGTTGCCACTTGAAGGGGCACCTTTGTGCCTATTCGGAAAGTGGAGAGTAGACCAGGGCAAAGGTGCTGCACAGCGAGAAACGGGGGATACCCTTCTTATTTATTTCCCTGTCATAACTCCTCTTTTGATTTGTATTCTAATTTTCAAAGTAGTTGTTTTACTAATTGTCCGCAGTGCAGGAGTCTCTAGGTAGGAAAGACCCCTGAAGAGCATTCCAAATTTAGAGCGATTATCGGGACAACTCCATATGCGGCTCATATGGAAACCGATTGCCACTTGAGATCGGACCCTGCGTAGAATTCCGAACTCCGAATGCCGAATTCGAGCGCGGCTTTCCAAAACATTTGCACGTCTGTAATGCGAGCGGTTGAAAACAATCGAGCCGAGCCCCAAGCCCAAAGCCCCAAGCCTTCCCACAGGTTTTCGCTTACAAATTAATTGCGACCGTCTGATAGTGTCGTTTTTCGTTTTCAACTGGCAATTAGCTAGCTCGCTACTAAGTGTTTTTGCACTCGCTCATTTGCAGCCAGTTCTCGATGGGAATTTACACCATAAATATGCTAACCACGTTCATTGACTGCAAATGAGTGCAGGCCCCGGAGGTCTGTTTATAATTAAGTGCTAAAATTTATGTTTATTTGCATTAAATATCATCGAGCGGACCCCACTCCCCCTCCCCCTCCCCCACCCCCTCGAATCGCCAGCAGGCGCCACCTGTCGTCCATTTGTCTGCAACTGCGTCAGCAATCGGCAAACAATTTTTCCGGCCCGAGGAATTTTCCTCACCTGACGGGCAGCGGCGAAAATTGTCGTGACAATCGGCTGTCAGTGAAATATTAAAAAACACTTTGGCCGCTGACAGGGGGAAAAACTGAGGAAAGTCAGGTGGAAAACATACGAAAGGCGCATAAATTATACGCTGAAAATGTAGAATTCTCGAGAGCGGGAAAGCGGCCAAAGATAAATAAATAAATTTGCATTAGCCGGGCTTAGTCGAAATATGTCTGGCCAATAAAAGTTGGCAATAAAAAAAGCACATAAAATTAGTGGGTGTATCTTGGTATTCTACTCTATGCTGCAGATACAAATGTATCTTTTCTCGGTTATTTTGCCATTGATTTACGCCGCCTGCCCATCCGCGTATTATTTATAATATTCGCCCCGCCCCTCCCCGCCGCCCACATCCGCCCTATTTCGAATTATTTTTTGGGTGCGCGTGTTTTCCACCGCACAGGTGAACCGAAGGCAGAAACAACAGCAAACACTTGACATCGTTCCAGAAGATTTCCCCCGGCAGCTGGCTGCAATTCCAACTAGTCGAGATTTTGATCGCTGGCAGTTGGTTTGTTTTTAGCGAACGTGTGGTCATCCATAAATCCGAAAATTATAGTGGCCCAATCAACATTTTGGCAACTGAGTAGGAGATTTCATAAGGTCTATATTTTTTAACTTTCAGGGAACATTTCAATTTGTATTTATTGTGTGCTTAGAGGAGAACTTCATTTTACGTCTTTCAGATCAGTATTTCTCGTGAAATTTTCAAGGCTTTCAAGCCAATATTTGCAGCTCCTAGCCAATTTATTTCATAGATTAAAAATACCTTCTCCTTTGAACAATTCAAGTGTGTCCCCCGATTCTTGCGCCCCACACCTAACACACTATCAATCAACTTCAATTGGTTCGCGTTAAGCGCAAAATAGTTGAAAGCCCGCGGGAGAACTGAAATGGACAGAACCGAACTGAACCGAACTGAAAGATGAGACCAAACCTATAAAAACACACAAAAAACGCTCGAGTTGCGCCGAACCAAATACAAGAAATTCCTTTTCATTTCATTTGGTTTCGTTTCGTTTCGGCTGCGCATAAATTGAAATTAATTTGCGGGACACTTTCAATATTTCAATACCGTTACGGCGGCCGAATGAAATAAAAGTGTAAAAGCGATTGCGTTAATAATTCCTCACTCGAGTCGAGTCCACTCGAGTCGGCTATGAAGAATTGATTGGGCTAAATGAGCTGGTGACACACTTGTTGCGCTTCACGTTTTTCCCCACGAGCGGAGCGTTTTCCTTTGGAGCACATTATGTTGATGAAACAAAACGAAGGGCTATAAAAAAGTGTTGTCGTTTTACAACTTTCAATAAAAACGTCATTAGGCAGGCCGGGCGAAATAAATTCTCGGACTCGAAATTATGAACTCTGCGAGCTGTTAACCGAACATATAACATATAGATATAGATATAGCCACGTATCTACGTGTGCCAGCTGTCGTCCTATAATGGCTTTTAATGGCTTCTTAAGTGATAAGGTGGGAGGAATCGCCTTCGCCTTCGCCTGTAATTCCCTTCTGATCGGAGCCCGCATCGAAATCAATTAAGATTGCAACTATCGAAAGTGAAAACGTGCAATGAACTTTCGTAGATTGCGCTTGATTGAACCGACAGCCCTCAGATACAGTTACAGATACAGATACAAATACTTGTGGCAGAAAGGTGGCAGTGAAACAGGGTTCATTCATTCCACGCCCGTATGCGAGTATCTAAGTATCTGGGTATCTGGGCATCTGAGTATCTTCTGTCTTCGTCTGCCGCCAGTTAATTGGCTTAAATTAAGGTAGCGATCGAATGGCAGCGAGAACAAAGACTCGCTTTGTTGGGCACTCGGCAAGAAAAACAAGCAGAAAGCCGCGAACAGAAACTCCATTTTGTGAGTGGTCGAGTTCCACCTTCTCAGATACAGATACAAAGTTTCAGAGCAGAAGCGAGAGCGAGAGGGCAGTCGAGTGACCCTCGGGGAACAAAGCAATCTTCTGGGGCCTCTTCCCTCTCTCTCTTCTCTCCATCGTCCGTCTCTTTCTTCCCCGCCATGGTTGAACGCTTTTTCCAACTGATTAAGTCAACTCTTCTCCCTCAAGTGTGCGTGTGTTCTTTAATTCTTCCACTTCTCCACTTCTGGTTCTCCAGTCTTCTGCGGGTTCTTCTTCTGTTCTTCTGTTTTCTTTTCCCCCAGATTCTCTGGCGGATCGAAAGAAACCATGAGATCATCGCCTCTCCGAATTTCAGCCTTGCGTGAAGGCCTGCGAAGTTGATTTGCCACGAAATTAAGTCGATCCACCAGTTCTTTCCAACAGAGAGCCCAAAATTCCAATCACAATTTTAAAGATGTCGTTTAGTTTTATCAGCTTCATTTCAAAATGAAAAGAAGGCACCCTAAAACAGAATTTCCTTCTGTTAGATCACATTTTAGATCTGATCAATATTATCTAAATCTATATTTGAATTTCATCATAAAACCCCAATGTTTCTCTGAGTGTTCTCGGCACCACACTCCATATTCCTCATTCGGCTTTCGAGTTCCCTTCCATATTTTATGGTTCTTAAACGATCTGGCAGTTAATTTGTTTTCTTTCCCCTCTTCTCCTCTCGCTCCACAGTTCCCTCGCTGGCCTCCACTTTGCTCCACCACAACCAGTCCCCGAAGCACAGCAATCCGGGATCCAGCGGGATCCAGGATGCCCACCCCAACCAGCCAGGTGCCGCCGCAGATGCCTTCCTGGTCAAGTGCACCCAGTGCCACAAGCGATTCCCGGAGTTTCAGGTGAGTGTATGGGTATTTACCACAAATCAAATTAGAAAAACCCCATAACTAAAAAACAATGCAATAAAATTGAAAGAATAACCTTTGAAAGACCCCTTATCAGTAGAAGTTCTTAAATGATTCTCCATTCCGGAATTTCAGAAACTTTTGTCGCTTTGTAAGAACGTGTTATTCCTAATGTTCTTCTTTAATTTATCAGTAAAATAAATGTTCCAAATTTTATGACACTTCATTCAGGAATTTCCATTTTTTTGGCTGATTACATAGCTCACACATTTTGCAACGCCTAAAAACATACATATTATACTTTGTGCGAAAGATAAGTGAGTTTTTGTTAATAAAGCTGAAATTACTCATCAATTTAAGTACAGTGTTTTGAGATTAGGAATACAAATAACCTTCATTTCATTTCAAAGATAATTCAAACTATAAATTCAAATAATAAATGTAATGGGTTTTCCTGATTTAATTCCAATTTAGTCCTTGAGCGAGCACGTCGCCAGTGAGCATCCCCACGACAAGCTGAACTGTGGAGCTGCCCAGCCGGAAAGCGACGCCGAGGACGAGCAGAGCAACCTGAGCGGCAGCAGCAGGCGGTACTCCAAGTCGCCGGGCACCACCTCCACCAACAACAACAACAACAGCAGCAGCAACACGAATGCCAGCCAGTCGAACAACAACAACAACAACAGCGAACTGGCCAAGAACCACAACAACACGAACGCGAACAAAATGTCGCCGCTGTGCTCGCCGGGATCGCTGACCCCCGGCGACCTGTTCGCCCAGCTGCCACACCCACCGCACCCGATGCCCGCCCACCTGCACGCCCAGCTGATGGCCGCCGCCGCCGCCTCGCTGGCCATGCAGTCCGCCCGGTCCGCCGGCTCGCCGAGCCAGCAGCAGCAGCTGCAGCAGCAACAACTGCAGCAGCAGCACCAGCAACTGCAGCAGCAGCAGCAGCAAATGCAGCAGCAGCAGATGGCGCTGCAGCTGCTGCCGCCGCAACTGCCAGGCAGCAACAGCAGCGTGGGCAGCAACTCCGCCTACGACCTCGACCTGAGTGCCCCGCGCTCCACCTCGAGTCCGGGCTCCACCACCGGGGAGCTGAGTGGCGCCTACCCCTGCATGCAGTGCACCGCCTCCTTCGCCTCCCGCGAGCAGCTCGAGCAGCACGAGCAGCTCCACTCGCCCTGCGGCCAGGCAGCGGTGCCCAACGTCTCCCAGGTGAGTTTACTGTACCTAATACCTATTTAAGAACTCCAAAAATCATTTCCCTTATTTGGTTTCCAAAGATTAAGGGGTATTTGTGGAAAAACCAACACGAACTTGTTTTTACAAAAGTGGATATCAACACTTGTTATTAATGTTTCCCAGAAATACTTTAAATATAACATTTTCGAGGGAGATAATACAATCCAAAACAGTCACCGCTTCCTAAAATAATCCAATCCACTTTGGGACCCCTGGCATCAATGACTAAACCTGAATAATTCCCAGATAGGACTCGCATTCCTGGAAGCGCTGATAAGCAGAGTTGCTGGTTCTCCTCGCTCGCTTCTCTCGGATTCTTACGTGTCGCGGTTCGTGGCTCGTTACTCATGCATAATCAGAGTCCCAACTCGGGATTCTGAGGAGGGGGGATCGGTGGTTTACCAAGGGGGCACTTGATCTTTGAGCACCCTACGGCGCACAATGCGTGGGCTTTGTTCACTGCTAACGGGAAATGAGCCAAGCGATAACGGGAGTGCGGTGCCAAGCACAGCATCCAATCCAATCCGATTCCGAACCATCCGATCCCCACCGACAAACCGACAAACCTTATTTCCTGTTAACAAACCGTGCAAAAGCACGCAAGCTAAGCCACCAAGTAGATACATTTCCAATTGAGATTTAGATTTAGCTACCAAAGTTTTCAAGATCCCGTCGATCAAAGAGTTACATGATTTATTTCCGTACTTCTACTGTACTTCCAAGGAAACCTTGTAAGAAACGAGTCTTGTTATTATCGCCCACCGCCTGCCTGCATCCGACTCTGTTTTATCGGTCTGTGGCAACAGCAAAAACAACAGCAGCAAACTACGATAAGAGGCATAAAAATAAAACGTAGGCGTTCCCAGAACTAAAGGAAAAAATAGTAAAACGAAAATTCCCCAATGACGCGACGGAGAAAAACAATTGGGGGTGTTATCAGGAGGGGCACATAAAAAATAAAAAGTGAGCCGAGGAATATGGGGGAGCCTGTCAGTCACACGCTCATAACTCCCAATTGTGCAGTTGTTGTTGTTGTCGTTTCTCCTTTTCTAAGGCCTGCCCCGTGATAAGGCATTAAAATGGATGTTGCTACAGGCAAGTAGACCTGATAACACCTAACCACACCACCCCGCCCACTTGTTTTTCTTCTGGCCTCCGCTTTCCTTGTCCTTCGTCGCCATCTTTGCCACACACACATATACTCGAATGAGCTGTAAAAAGAAAACCAGGCCTGTTTCATACGTCACACACGCGATAAGGAGAAAGTAGAGGAGGATCAGGGGTCACAGGAACGAGGGGGGAAGAGCAATCCAGCCCAGGTTCACCTTGGAGCTACCCAGCGGCTATTAAAGCCACATAAATTATAATTTTGTTGCACTCCCCCAATACAGGGAACTCTCCCCATCCGAAACTTTTCCCCTACCCCAATGGTCATAAATTCATATGGCTAGTTTGTTGTTGTTTTTCGTGTATGGTGTTGTGTTTTTTCTCTGTTTTTTTGGGGCGCATCTTTTACCTTCCCTTTATGAGAGCACAAGTGAAATGAAAAAGTTTGACACCACCCCGAAAAAACGAGATGAGATTTCTGATATTTTGATGGAACAGTGAAACAAAATTATCTGAGAAAATATATATTTTATTTTGTAGAAATGTGTAAATTTTAGTAAATATTTTTATACTTTTCTAGCTGAATTATATAGGTTTATGTAGAATTTGCTTGTCTATATTAAGCACTTATTTTTTCCCGCGCTTTTGGCCACTGTAGTTTTCCGCTTTCCCAACTTGTTTTCCACTTTTTCTGGACTACTGCGAGTTATTAATATTTACCTAAGCTGCGATGATTGCCTGCCCGGCAAAAAGCTAATAAAGTTGGCAGAGTCTACAGCTGAAGAGCAGGTTTATGAGTTGCAACTCCGGTTTATACCTTTTCCCACCCCAGCCACTTTAGTTGGATATAATTTACGGCTCCGTTAATGACATTTAAACATTTAAACACATGCGAAAAGGCCAAAACGGCTACAGCCACATTGACACATGGCCAAAATGCAAACTACACGAACAAACCAATTATAATTGATGTGGCACATTGCATTTATTTAATATTGTTGGCCATTGGCTTTTACACGTGTTCGCCGTATTAAATTATTATGTGTGAAAACAATTAATTATGCGGCAAACAAAAACGGTGCCAGAAATAACAATAATGCCGCCGTTCAGTGAGACAAATGGCTCATTATGGAAATCAGGCTGTCGACTCACAAAAGTAGGCAACCGAACGCTTTTCCCCGCCTTTTATTGGAAAGGCATTCAATTGGCGGGCAGCGGGGTAGGTGGGGGTATCAATCCAACATTGTTGATGCAACACTTTTAACATTTGTTGTTAAGGTCAACATCATTAACCGGGGAACGAGTCAAAAGGGGCAGACGGTCGAGCAAATGGCAGGCCATAAATTATGGGAAAAAAACGCACAGAGGTCCTGGCCAACTTTCAGCAGAAAAAGTGCAGCAATTAAATATTTGCTTAACTGCAAACGCACATGGCTGCAACTTTTTGGCCACAACTCATTTGGTGGGTTGGCTTTCGGCTTTTCCGCTTTTCCGCTTCCGGTTTGCCACCTTTTTGGCCGCCGCAAAATGGGGCAGGGAGCAGACAATTCAAATTGAAAAATTATATGCACTTTAGGTGTAGTCCTGCGAGTCCTGCGAGTCCACATATCCACATTGGGTCGTCGTCTTTTCGGCGCCGCTTGACGAACCGAGCGAGTGAAAAATTAATAGCAATTTATTTATCCCAACCCCTTCGTGTGTCTGTCTGCCCTCTTTTAAACGTATTTTTATGTTTTTCTGCGGACACTATAAGGTCAAAGGTGACGGGTTGCGGGTCTTTACGGCTGTTAAAAGTTTCAAAATTATTCGCAATTAAAGCAAACAAATTGAAAAACTTTTTCAACCCAACAATTTATAGCCAGCGTGTAAATATTTTTTAAATATTGTAATCAGTTGAACAAAGAGCGATTATTGGATTACAGAAGTAGACACCGTAATTAAAAGTTATTGTCGGTGACAGAGAAATAGTTCTCTTAATGACTATAATTAGGCTCAATATTGGGACTGCTGCTTATCCACTTCAGAATTTGAAAAGAAAACCGCTGTCCCAAGATCATTTTTTATGGTGCCCATTATCTTTCCCCTAAAAACATCATCAGCATCATCATCATTGGGAGTTCCTGTTTCCTTCAGGATATTCCCTTCTAGATTTCCCCCAGCTTTACACCTGCGTTTTTCCACATGTCAGACGCTCGACTACAATTTAAACTTCTCGTTCATGTTCTTTCCTTTCTTTCATTTTTAAGTTACTCCTGAGATTTATATCAACTTTCACCGTGAGGGCCATAAATTATGTGGCTCCGCTTGTGGCGCAGTTTCTCACATGGAAATTCCTCAGACGAATTTCCCCCACGACTTTTCAGTTTTCCTCGCTGCAAGTCCCGTGGGTTTTTTCACTTGTGACGTTTATTGTGCGGTTGTTACTTGATACGTTTAATGAGAAATGCTCTCCTCCGAAGGGAGAAAGGGAATTGGAAAGTTGGGGAAAGCGGAGGGGGAATGCAAGGTATCATCGCTCTGGAGCACTTGACATTTCACTGGCCAGTCTGATTGTGAGAAGAGATTGCACTTGAAGATGACTCCTGAGAAAAGTTGCCACGGAAGTTTAAGATTGCAGTTGTAAATGGTTCAAATGGAAATTCTCAAGCAGGAATGAACAACTAAGGAGACTGCCAATAGAAGTGTTTTAAGTCGAATAAAACTATCGCTAGTTGAAATTCTCAGAACGAAATAGATTGCAAGCTTGTTAGCTAAAAAGAAGGTAATTCCTGTTAAGAGCAAAACATCATGACATAATGATTATTCCAGCTAAAAGCGAAAAGATCACTTCTTCGAAAATTATAATTGCAAAAAGAACTCCAGGCACACAGAAAAAAAAATTGTAAAATAGAATAAAGCACGACAGCTGGAATGGACAAAAATCATATTTTTCCTCGACACGTTTCTTTAATTTCCCAAGACGCTCTGGCTTTTATCAAAAGTGATAAATTTAATTTATACCGCGGCGTCGCCTAATTTATGTTTTCCTAATACGCAACTAATTTCGCAGGTCTCTCGACGGCGGGAAAATTCAGGGCATCATCATTGAGAAAATCGTTTTATTTATAAACAATTAAATTTGATTTGTCGCTGCGTTGGCGAATGAAAATCGAAAACGAAACAGAAACAGAAACAAGATTCGAGCAAAATTTTTCCCGCGGTCTCCGATGAACTCGCGATGATTTATGGAAAATTAATAATTTTAAATCCCGTAAAATGGTTGTCGTCTGCACAAAGCGAGTGAAACGGGCATAAACCATTGGGAAATGCAGCAGCGAAGTGACCGCAATGGCTAAAAGTATTTCCCTGTTAACGCGCGTGTTAATCAATTTCCCAATGGAATTAATGCAGAGATGATCGCGCCGAGGAAAGTTAATGAACCCGCCCAGCAGTACGTAATACACTCATTGTTCTAGCTCAGAGACATTAATTAACCGATCCGGAGTCCGGGCTCCACCTCCGGATTATCAGGACTTTCGTTCCCGGGCAGATAACCCCGGCACCTTTTCGATTCCACGAGGTACTACAATTAGTTCTCTCTCCGCGTTTCCTCTGAAGTCTGAATTCTGAAATCTGTAATGTGAAATCAGAAATCTGAAATCTGAAAGGTACGTCAATGGCCCGAGTGGGGATTCATTCATTTGAAATCTCTAATCAGCGGTCCGCGTACTTCTCAGTACTATTTTCCTGTGCCCCAGCAGCTGCCCGGCGATAAGCGAAGAATTGGGTCGCGTATTTCGCGGCAAAGCAGTTAGAGATCAGACTTTATTATGTTCGTCGTATTTTCCACTCCCGTGCCCCCCTTTCGTTTCATCTTTTTGCGCTAAACATTTCTTTGTGGCGTCGTTAATATTTTTTTTTTTTTTTCGCCTGACCTCAAAAAGAATCCCATAGAATAAAACAAAAACAGAAGCAGAAACTTTGAGCTTGTCGCTTGTTGTTATTTTTGTTTACGCATTTCGTCAGGCGACAGGTGCGCTTCTATATCTATTGGATACTATATAGACAGTCTGTGTGGACAAACCGCAGACAGTGCCGCTCGAAAGTGTACGCCCCGAAGAAATCTCTACTGTGAAATAGCATAGAAGTATAGAAATCACTATGATCTGCATTTCAAATGACTTTTCTTCGCGATGCATACTTTTTTGAGACCCACTGTACCCATACACAGTATTCCCCCACCTCGACATCGTTTGGTATTTTGTCAACATTGTTTGCTTGCCTTTGGGGTTGACACTTTGAAAGCCCACCGATCTCCCTTTGGTCGATCATCTTTTACGGCCAATTATGCGCGCTATTATGGCCAAATTCCCATGTCACTCACTGCATAAAGCATTTTCGGCCACCAATCCTGAAATACGTTCACAAATTAGCCCGCTGTCTGCGACAAGACATTATCTCGCGGGCTTGTCGTTTGATTTGTCTATTGGTGGGGCGTACCACTTTCCCGGGTCCAAAAGCAGGCGCCCACCTACGTCGCGTTATAATTATAGCCAAAGGCTTGTCGACTGCAATTAACCGGGCTGAAATGCAACCGCTGGACCATCCGCACATGCTGCCCAGTACAATTAGACTTGACGAGCGCTTTGAAGACTTCAAGATTTGCACTGTGTGTGGTCGCTAGTTTCCGGTTCGATTTCGATTTCGGGCGTTTTCCCTGATAAGTCCGCTGATAGGCGGACAGCCTCCCGCTGGCTTTCTGAATATCTGCGGTATTATATTTACTTTAGCACTCACCTGATTGAGGTTATCTCCAAAGGGAAAACAGATAGAGTGGGGTTAGTAATTGTCTTCGCTCGCTAATCCGCATCCCGTTCGAGTTCGCGACCCTGATCTGTTTTGTTTACGAGCACACGCGCCTCTTCTGAATCGATTGAGTAGCAGATAGTGCTTATCAGCTCTCAAATACCCCGAATATTTATGGAACTTCGGAGAATTTGAGGTGAACAATGAAATGGCAGGGATTTTACTGCAGAATAAGTAACTAATCAATAGGTCTTAAGCATTATACTTTATCTGAAATTGAAGTTTGATCTACAATTTTTGTACATATTTACCAAACCAAATGAATTTTTTTGCGTGCACTTTGTTCCTCCTCTTACATTTAGAAATTCAGAAGAAATTTAATTAATTAAGCAACATGTGGTAGCGAAGGGGACGAGCGGGATGGGCGTAGAACGCACGTGTGCGTGGCTTATCGACCATAATGCCACGGAGGTTAGACTGTACCTTGAACACTCGAGTGGTTTTGGCTTCCATTTCCATGTGCGCGGCGATTCGCTTAGTGGAATCAATCAATTTTCAACTTTGGCTCGAGTGGCTCCCCTGAAATACACTTGAGTCATGCACACAGTCCGTCCGTCCGCCACTCCCCCCTCCGTCCGGCCGTCCGCCCCACCGAGCGTCCGTCTGCCGATCCATAAGTCCATCAGTTAACCCCGGGGGCGGGCGTCTTCGTGGGGCTTTGTTAAAGGTAGCTTCAATTGGCATTTCCGCCCATCGCAAATATAATAATAACAAACTGTAACAACAAAGCGCATAAGATGAATCCGGCTGACGCATCGCAAATGGAACTTACCTTTTGTAAACGTGTGCACTCTATACATAAAGTATCTGTGAAAAGTATCTGTGTGAGTGGTGCGGTATCTGGCGAATCTCACGGCTGCCATTTTCATTTCCATTTCGTTTGCGCTGCGCCTCGCTTTACATTTAATTGATAACGCCGACGACAACAAAGCGCGTTCATTGTGAGCTGCGGTTTAATGTCCGCTCTGGGAGGTGTGTACGGTGAAGACTCGAAAGTAGTGACTTGCCGAGATCGTTATCCAAACGGGTGCTTCAGTCATTGAATGTATCGCAGATATTGGGATAAGCACAAGGAAAAGCTGAAAAATACGCAAATAAATAAGCATCTGTAAATCGAGTTATCACTGTACCGTTTCTAGGTTCTGTGGTTCTACGGTTTCTAGGTAGGCGTATTGCGGTTTACAACCGAACAACCTGATTAAGTGAGTGCGTTAGAAAGAGATGGAGATGCCCCGACTCCATGTGGAGATAACGGGTTTTCAATTGCGCCTGTGTGCGGGTGAATGTGTTAGTGTATCTGTGTGAGAGTGAACCAACAGGTGGCCATTATACATTTATCGCACTCATTCACCTGGCAAACAAATGGCCGCTTGAAAATGGTGTTCTCTTGTTTTGGGTACGCGGTTCGGGGAGTGACGTCACAGGTAACGAAACAAACGGAAACGGAAATTGTTATTGATGTCGAAACAAAAAACGAAATGAGGAAAAGCATTTTCCGTTTGTTTTTACCAGCAGCAGACCAAACAAATTAGAAGGCCCAGCGCCATAAATGTATTATTTTTCCCCAACACGCTAAAAACAATAAACACCGTGTCACGTTAACGAAAAAACTAATTACAATACATAATAATAGTTTTTTGAGTGATCTCATCTCGAGTGGGTAAATTGGTTGTGCGTTGATCATACGTAATGACTAATGTTCATGTTAATTGGGGCTCATGAGTAACAGTAACCCCAAATTGTGAGTCAATGTCCAAAGAAGTATTATAAAAGTATCTCAAAGATTCCACCGAACGCAAATATAGCTTTATTAATTGCGATAACGATCTGAAATGTCGTGAACTTTGCAACAATAACAACTGGAAAATGCTGGAAGCGAAGGTGAAACAGCAATAAATGGAAAGTTCAACGGCTGAACAGTAAACAGCAGCACACACACACAGTCGATAGAAAAAGGGGCGGAGGGAAAGCCAATTGTGGGATGGGACGAACAACACGTGTTGCCATCTGTCCGCCAAAGTACCGCAAATCTTTCAACGCAGCCGCTAAGTGGAAAAGTGAAAGACGGGAAAGCGGGAAGACGGGAGGCTGGGAAAAGCGGCGCTGCACTTTCGTTTTCATTTCCATTTCCACCTTTGAACAACAACAATAAAAGCGCCTGCATTTGATGCGTCCAATTTGTTGCCAAACAAATCAAAGCACAAACAAAAACGCCCCCCGAAAATTTGATTAGCATCAGCTGTTGAAACATTTGGATGTGATGCGCCCCGTTGCATTTTGTTGTTTACTTTGGGCCGTTTTTGTTGATTTGGTTTTTGTGTCGCAATTTTCCAATTGAAGTTTAATTTTTTATTGGAAGGCAGCACAGCTGAGCGCAGCTTGCTCTCGCTCTTTCTCTCTCTCTTTTGTCTCCCTGTGAGGTCACTTATTGTCTGCTCCACTCACCTTTTTCGTTGTTGTTTTCGAGTGACAATCCACCTTCACTGGATGTCCCGCCATCTCTTTCGCGCCCTCCGCGTTCTTTTTTCGCCCTCTTTTTCATTTCATTCTTCGCGTTTTATCGTGCTGTGCGCGTTTCGCTCTTTTTTACATTTAATTGTAGTTTTTAATTGAATATTCTGCGTATTTTAGTTTGGAACCGCTTGCACAATTCTTTATATTTTCCAAATATCACAAAATATCACTTTTACGGTTCGGAACACACAACAAAAAAAAGAAACAAAAAATGGCTCATTTGGGGCGGTTGCTTTTGATTTGGCCCGCTTTGTGGCCGCTTTGCTCGCCTTGAAACAAATTAGAAAGCCATTAAATTTAAAACAAATAAATACGCGTGTTGTTTTAAACAGTTTTTATTACCTGTGCGTTGGTGTTTGGTTTTTATTTTTTTTTTTTTCGATTCGCGCGCCCCGAATATCCACAACAACTAAAACAACAATGTCGGCCGCCGCGCTTCTCATCTCTTCTTCTTCCTCATTGGAAAAGGTAACGCGGGAAAGAAAAGATCGTAGAATGAGAAAATCGAAGGAGGGGGCAGCAAAAGCTGTAAAAGTAGAGATGGTTGTGTTAAATTCGATACTATCGTTCTGAGGGATCACAAAACTTCTAGATATAGGAAAAAATCCTTAAAGTACTTTGAAATAGATCCCTTCTTTTTAATCAATCTTTTATTATCATTGTCAGCAATTGCGAATTTACAAAATCCTTCATTATCAATTTCAGACCTGCCGGATTTGCCACAAGGCATTCGCGAATGTCTACCGCCTGCAGAGGCACATGATCAGCCACGACGAGAGCGCGCTCCTGCGGAAGTTCAAGTGCAAGGAGTGCGACAAGGCCTTCAAGTTCAAGCACCACCTCAAGGAGCACGTGAGGATCCATTCCGGCGAGAAACCCTTCGGCTGCGACAACTGCGGCAAGCGGTTCTCGCACTCGGGCAGCTTCTCCTCCCACATGACCTCCAAGAAGTGCATCAGCATGGGCCTCAAGCTGAACAACAACCGCGCTCTGCTGAAGAGGCTGGAGAAGAGTCCCGGCTCCGGGTCGGCGGGATCCCGCCGGTCGCCCTCGGATCTCGGAAAGGGAAAAGGGCTGCCGGTTCAGCCCTCGCTGTCCGGACTGCCCAACCCGATGATCTACTTCGCCAGCGACGCCCAGAACCAAGCTGGAAACGCGGGCCCCGCTCCGTTCCCGCCCTTTAACCCCACGAACTACATGAACGCGGCCCTCCTGGCCTTCCCCAACTCCTTCATGGTCGCAGCTGGCCTCGATCCCCGGGTGCATCCCTACAGCATCCAGCGGCTGCTGCACCTCTCGGCCGCCGGCCAGCAGCAGCGGGAGGAGGAGCGGGAGCGGGAGCAGCAGCAGGAGGACGAGGAGACCCCCGACGAGCCCAAGCTGGTGATGGATATCGACGAGCCCGAGGCCAAGGAGCGGGTTCCCACGCCGCCGCCCGCGGAGGAGGCCACGCCCATCAAGCGGGAGGAGAGCAGGGAGGCCTCGCCTGCCCCAGAGGGCTACCCCGCATCCCCTCCAGCGATCAAGCAGGAGCAGGAACCCCTTCCTGCCGTCGAGGAGCCCGAGATCTCCGTCGAAGAGCCACCGCAGGCGGAGCAGCCCGCCGATCTGCGCTGCAGCCGCTGCTCCAAGCAGTTCAACCACCGCACGGAGCTGGTGCAGCACGAGAAGGTCCTCTGCGGCCTGATCAAGGATGAGCTGGAGCAGTACTTCCAGCACCAGCAGCAGGCGAACTCCTTCGTGCTGCCCTCCGCCAGCGAGGAAGACGAGGAGGACGAGGAGATGGAGGAGGAGCCGCGCCAGGAGAGCGGCGAGCGGAAGGTGCGGGTGCGGACGGCCATCAACGAGGAGCAGCAGCAGCAGCTGAAGCAGCACTACTCCCTCAACTCGCGGCCCAGTCGCGACGAGTTCCGGATGATCGCCACCCGGCTGCAGCTGGACCCGCGGGTCGTCCAGGTCTGGTTCCAGAACAACCGCTCCAGGGAGCGCAAGATGCAGAGCTTCCAGAGCAGCCAGAGCAACCCAGCGATGGGTGCCAACGAAGCAAGCAACACCTCTCTGACCCGCGAGGATCAGCCGCTGGACTTGTCCGTGAAGAGGGATCCCCTGACACCGAAAAGTGAGAGCTCGCCGCCCTACATTGCTCCACCGACGGGCGAGACCCTCAATCCCGAGGCCATCAACCTGAGCAGGAAGTTCTCCACCTCGGCGTCCATGTCCCCAGCCTCGATTTCGCCCTCCTCCGCGGCGGCCTTGTACTTCGGAGCTGCCCCGCCGCCCTCGCCGCCCAACAGCCAGCTGGAGGCCACTCCCCGCGGCGGCCAGGCCTTCCCGGGCATGCCCTACATGCTGCCCATGCCGCTGCCCATGGAGGCGCTGTTCAAGATGCGCCCCGGCGGGGAGTACGCCCCCAACCCGCTGATGAACAGTATTAAGCTGCCCGACTACCGCGGCACCAGCCTGAGCCCCGGCGGCTCCGAGAAGCGCTCCTGGCGGGACGACGACTCGCGCATCTCGCACGAGGACGACTTCGTCGGAGGCGGCGGCCTGATGCCCCCGAAGCCCCGCCGGGGAAAGGCGGAGACCCACGGCCACGCCGGCGATCCCGACCTGCCCTACGTGTGCGACCAGTGCGAAAAGGCGTTCGCCAAGCAGAGTTCGCTGGCGCGCCACAAATACGAGCATTCCGGTGAGTAAACTTAGATTTATAGAGTGGCATAAACCCTTGCTAATCCTTGCATTCCCCCTCTGTCAACAGGTCAGCGACCCTACCAGTGCATGGACTGCCCGAAGGCCTTCAAGCACAAGCACCACCTCACGGAGCACAAGCGGCTGCACAGCGGCGAGAAGCCCTTCCAGTGCTCCAAGTGCCTGAAGCGCTTCTCGCACTCCGGCAGCTACAGCCAGCACATGAACCACCGGTACTCCTACTGCAAGCCCTACAGGGAATAGGTAAGCGACACCTCAGTGCCGCCCACCTGCCAACCGGGAGCCGCCGTTCCCTCCCAGCCGCCGCCGGCGATGGCCAGCAGCCGGGGTCGCCGGCGAGTCCAGGCTCCGGCGGGGAATCCGCCCTATCCGCCGCCGCACCACCAGCATCTCCAGCATCCCCACCACCCGCATCTGGCGGCCATGGCTGCCTTCCAGCAGCAGCAGCACCACAGGCTCTCCTGGAGCGGAGCTGGGGTGATGCTACCGCCACCTCCTAACCAGCAGCCACATCGCCTGCCGGCCCCCCATCCGCCGCCACTGCTCCCCGGATCCGGATTCGGGCAGTTCCACCACCACGCGGGGCTGCTGCCGCCTCCGCCGCCGCCCCCGCCGCAGACCACGCCCACGTCAGCGCCCGCCTTCGACTTCTTCAACGCCAAAATGTTTCCAAACTAAGGAGCAAAGCCAGCACCTACGGGCTGTACTTAAAGAACAGACGAACAGAAAATCTCAATTGTGCAGGAACACACAGACCCCCAGGAAATGCACTTTAGACAGAGTCAGAGAAAGTAGGAGAAAGTCAGAAAGAGAGAGAGAGATATTTTTTATAGCCATATAACCAGGAGACGGAAAGCCGCAGTCGAAAACCTTTCGTTTGAGCGAATTTATTATTTTTACAATGTTGAAACCAAGCACTTTGTTTTAGTATTTTATCATTTACCATTTATTTTACCGCCTAAGTTCGAGCGGAGGCCAAACATTTTAGCTTGGGCCGCCTCGTTGAAGATATCGTTTTATCCATTATCTATTTTTTTATGCATTAATGTTCGGTTTTTAGATTTTAGTTTTTAGTTTTAGGAGCTGGAGATACCAGTACCAAGTGCTGCAGAATACTCAGAACGCGAAACGCTAACGAATCGTTAAGAGCGCCACTCCTAAGCGGAATAAGTGTATATTTTCTACGATTATGTATTGGCCTAAGTTGTACTTTTAGGCTTAGTTCTAGGCTAAGCGATTCGAGCCACGCAGACTCGCTCGAACGGAATTTTCCACCCACAACCTCCGGACCAAAGCAGAAAGGTAACTCCATGAAATCGAATACAGACAATACACCTTACCGAAAACAACCAGATACAAAAGTATTAAGCAGCGAAACTGTATTAAAGCCTCCACATCGTAGAGTCCACGCCCACACCGCCCCCATTTCGTATGTAGTTTATGTTTAAATGGAAAACCCACCGCTTTCCGCGCGTTTCACTCCGAAGCTCAAGCTCTTACTTAAGGAGAAGTCCCCTCGAAAGTCTCCCTCGAACTTCGCTTTAAGTTCCCGATCCGAATTCCCCTTCCCAAAATCGCGAAGTGAGCACAAAACACCTACAAGATCATTCCATTTGGCCAGAGCCGCGCCCAAGGAAGGTGCAACTCATGCATTTAAGGCCTCCGGCTGCCGCTTGCCACTCGACAACCCACTAAATCTAAACTAAATCTAGTGCTAAACTAACCTAAACTAATATCTAATACATACGAAGCGATAACAAACACTTAATTTGGCCTTATTAAAGATTATTTAATGATTAAACACGTTTCAGAATATTCAAAAAGAAAAACTAGCATGTAAAAAGAAAGAAAACCTTTGGAAAAGTCTCGCGAAAAATCCATTAGCAAAATTCCATGTGCGTATTAAATGTAAAAACAAAAAGGAAAACCAAAGCCCTATTAACTATCGAAATGTTTGCCATGACAATAAATTTATGACTAAATAATTGATAATGCTTTCGATTCCTGCGCTATCCCAAGAGAAAAACAAAAAGAACGAAGTAAACTTTCAATTATAATCGTTTTTTACTCAGCCACAAACTATAATTAGTTAAAAAATGAACAAGGTTTCCAGAACAACGAACATTTCTTTTTGATGTTTAACTTGTCCAAGGAATTTTCGCCATGATTTTCTTGCTTTTCCAACACACAAAAAAAGAGCAAAACAACTCACAAAAAAATGCATTTAATACTTAATTAATTTTTTATATATTTGTATTTTTAACGAGGAGGAGGAGAGATCGTCCGGTCGATCACGAGTATATATGTGTAAATACATATATTTTTTGTAAATTATTTCGCAAGAAGAAAAGCTAGAGAATCCAAAACCAAACAAACGCAAACTGTTATACTCGATTTGAAATTCTTCAGATTTCAAGTACAGCCAGCACACGTTAGCATAAATTTAACAATAATTACTATTACAACCGTAAATACTTAGCCTAGTTAAAAGAAAAACCCTTAACAACAACAGAATGTTAACTTAAACACTAAACACACTTATTTTTAAGCGCAAATACTATGTGGTTTGTGATGGATATTTGCACTCTAGGGCCTTATATGAAATACATTACACTACACAACACTCACGTACATAAACATAAACAATTGTTAGTTATTTAAATGCGATGCGATACACACTTAATTGGAGACTCCATCTTTTGTATTGTCCTTAGATCCCCAACTCTCTGTTAAAGTTGTTCACCTCACTCTACTATATGTGTAAATATGCGGAGCAGGAGCAGTATCTCGTATTATTTGTTTTATTTCTTTGTCCAACAATAGCGATCCTTAAGTTAAGTACCTCGTTGAAACGGCATCAAATGTTCATTTATTGCTCGACAAAACACCAAAAATACCGCTAAAAACATCCGAAACAAGTAACCGAAAACATTGGAGATGAATGAGAACGATTCAAGTAACTTATATTTCAAATATTACGCATAAATGTATTTTAATCAAAGTAAGCCAACGATTCAAAGGATAAAAACGCATTCATATAAATGAATAAAACATTTTTGTCTTGATAAATTTACAAAACAATTATTATAATTATTAAATTTACAATGTGAAAATAATAAAAAAAAATTATTAAAATTTAAACGGAAGATATTTTTTATGGGAGGGGAGTAGGGAATCCGATTGAAGTATTTCTAAGATGAAAGTATCAACCTATGGAAGCGGTGTTCAGTTTGCTCAAGTTATGGCCACCGAATCTTAAAAATTTGCAACATGAATTGTTATTCAAAGATTTTAAAAATCTTGCCGTTATAATCAGTGTGGCTGTGCAACAATCTAGTGCGAAGACCACTGGTGGAAAAGTCCTGAAACATCGATATATTGTTATCGAACTCAATTTCCTGTAACGTCGAGGCGCGCTTTTTGAATTCGGAAAAGATTTTCGGCAAGTACGAAGTTTTTAAAAAATATTATTTATAAATTTAAAAAACAATAAGTGGATATATATAGTAGGTAAGCTTAATACCAACAAAAAACCAAATAGGAAAACACGTATATTATTTTTCTTTTTCATTTATTAATTTGCTTTAGTAAACTAATTGGCCAAGGCACACAGAGTTTGTTTGTATTTCCCTTTAATAAGCTCGATCTCTTCTAACATTTAAAATAAGTTCAATTTATATATATGTAGATAGATATATATATTCATAATAAAAACACACGCACATTCAAACTGAAGCTAATTAAATAGAAAAACAAATTGTTTCCTGTTTAGCAATTTCCAACGAACCTACGACAAACAAAAAAATGTATGTACTTTGCTTATTTGTTATTAATTAAACTAGATTACGGTTAGCGGTGTCTATAAACTAAAAAACATCTTAGGGCGCTACACAACTTTAGCATAAATTAAAATTAACGCGTTCTTTACAATATTACATTAAAAGATTACAATTTTCTCAGCTCCTGCTCCTATAGTTTTTGTGTTTTCCGTTCGCTCTCAGAAATAAAAGGACATTCATGTATATCGAAAAGTATTTATAGGCCAGATCGACGCACGGAATAACACAATTTTCAAGAGGGATTTCATCTGTCCAGAAATATCAACAGACACCTGAGACATTGACCCATGGAGTTGCCGTGTCTCGCATTTTCTGTGGGGCTAAACAATTTGATTTGGCGTTCAACAAGTTGGTCTAACATTTATATACTTTTACATCGGTTATGCCTAGGATTTGTTCTTATTTGGGGTGGACACACATTTGGGTAAGGACACCTCGAAGAGCAGTAACAGATGGGTTGGGTGAAGAGACACAGACAGTGGTTTCCGATCTCCTAGATTAGATTTAGATTAGGCTTATAAGACCCGCTTATATCGCTGCCGTGCGACTCTTGGTCTCCGATCCTCCGACCCAGCGCACCTCCCAATCTGAATCTGAGTTCCGAGTGGGAAGTGCTGACATGGCGCGGATTCAACCAGCCTGCTGAATTCGAATCCGGCCGTGGATCGGAGGAGGAAGTGGAAGAGGCAGAGGGCTTGGGTAAATTCGCGTTCTCGTCTCGTTTTCAATGCATTTTGTTCTGCTTTGAGCACCAGAAATGTTCGATTTTCCAGTTGGTCCCCTCGTTTTCTAACGTTTTAAATATTTATGGTTACAGTGTTTGCTTCGGAGTGGTGAGGAAGGCCCTGACTCGCTCTTCTGTTTCATCTAATCCGATTCGCTTTAAATTTATTCAGTTCATGCCCGCGGGCATTTGTATATGTATACTTGTATATTATGTGTAGTTGCCTTCGCTACTTTCTCCTAAAGTGTATATAGTATGTATAGTTTCTATAGTCACGCACTCTTTACAAGACCCACTTGACCGTTCTCTCCCCTTTGTGACTATTTGACTACAATGTTTTGGGGGTGGGATGTTTCGCCGGATACGGATACGGATACGCAGATGCTCCTCAGACGTAAACCGGCGCCTGGTCGTCCGTCATGTCCGGCGGCTGTTTGTCGTCGAAGAATCTCCTGAAGGTAAATTCGAAGAATCCGTGGAAGGGCCGGTCGTTCAGGTCGATGTCGTCGCCGCTGCTCATGTTGGAGTCGTTCGAACGCAGCTTGTCCGGGTCCACGGGGTCGAAGTTGGACGTGTCGGTCGGGTGCTTGATCTCCGGTATGTACGGAGCCTTCTGCTTCCGCATGTCCGCGAAGTCGATGCCCTTGAAGAAGTCGTGGCCCTTCACCTCGTCCACGCTCTTGCCCAGCCGCTTGTCCGCCGCCGCGCAGAGCCTCCTTATCAGATCCGCGGCCTCCCTTGATAACTCCGCCTGCGGCGGTATGTGCAGCGTCTTCTCCCAGTTGATGACCTGCAGGAAGATCGGAATTAGCCCTTCAGCATCGCTTTCGGTTGCACTGCTCACCTTCTGCTGCGTTTCCAGCGGACTGTTGGCGAGGAAGGGCGGCTGCCCCACCAGCATCTCGTAGAGGATGACCCCGACGCTCCAGTAGTCGCACAGCTGCGTGTAGCCACTCCGCTCCAGGACCTCGGGCGCAATGTAGTTCGGGGTGCCCACCAGGGAGTGGGCCAGGACTCTTTGGTGATCGCGCATCCGCCGCCTGCGAGTTCGACATACTTTTATTAATCCCCGCTTCTTGTATTAATTAAGTGTACGAAACTCACCGCTCCAGAACCGTGGGTCTGGGCCCGTTCTCCGAGTATTCCTCCCAGGGCTCCATCGAGTCCTGTCGCGAGTGGTTGCCTGTTAACAAAAGGTTTTAATAGAGCTTATTTAAGTAGGATTATCAGTTGGTCTCACCATTCTCCTGGTAGTACTTCGAGTTGTGGGTCCATCGGAAGCCCGTGCACAGGCCGAAATCGGTGAGTTTGATGTGTCCGTCTCTGTCGATGAGTATGTTGTCAGGCTTGATGTCTCTGCGGAGGAAGTGGATATAGATTAGAAGGGATTACTGATTGTCTTGAGTGCTCCTCGGGATGCTCAAGTACCTGTGAATGAAGCCCATCTTGTGGACGCTGTCCACTGCGCAGGTGACCTCGGCAATGTAGAACCTGGCCAGTTCCTCCTCGAAGATGCCCTGTTTGATGAGCAGCGACATCAGATCGCCACCTGCAGGGAAACGAAACTGGTTAGCAATTCCACTTGGTGGAGATTCTTTGTGGATTACCCACCCGGTATGTAGTCCATCACGAAGTACAGGTTGTCCTTGTCCTGGAAGCTGTAGTAGAGCTTCACCACCCAGTTGTTGTCCGCCTCCGCGAGGATGTCTCGCTCGGCCTTCACGTGCGCCACCTGGTTCCGCTTGAGGACGTCGGCCTTCCGCAGGGTCTTCATCGCGTACAGGTGGTTGGAGGTGTCGATCTTCCGGACGAGGGTCACCTCCCCGAAGGCGCCCACCCCGATGGGCTTCAGCTTGATGAACATGCTCTTGTCCATCTTGGCGCGCTTCAGCCGGATGTAGTTGCTCTCCTTCTGGTTGAGCATCTTGCGCATCTCGATCTGGGTCTGGTCGGGCAGGCCCACCTTCAGCATCTCCTTCTCCAGCTGGTTCTTGCGGTAGGTGCGCTGGCGGTAGGACTTGATCACGTTCTCGATGTGCTGCTCCATGAAGAACTTGAAGGCCTGCGGCGAGTACTGCCGGATGCGGAACTCCTTGCGCTCGTCCTCCTTCTCCTGCGAGATCTTCTTCCGCTCCGGGATCGGCGAGGCGTGCTTGATCTTCTTGCAGCTGGTCGACGAGGAGGCCGTCGTGCTGGTGGACCCGTTGCTGCCCCCGGAGCTGTTCGCTCCCGTGCTGGAGGCGTTGTTGTTGTTGTATTTGGCAGGCGGTATGGGCGGCGTGGTGGCCAGGTTGCTGTTGCTGATCTGAATGTTGTTGTTGTTGCAGCTGCCGGGCGACTTCGCCTCGCTGTTGCCGCTGCTGTTGTTGTTGCTGTTGCTCTGGTAAGGCGGTGGCGGTGGCAGTTGTCTGCTGGGGTTCCCGTTGGTCAGCTTCTGCTGCTCCCGTTCCCGCTGCTCCCTTTCCCGCTGAGCCTGCGCCTGGAGCACCCGCAACGCCTGCAGTTGCTGCTGCTGCTGGAGGTGCTGCTGCTGCTGCTGTTGCTGCTGCGCCGCCGCCGCCGCCTGCTGCTGCTGCACCTGCTGCTGTTGTTGCTGCTGCTGCTGCTGCACCACCGTGGCCGCCTTGGCCTGCATGCTCTTGGCGTAGGAGGGCGGCTCCAGGCAGGTGGCCTTGCTGTTCAGCCCCACCAGTGGCGGCGTCGTGGGCGTCGGCGGCTTGGACTGCTGGTGCTGGTGGTGCTGCTGCTGCTGCGCCGCCGCCTGCTGCTGCTGCTGCACCACCGCCGCGGACTTCTGGGGGTACGAGGGCGGGGCGGCCAGGACGTGGACCGGCGAGTTGCTGGCCGAGGCGCTCGAGGGCGACTGGGGAGCCACCGCGGTCTGGAGCACCGGCTTCTGCACCTGCGTGCTCTTCACGCTCTGCATGATGATGGGCTGCTGGCTCCTGGCCTGGTAGACCCGCGGCTGCGGCTTCGCCAGCGGCGCGGGGGGCAAGGACACGGTGATGGGACTCGGCGACCCCGCCGAGGTGGCCGAGTAGATCCCGCTGCTGGGCGACTTCCGGTATTCCGACTGCTGCGACTGCGTGGGCGACTGCCGCGACTGCATGGAGGCCGTGTAACTGGGCGGTGGCGGGGGCGGGGCTCCTCCGGCGGCCGACGGAATCAGGTAGGGAGGCGGCGGCTCCACCACCGACCCACTGCCCCCGCCGGGGTACAGGTTCAGGGACTTGAGCTGCTGCGTCAGCTGCTGCTGCTGCGTCTTCAGTCCGTTCTGCGATATTACGGGAGAGTTGCCCCGCTGCGTGGGCGGGGCTATCGCCGGCGGGCGGCTGTTCAGGGCCGGCGAGCGGCGCTTCACGTACGCCTGGCTGGTGGGCGGCACGGGCGGCGGGGGCGTGGCCGCGCTGGAGGCGGTGGGGTTGCGAGGCGGTGGCGCGGGGGGCGCCACCTCGCTAAAGCCGCTCGGGGAGGGGGAGAAGCCGCCGTTTCCGCCGGGGTTGCCGCCCGGCCTCGAACTCGGCTGGTGGGTGTGATGGGAGTGGGGGCTGTCCGAGCGGGAGCTCCCGGCCCCGGAGTCCAGGGCCGGACTGCAGCGCAGGTAGTGACTGCTCGCCGTGTCCCGCTCGATGCTCGGCTTCCGCATCAGTTTGTTCGGCATCAGCGCCGTTATCATCTTTGGCACACGTCCCACTCCCACGCCCACTCCAACGCCCACACCCACGCCCACTCCGGGCACGGATATGGACCCGGATCCGGGTTGACCTACGATGGCGGGGGGCGGAGGGATGACCACGTCCGGCGAAGGAGACGCCGAGGGCGGCGGCTCCATCGGAGGCTTTGCATGGTGGTAATCCGGAGTGGGGGCATCGCTGCGTCCATTGGTCGCCGTGTATCGCAGAGGTGTGTAATTCTGCAACGGATTGGGAAGAAAGTTGTTATTGGGTCCCAATTTAATAAACAAATTAAAGTTTATTATGATATACATAAATATTATAGTTTTAAATATATTATAATTCGAATATCATTACATAGCCCCCTTTCAACTGCTTCTATATATGTATGTATGTATTAAGCCGATATGATCGGCATTCCTGCACTGAAAGAAAATGCCAGCTGTTTGCTGCATGTTCCTGTGTTTGTGAAGGTGTGATTGTATCAAGAACTAAACAAAAGACGGACATACAAAAAACAAAAGCAAACCACGACGAAAAGCGAATTCGAGGCTAAAACAAAAGACTGAAGAAATGAGGCGGCCAAAGCAACGAAATAAAATTCTTGCCATCGTCGTGAAATTCCTAAAAGTCAAGCGCAGCCAACAAGAGCGAGCGAGATAGAGCGAGTGAAAGAGTGGGGGCGAATGGGGGGCAGGAACGAAGGGGAAGGGGAAGCAGAAGAGCCGGCTGCCAGATGCGCTCCAAAACACAAAAACAAATACACTTGCACCGAAGGTTGCCCTTGCTTCGCTCTCACTCGCACTCATACGTGTGTCTCCTTGTTCTTTGCGTTTCTCTTTCACTCGATGTCAGCTACCCGTTTTACGCGTTCTTTTGATGCCTCCCCTTCTCCACCGTTACCCCTCCCCCCACCTACAATCTTTTGCCCTTTTGTGACTGATCCTCGATTTTATGACTTTGAATGCCCCACTCTCTTCGCTCTCTTTCCTTTAGAGATGACAACGTGACGGAAATCTGTTAACGATATACATACTACCCAAGATTGATTTGATCAAACTTGAAATTCAACAACCCTTGCAATTCAAAGGCGTTAACCCCAAATTCTGATTAATTATAAAGTGCAATACTTGAGCAATAAAAAACAATTGGTAAATCATTTAGCTTGTAATTCCATGCAATTAAAATATGTAAATTATTTCAGACCTGATTTATTTTTGTTTAACAAGACTTTATGTAATGGATTTACAGTTTCCCCTCTTTCCCTGTTATTAACAAATTAATATAAAAAGGCAAGATAAATCAAAAACAACATTTCGGTTCAATATATTTAGTATGACATGTTTTTTTATTACCATTGTGGGGAATTTCACCCATACAAAATGTCGCGGGCATTTTAATGGGCATCAAATTAAATCCAAGGACGCGAACCAAACGAAACCCGACAAAGACCCCCAGCAGACTGTGCGTCGCTCTTCGAGGGGGTCTTCGAGTCCCCCGGTTCCCGGTCACCATTCTTGCCCCGCAATCTTACACGAAAGCCAATTTACGGCAAATTAGCGAAAGCCAATGGGCCCACTAAATCAGCAAGTGCAGCAAGACCAAGAAAAAAGTGTCGCCCCCGCAAATTGGCATTGCTAAATTTTCAAATAAAATAAATTGGATTTACCGGGGAGCTTACGCCGAATCGGGGGATACGAAATGTAGAATTTCCGAAACACTTTCGCTAATCCACTTAAGCTTCTTTGCTTTGCGGTCGTTAATGCAATTTGCAAAGCGCTTGAGCTGAAGGCAAGGTCAAATAAGTTTGTGGATAAAACAAGAACGGATAATAAAATGTAAGATACTATCTATGTATTTATTCTTTGACCTTGCAACCCTATCACCTGGGATCTTTATATGAGGTAAGGAATTCAAGGTGCAATGAGAGAAATTCAAATGTATCGCAATTGGGTAAGTGACAACTGAATTCATCAAAATGTAAAATTCTTGGCAACAGGCAGATATTGTAAAAATGTGGGTACAAAGAAAACCGTAAGGGGGAAAAACATTATTTATCTATTCATTTTTAAGATGTAACTTTTTAAATGAAAGATGCATAAATAGAGCTAACTAACATAGTATAAATTCGAAATCAATCACTGTATTAATTTGTTCTCTTTTTTTGGGAGGCCGGTATTGGGCTCTGGGGATATCTCGCACCGATCAGACCAAAGAAGCACTATAGCTACATATATAGGCAAACATTCTGCCGCACGCCGACTTCTGTTTGTGTTTGTGCTTGTGCTTGTGGGGCGGTTGTGCGTGTGTCTGTTTGTCTTTTGTTATTATTAGAGGCAACACACATTCTTTTTTCGGCGATTGCTGCTGCTGATATATGTTGGATACGGCCGTACTATATATGATATAGACACACACTCGCATATATTTAGGTAAAAATTCCTCAGAAAAATAGCTAAAGCACTGAGCGCGAGAATAAAGAAAATCGAGCGAAAGCAATCCACTGACAGGTTCAACAAATTTTTCGCACGAAAATCGCGCAAATTAGTTTGAAAATTGCACCCCAAGGAATCCCATTCGCCGAAATGAAATGTGTCCCACAAAAAACTTTTCCCAACAGCATAACAGTTGCAACGAAAAGTGTTTGGAGTAGTTTAAATACTTTTAGAAATCTAAATCTCGAGCTTAAAATCTAAATAGGTTTATCCAATCCATTCGTAATGGATCGTTACTAACTGAAGGCGCACTTTTTGCACCAACTGTGTCCACACTTACTATAAATAGCTGAATTCACACCAGATCTAAAAATGGTATTACATGTGGTCATATGGGGATAGACCCTGAATCGGTATTGTCAAAGCTTGAAACTCCCCTCCTACAAATCGATTGCTTCGTTTTGTTTACTAATTTATTTATGGATTATTTTAATTTTTATTGTAATGGCATTTGGCTCACTGTTAAATGCGTTGGCGTCGCGGCTTGTTTATTCGGCTTTATTTCGGATTTATATTTATTATCAGCGTCTGTTATTTTAATTAATTTCTCTGCATGCCCGAGTCTCGCCATTGGAGGTTATTGATATGGATATTTATAGCAGAAGCAGTATGAATTTTCAATAAGGGGTTTCGATGGTAGCAAACCTGCTAAAACGCCGCCAAAAAAGAAGGTATTACAGTGAATAATAATAGACTTTCAAATACCCATCACGGTACTGTTTTATAATTACGGAGAGATAAGAAAAATTTCATGAACATTTTCACGAAAGATTGTAATAAATATATCCTCTTCTTTAATCTTTTTGTGTGTTTTCCTTTTTTTCTAAAATTCCAATTTTTAGAGGGTATCAAAACGATGGGTATCTGATCCGAAAGGAAATCACTTGTGTGGGCGTGAACATGGCCGCCGAAAGTGTTGATCGGGCCGTGCATAAATTTCGAATTTATTTATCGTCTATCGTTTATCGCTCTGACATGCACTGCCCACAGATTTCGGAGCATATGAGCCATATATGAGCAGATTATGGGTTTCTGGTATTTAGCGCTCGGCATGACCAATTAGCCGGGCCATTGTGCTCCGGGCGTAGGCCGAGGAGCCAGGCGAAAGTTGGCCAAAACCGAAAACCAAAAACCGAATACCGAAAACCGCGACCGAATCCCAAGTCCGAAGTCGAAGTCTCTGTGCCAATGCCAATGGCACAGCAATTGCAGCATTAAATTAGCCTGTCCAAACTGGCCGCAGTCATAACAATTAGCCAGCTCCAAAGCATATATTTTATGGCCAAAACCTGAGCACGCCCATCGCCTGGATTAAGAGAAATCTCCTCCCTCCTCCCAGATCCCTCCTCTCAGATCCCAGATCCCCTGAAGCTGTGGAATTTCTTTTGCTGATCCTCTGAGGAGCCAGGAACATAATTTACAGTCGCAGCAAACAGTAGCTGGCAAGTGGAGGTCGTAAAACTTTGAATTGATGACCCGTCAGATAATATTTAAGAATCTTTATGTCCTCCTCCTCTCTGAAAACTCCTTTCCGCAGCTCTTTCGCATATTTGTTAAGACCCGTCTCGGAACTTTAGGCATTCGAGCGATCAAAATCTTTAATATTGGCTTGCAAAAGAAACGCTGACATGGGAGCAGTCATCGAAATGGGTTAGTCATCAAAAGTTGGCAGTTATAGGATGCGGTGAGTTATTGAAAAGATTCATACTTTCAGAGATCATCTAACTATCCATAAACAAGTCATTTAAGTGAGCACTCTCCTAAGGCGTTCTTACTTTCTTAATGGAGTTGCTTTTTGATGGGCCATTAGGCTCAGAAATAGAGGTATCTTTATACTGCCAGACAACTCTAAAAGTGAACCAATCTAAGACGGGCCTTACACTAATGTTAAGCGCAGTATTCGAACTCCTGTTTGGCTAATTGTGAAGATAGTGCTCAAATCTTTGGCCTTTCGTGCAAGAGCAACTCGACCATTAGTCATTTACCGCTGCTCAGCAATCTTTGGGGAATTTTAGGCATCCATTGAAATCAATAGCAGCCCACTCAACAATTGGGTCGGAATATATATTCCGATCTGATCGGCTGAGTTCAGAGTGTGACGTCAATGCCAAGAATCCAGGGCGATCGCGTGTATACGCACACTTTTGTACTCTTACTTTGCTCTCTGTTCATGCACAGAAAGAAAAAGGTGCACATTTGTCAAAGTTTTCAAAGAACCACAGAGAAATAAGTTTACCAATCTTGACATTTATTTAAACTGAGATTATCAATCTAAAATATGTTGTGTATTTTTTTCTAGCTGTGTAGCCTATTTTCTGTCCCTCTTCCGCTGGACACTCTGTCTGCCAGCCCGTCGCCACCCACCCACCCACTCGGAGGCAGAAGGTCAATTGCATTTCGCTTGCCAGTTCATTAATTTCGCCTCTTCACACACAGTCTCAGTCTCTGGGATAAATATAGCCCACTTTTTGCTCTCTCGCTCTTTTCGGCTCTGCCAGTCTAATTGCAAACTCCTGCTGCTGCGGTTGCCACAGCTGACCAACAAGTGAACCACCACCCACCCACCGAACCACCCACCCCCTGACCTTGTTTAAACTGGCGCGCGCAGGTGAAAAATGTAAGGCTCGTGCCAGTTTCTAAAATAATAAATGACCTTATTCTGGGATCCCCTTTTCCCAGAAAAGTTTGGTCGCTTAGTAAAGTTTGTTAGGTTTTTCTCAACCATTTTTCATGTAATGAAAATCTGAGTATGGTATCAAAAAGGTCCAAATATATACTTATTATATATTTAAATATAACCAAATCAAGAGCATTTACCCATTCAGCTCTTCTGGTTAGCCACACTTTCCATGTCTCCCCTTTAAAATCACCCACGCTCCATAAATATATCGTTTTCGATGTTGGCGCTTTAGTGGCTTGCATTTTATCTGGTTGTTAGTTTTTTATTAGTTGTCGTGTCTTTTCCTTTTGTGTCTTGGTTGTCGCATCATTTGTCGACCGGCTATAAAAACCTGTGATAAGCGCTCTTAATGGCATAACTTCCACGAGAGCCAAGACGATCCTAAACAGAATGAGCCGTGGCTAAGCCCAGCTTAACTAAGACGAGTTGAGTGGCATGGAGCTAAACGGTTTATTGAAATTCTTCAAGCCTGTTCTACAGTCGAATTAACCATTTCGAGTGAGTCAGAGGTGGAAATTCTTCGATCTACGATTTAAGTTACGAGTTTTGGGGAAAACAAAGAGGAGTTGGGACTGATGGGGAAGCAAACCTCTTTCCAAAAACAGGTGGTTCTTAAAAATAACTGCTTAAAGAGAATGTATTTATAGTTTTCAATCGTACCTGATTATTCCTACTGTTATTTTGTACTGTGAATCGGTTTAGGTCCTGCTTGATGCTCTCGAGGGCTTTCTCCGTGTATTTATCATTGGGGCGACCGCCCCTTTTTTCGCCCGCTGGATGCATAATGCTGCTGCTTCGCCCTGTGATATTTAGCACTCATATCACAGAAAGATGCTCGACCGCCACTTCACAGACACACACACGCACGGCGCACACACACGCACACACACTGGGGCACATCGGCGGCCAGGGGTTCGATTTAAATGAATATTTCTGGGGCTTCGCCTTTCTTGTTATTATTATTTAATTTGATGTTTCGTATAAAAAACACGTAAATTGATAGATTATACCGCAGCGATTTGTGATCTGTTGGTTGGTTGGTTTTCTGTTTTGTTGGACTTCGTATTGTCGTATTTCCTCGGCAGGCACTTTTTGCATTTGATTATTTGGGGGGAGACTTTATAATGAACTACTTAGTCGCGGGCATGCGAAGGTTTACGATGCTTTATTATCTCGATCTTGATATTGTTGCTCTCAATAAAGATAAATGTGTTTGCACTGCTCTTTCTCGCTGTGTAGGCTTCTGCTTTTGTTTGTCGTCGGATTATTTATCACTCGCGCCGGGAATTCTTCCACCACTTCACATTTGCATTATAACAAAAACTTCTCTCGCCGCCCAGCATTCAACATTCATTTTGCATGTAAATATTTCTGCTCACATTTTAGTCTTTTTCCGATTTGTTCGTATTCTCCGTACTCCTCTGCTTTATCACAGATTCTGCGCTGGCCGCAGACACAATTCAAATTCGAAAATAGTTGGCAGATCCGAATAAAGTCCCAGGCGATGAATGAATTTCATTTGAATATCTGAATATCAAAATATTAGTTGATTTTTAATTTGATTTGATTCTCGGCCACACGGAATTTTAATTGATCCTACGCACGATTCGAAGGCGGCCAACTCGGAGCTGAAAATATACGGAACGATGGGGAGAATTGGATGAGAAAATTGATCAAACGAAAATTGTCACACGCTATGCGAAAACGAGGTTTCTGTGACCCATTCATTAGGAATCAACTCAGTGGGTTTTAGGTTCATTCGCACTGAATTTAATTGGACTTAACTACACAAGGAGTATCTTAACAGATTAAGTTCTAATTTAATTTAAAGAAACTTTAAACAAATCAATAATAAATATTCCTAGTTACACATGGGAAATTCATCATTATTTTTCCCCCATTTAGTTGCAATCGTGAACGGCGTTACCCAAAAATCACCCGAGAAAGGCGCTAAAGTCATGCAAAAGAAAGCACTTCCTCCACAAGTGGCGATGGTCATTACGAACAATGAGTGTGGATTTTCCGTCAGCCTTAAGACCCCGTAATTCAGTGACTCACGTCGCCGGCATTCAAATGGGCCGACAACCCATCAGATAGTGCTGGAAATTCGGACTTTTGACAGTCGAAATAGCTACGATTTTTACTGGAAAGCAAATAAGGCAAATTTACTCGACAGGGAAGAGTTTTTGAAACACAGCACTGAAGTATTTCAGTTTTCAGTCATATGCATCTTCACTGATATGATAATTATGCTCTTATGTCATGTTTTGGGTTCGGGGGAACTGTTTAAAATAAAAATCCCCGCACCAAAAGGCAGCAATGAAAACACAAACCCATTTTTATGGCCAACCATTAAGTTCACACTATATAGAGGGGATCGGGGGGCGGAGGGAGTGGCGTGCGCACCTGACTATGAAATAGCCATCGATATGTAAACAAACACGGAATTTCGCCGAATTTGTGCCAAGTGCAAATGAGGAAGGAAACGCACGAACACAAAATCACGGGTTGTTGATCGAAGTCGAGAATACCCTGCACTACTGGCGGATGAATAATCACAGTTTGCACTTAAATTAATTTCGAATTTCACTGAGAAACTGTTTGCTAATTGGTGAATAATAGTGCAAAATAATTGTTCATATGGGAGTCATTTGATATAGGAATCAAAACCTTTCCCAGACGGTTGACTATTTATTTGTTTAAATAAAAACCAGCAGATGACGCTCCTTCCGAGGAATTTTTCTTTTCAATTTTGTTGTCATTATATAGCAACACTGCAAGAGTAAAATACATTTATTTGGCAATTTAAGTGACCTTTAGAAGATCATTGCTTCTCTATCAATGACTCCATTAACAACCGATTTCGCCATTTGTTCATAAAGTAGGAACACTAGCGAATTCCAAATAGCGAATTCCAGCTCCCGCCACTCGCATACATATATCCAGAGATAATAAACCATAGACATCTGTCAACATCCAAACACGACTCTGTGCCTTGATCTGCAAACAGCATTTTGATTGCCCTGTAAATTCACTCGAACATAAAGGCAGCAGCAGCGAAACAGCACCGCAAAATATGAGTTTTAATTATTCTGTTGACAAAAGTTGTTTTCTTTACTTTAATTCTATTCGCTTTGCCAAGGAATGTGAATTCTGCTGGCTTTGTGTACACGAGACATAGATGATAACAGGCCGGGGAACATATAGATCTTGGGTGGGTAAACATCTCGGGCCCCACGCGCCAAATCCGAGTGTCAACAGAGATCGGCCCTGGCGGATATGTAGCCTCCCGCAATATTTTTGTTTTGGTGCCAAGTTGGGAAATTTTCGCATTCCACGCATACCTCATGGTATTTTTGCGCAAATAAACACGAGTGTGTTCGTATCCAATAACTAATTAACAATCCAAACAACTAACTCGCTTGCAATCCAATATCTTCTTCCATCCCGCTCCCACTCTCCTGAATTTTTTGATTTTGATGCGTTATTAAGCGGCTACGCTATTGGAATTTTTAATTGTTTAATTGCGACCAAAGTTGTGCCTCCACATAAAAGACAGACTGCCGCCTCATATCTAAAGCCATCTAAATGACTATTATTTTTCTTTATTTTCGCCAGCGCTTAGGCAGAATTTTGTATTTAGCATTAATTGAGACATTTTATTAGCAATTATTCGACTTGGAACATTCGGATTGTACTTTTCCGGGATATAAGGTTGCCTTTGGACAATATACAAGGGAATAGGAAGCTTTCTTTCTCACAATCCCATCTATCTCAGGAATTAGCTTACCTACTTTAAAATATTTATTTTTAAGAACAATTAGTTTCGCAAACTAGCGTTTAGTATTTACTTTGTCATGATTCTGTTGACTTTGACACTTGCAAGGAGGTGTTTACATCCCTGAGACTTACACTGTGTAAGCACAGTCTAACTAAAATACTATCTAGGTTCTAAGAGATTATCCATAAACCAAACACCTCCTTAAACAAATAAATTAAGTATACGTAACACCCTACTTCTCAGATTAAGATGCGAAACGAAAATATTGCAGCGGGCACTTGCTATGTGCAGTATAGTCTTGTTACTCGGTCTTACCCAATATCCGATGTCTAGTTTTCACTAAACAGAGCATGTTACTATATGAAAGACCAGAGATCCAGAAATCCCGAGCCAATTACGAGGTTCCCGAAAGAGAGCGATCGACAGAATGGCAGGGGAGAAAAGGGGGGTCGAGGCGGCGAGAGAGCCGAAACACGCTGCAGGGGGCAAACACTCGCATTCACACACACACACGCAAGCAAAGAAGTGTGCGACGCGTCAGGGCAGAAGATAAAAATAGTATTAGTTGCTGATTATTATTGCAAAAATGCGCATTCCACAGCAAAGGAGGAGAGAGAGGAGCGCAAGAGGCGGGAAAAGGGGGAGGCAGCAGGCGGAAAAAAGGGGGCGGGATGGCGGCTGCTGTGTTGTTGCTTTGCTCTTGCTCTCTCTGTTTTCGTTTCGTTTTCCCTTTTTCATCCACTCTCACACAAACACACACATAGAGGTGTGTTACAAAATGTGTGCGGAAAGGGGGTGGGACAGGGGGCGCAGAGGGGATCGAAGCAAGCAAGAAAAACGAGCTAAATTGCATTTTCGTCGTCGACGTCGCTCGACTTGCATTGCATTGCCCAGTGGCGGAGATGGGGGCGGGGAAAATTCCATGGGGTTACAAGGGTTTTAAGAGGGTCGATCCCTTTAAGTCGGTAATCAAGCCAGCCAGCATCTTTATATGTAACTTGTTACAAATATTTTATTGAGAATCAGAGGGACATAATCGTTAATAATAAAACCCTCTAACCTTTTTCGAATTGTACTGGGAATAATTGGTAAGGATTTGCAAAAGCTCCCAACTCTGTCTATTTAAGCCCTCTTCTTGCAGGGCATCCTTTAATTCGCCCCAATCCTATCTACTAACCTTCCTCTTTCTTTTCTTGTTTTATCGTTCATTTACTTTTAAAAGCGAACAACAACAGCAAAAACGGCCCACTGTATTGGTATTTATTGCCCTGCTCTCTGACTTTTGTGCGTGTATGTGTGTATCTGTGTGTTTTGTGGAATGCACACGATCAACGCCAATGGAACCTCACCTGTTCCATTCTGCCGCAGTCGCAGTCGACGTCGGCAGCGTCAAGAGTACAGAGCAGCAGCAGCAACAAACCCAGCAGAAAAAACAACAACACTCACATAATCCACTGCGAATTGCATGCTGGAATGTGAATGGAATCTCAACAATTTTCCAGCGTCGCTGACGATGACGCCGCTGTTTGCTGGTTTTAACAAAACAGAAAAAAAAACTATTGCAACAACAACAATAGTAGTAGCAGCCACAGCAACAACATTTTGCACGTTTGGGAGGAGTTTTGTGGAGTTTTTTTTTTGCCAGATTGGTCAAGCTTTTTTGCTTGCAACTTGCGGGCTTGCTTGGTTTTTACGACCATTCGATGGAATTAATTCGGTACTTTGAATGGGTTTTAGTTAATATTAAAACAAGGTTTTCCGAATATTACGATTGTACATTGTATCTAAAAACATTTTCAAATTGGGGCACAGACATTTTTTGGGTAAACGACCAGCCAAGTTGCAATTAAGGCTGTGAATTTTGACTGACATGCCGATACGCTGTCTTCACAAAAGGAGGAGGAGTTCATCAAGCCACAGCCGCCCCCTTTTGTTTCTTGCTTTTGTCTTGCGCTTTTGGCGCAGCATAAACAAGCTGCCTGAGAAATTATTGTCGCACTGACATTGAAGTGGCGGCGCTGCCTCTAATTACATATTACAATGGGTTGCACTGCAGTTACTTGTGCCACATTTTGAATCTTTCGTATTTTCATTTACTTTGTTGCTTTACATTCGTATGTAAATCGGAGGCAGCTGCTGCCCACGGTTGCATTAACACTGCGGATATTGTCACATATATTGTCTTGATTTTGGCTCAGCTACAGTGGGTACTACTTGGAGTGAGATTGAAAAGGACTTGTGGGTCTAAGATCTTTTTAGTTGAGTGTATAACCTCTTTTTTTTTGCTATTACTAAACATGACATCAAAAAATACATCAAATTGGAAATATACAAATTCGGAATATGCTTATTATGTGTAGTTCCTATTAGTTGTGATTTGCTGCTGCGGGGCTTGTTGGAAACGTGTAGCAAAAACCCAAAGGAATTTCAATTAACACTGGAATTAAGTTAAATATTATTTGAGATTAATAGTTTTTCACAGACACTCTGCAGGAGAGAGATGGAAGACAGAAGAATTTAATCCGATTTGTGTAGCAATCTCTGGCTCTCTCTTTCTCTCCCCTACATACAAACACACACATGCATCCGAATAGACTCCACGAGAGAGCGAGAGCGAAATATGTAAATACAGCCTGTTGCATTTGTGTGTGTATTTCGCATTTCGTTTTTCAGGCTCTTTTCCGCACATTTTTTGATTGCTTTTTGTGCGTTTTTCCGTGCAGTTTTCCTCGCTTTTCCACACAGACAATTGGAAACGCACACAATCGCATTTAAAGCAACCACACAATCTTATTTTCACACGCACTGGCTCACACACACACACGTTGGAAAGATATTGCATTTTCTTTTCGGACTGGAAGATACGCAAATTCCAGCTGCAAACGTTGCATTTTCACCACGCATTTTCCACATTTACCTTCGATCCTTCGCATTATCCACGCTTTTCACGTTTTCCACCCAATTTTCTTGCTTTTCGCCTCTTTGTTCTCGCCTTTTTCGCGTTTCCCACTCACGGCACTTATTGCTTTTTTCTTTTTCTCCTCCTTTCCTCTTCTTTCTTGTTGACAAATTGGCGATATCTTATTAAAGGTTCACTCGCGTTCTTTGATTTCCACGTTTCCCGACTATTAAATCGCGTTTCCGGGCGTTTTTGATGCGTTTAGCCTGAATTTAGTAAAAATTAATTCGTGGTTTGTTGCTGCCGTCGTGCTAGGTATGTTCAGTTATCGATAGACCGACATCGATAAAGGAGTCAATAGGGATGTGTCCTACACAGTCTGGCAGCACAGTTAATAATCGATATATATCGATGAGAATGTCTTGAAAACAAAAAATAACTCAATCGAACAAACAATAAATTATCTAGTTAAATATTTTTGCTTAATTATAAGTAGAATCATGTAGAACAAAAAATTTTAGTGCGTTGAGAGTCCACCTGTTGGTCCTCAGCGCCGCCTCACACCAGTTCTCTGATTAGCACATATCATAGACTCAAACTAACTTTGAACTGTTTAATTAAATTCAATTTCATTAACAAAAGAGAAAATAGTAACTGTAATAATTTAAAGCTGTATATTTAATTTTAATTTTTCCATTTTATTTTGATATTGTTATATCAAAAATTAATATCGTTTTCCCGCTCTCTTATTCAAAATGTCGATAGCAATTGCTCACGTCTGCGTTTATAGTGAGCACCACCGATACGTTATCGAATCTGCATGATTTTCTTCGGTTTTCCTAAAGTTGTTTCTCGGTCTTTTTGCAATTTTGTAAATATGTCGAAAAGCGCTCTGGTTATTCTGGCTCCCGGGGCCGAGGAAATGGAATTCATCATAGCTGCCGACGTTTTGAGGCGTGCAGGGGTACGTTCTATACTTCAGCCGATAAATCACTCTTCACCCACTATATGCTATATGTTCTGGTAGATCAAGGTCACCGTGGCCGGATTGAACGATGCGGAGCCGGTGAAATGCTCCCGGGACGTGCAAATTCTCCCGGACACCTCGCTCTCCAAAGTATCCTCCGACAAGTTCGATGTGGTGGTTCTGCCTGGCGGACTGGGCGGCTCCAATGCCATGGGAGAGTCCTCGCTGGTGGGGGACATCCTGAAGAGCCAGGAATCCGGCGGCGGACTCATCGCCGCCATTTGCGCGGCTCCCACGGTTTTGGCCAAGCACGGAATCGCCTCTGGAAAGTCCCTTACCTCATATCCCTCAATGAAGCCGCAGCTCGTCGACAAATACAGGTTTTTATTTTGGGATTCCTAATTTAAATTGTACAATTAATTAATTAATGCATTTTCTTTTAGCTATGTGGATGATAAGAACGTGGTTCAGGACGGGAATCTGATCACCAGTCGAGGCCCTGGAACCGCTTACGAGTTTGCCCTCAAGATCGCCGAGGAGTTGGCAGGAAAACCCAAAGTCCAGGAGGTCGCCAAGGGCCTCCTTGTTGCCTATAATTGAATGAAGACAAGGAATCCGAGACTCTCGGTTGTAATTTATTAAAGTTATATTGATCTATACCATTGATGTAATCAAGGACTGCATTAAAATAGTGAAACGCATCATATGGTTTAAAAAGTGGGCAATATGTTAACTACAAAGTTTAGAATGTTTTTAATTATAAACCGTTACCTTTCGTGTTAAAGACGAAATTGAGAGATCTCGTTAGTAGGAATGAGTCCCCGATAAATAAGGACTGCTTTAGGACAAAACGCGTTAGTAAATTATTAGAGCACTGCTTGCCGAATGGCTATGAGCATATAGCTAGCACTGAACGTCAGAACTGATAGTTCTGGCTCAGAAAAATGATATGCATTAATACAAAACATCGATACTATCGTTTGTGAGACCAATGTTTTGGTGTTCTTCAGTCTCAACGTTCGTTGGCTGAGAATTCATCATTTAACTATTAAGAAAACGTACTTCTGTTAAGCATTTTAGTGAAATATCTGTTCCCAGCTTGGAGAAAGCTCTTTTAACGAGCTATTCTCTGGCGGCCTAGCTAAATCTGGCTACCAAATAGCTAGTTGTACATCACCGCATACGATAGTAATACAATACAACAAGCTAAAATGGCAACACTGCCGTGGACAGCCACCGATACAAAACACTCAGCTGAACGTACTCTCGTGGGTCGGCGTTTTCGCGTTTTCGCTCCGCTGCCGATTTGAGTCCGATTTAGGCCCGATTTACTGGCTAAAAACGCATTTAATTAACAAAAATCAAGTAGTTATACGCGCTACGAAAATGTTTTGCTGTCCAAAAGGAAAACCGTTACAAAGTGCCGAAAATCAATAGCAAAGCAAAGTAAATAAAAGTGCATACGAATGAGTGTGGGAAACGAAATGCAAGTGCGTGCCAACAAATAAGAAATAAGAAGCCAAAAGGAAGCGAAGGAAGATAAGAAGTAAAAAGTGCAACGGATAAAGAGAAAAAGAGCTCCAACAAATAAAAAGAAAAATTCGGTGCGGCTTTTCTACGTGACGCGAAATTAAAAGTGCTCTCTCTTTCTCCTTCTTAGTCTCTCCCCCTCTCTTTCCCACTCGCTCTTTGTTGAAATTTAGCTGCGAACAGGGTCAAAATAAAAAAACACGTCGAAGAAATACTTGTGTATATAAATTCTAGGTAATTCCTACCTTCCGTTTTTTGCGGTTAACGCGCGTGATTCATAAACTCGTATTTAAGTAACAAAAAAGATAAAGAAATTCTGCCGTGCATTGAACCTGCTGAAAACGCTGGGCCCAAGTAATCAGCCAACATGGATAACAGTAAGTTTTCGTTCCTGCAGGCTGCAGTTATTATACCCTTAAAAAAGCTACTAGGAATATTGGGTGAATGTTGACAGAGTGGAAAACTTTAACTGTGTGTTCATTTACAAAATACACTTCCTATTTGATGTGGTATTAATTTATAGTGGTCTGATATTTTATCAAATCCAATTAATTTTACAACCAAAAATATTCCCAGAGTATTTTAATATTCTACTTCCCGAACTCCAATTCCTTTCTCGTTTGTTGTTTTTGTATTTTTCCTAGTTTTTCGGGGTGGGTCCGCCTATTTTTGCCGTCTGCCTTTTGCTCACCATTTTCGCATTTTGTGCGCCCGAAAAACTTCTTTTTGTTATTGTTGTTTTTTCGGGGTGGGTGTGTCTTCTTAACCCAAGGACACTCGGGGTTTTCTTTTGTTTTTCTTTCTGACTTGAATAAAATCCTTTGGCTGACTAACGGTTTGGTAAAGCCATGGTTGTTTTTCACACTTAACGTCCACAACTTTTACAGCAATAAACCAAATGTTGGTAACAAACAAATATAGTAAAGGTTAAAAGAAAAAACAAAGGAAACAAGGAAACCGGTTTTAGAGGCAGGCCGATGAAAAGGTCTTTTAAATGAGAATTTTTGCGTTTTGATGATTTCATGTTGCCATCAATTTAACACTCTCTGCCCCTTTGGGTTAACGTCAACCCCCCTCCCTCACCGCCTTAACCCCTTGAAAACTTTTCAAATTCACAATGGGAACTGGAGAACAAACGTTCTGCGATGCAAATTAGTGGAAATTTTCTCTCTTTCTGGTCAGTTAAAAACCTATGGTTCAGCGAGAAGTCCCATAAAATTATTGCGGTTTTTCACATTTTAATTAACTCTTTTGAAAACCCTACTCCATAGAGGAACTCTATGACCTTTTACTTATTATTTTTAGTATCAAAAATTTGTAAAAACATAGAAAAGGCAAACCTTTATTTTGTTACTTTTTTTGTTTTTTAATATATGTATGTTTACATTCCATTTTTGTTCTAATTTTTCCAAGATCAGCTGTTGTGTTCGATTGTTGTTCGATTTTCCCTTTAAACAGTTCAAAGCTGACCCTTTTCTGACCCGTTGGCTACTGTTCAGTGCTCCGTGGAGAGATAATCCGGGATCGATAGGAACTACTACTGAGGAGAGGCTTCTATGGAGGACAATATTAATAAATCTTAATGTGCGTTTCAACCTTGTTATGGCTTCTTTGTGGAGACCCAAGATTGAGCAGCTCTCGTCTTTGTGTCTCGGTTTTTCCCCGATGTTGCCGGCTGATAATGGAAGCTGATTGAAAGACCCGCCCATTATCCCCCTCCCTATCCTTCAAAACTTGCACCGCACCCGCAGCTGTTTTACTGATGATTTCTTTTGATGAACAGTTTCCATGGACAGACAATGGAAAAGGCCAGCTCTCTATATACATTTACTCGTATTCCGAGCTACATTTGCATCCCAAACAAAGCTGCTTTCTTCCGCTTGTTTAAGTGATTTCGACTGGCGTTTATGTAACGCCAACACAAAACAGGCAACAATGGCAATCAATGGTCAACACAAACGATTCGCCAAATGAAAACATTTTATCAGATTTCCCATTCGCCACATTTCGCTTTGGTTTTTATCTTATCATATGCATATCTGAGGGGTTCCAGCACTCCTTGAGCCAAAGCTTTCCTGACAATTTAATAAATTGCTCTTACCACGCCTGGATTTTGCCGGAATTGACTGCGGCGTGGGCTGCGAAAGGGCTAATGAAGAACTTGGGAGCCACGCCCTCAGATGGGCCATTGCCATTAGCCGCTTCTTATAAAACTCTTTCTCTGCCTATTTCCCCATGTTCGCTGAAGTTATGAGAGCTGATGGATCGCTCCATGAGTCACTTTGAATTCGCTGAATTGGCCACGACAGTCGCGAATTGGGGGCATGAGTTCGTCGGAGGGGGAATACTCTATCCACAACAGGAGTGACTCATTGATAAGGTGTACATTTAATACACTTTAATTTTAATAAGAAACGGTGGTCCATAATCTCCGATACACTTTTAGTTCCCAAATAATTTTTGTAAACATACATATCCCTTAAATAACTCCTGAGTTTTAATAGAGATAGCTTCAAAATCTTGTCACTTCCCTTTGAGATGATGATATTTAATACTCAGAAAAATAATTGCCGGATATGCCCTGGCAAGAGTGTGGATGTACAATGTAGAAACGGCAGAAACATTAAATTTTGTTTTCAATTATTCTCCGTTTGCATTTCGTCGCCGGCGAAGCGAACAGACCGCTTTATTGATATGCAAATAATTTACTTTTCGCAGCTTGTTTTTGTTTTTATTTTTCGCTGGTCGAGTGCATTCAACAGTTGTGACTTGGTGATTCAGACTCGAATTCGAATGGCAAATTGTGTTTTAGCTGGCTTTTTGGCCTGTGCGCCTATCTTATCGCAACTCCTCAGACTTGTTCTGCCCTCGCTTATCACAAAAGGGAGGGGAATAAATAGAGAATTAGAGATATGAGCTCTCCCGCTCGTTCTGCGATATATGTTTCCGTCCCTGACTAAGAATTCCTTAAAAATGTATGTCAAGTTTGTCCAGTGTTTGTTCTCCGATCGAGAAATCTGCCTCAATTAGTTTGGGTCTCTTTTCGTTTATCTTTATGATTTTATAGAAATATGCGGGTCCGTCATCGGGTAAACTATATAGCATTCCATATCAATGAACTGATAAGACCCGCATGTACTTCAAGGCCTCGGATCTAATGACACTTCGAGTGGATCAAGTGCAGTGGATTCCCGAGAATTCTGGGGCTCTTATGTTTACTTCTGGCATGCGTAAAGTTTAATTGTTAAGTTGGCTTCGAGTCATGAAGAACCAATGCGTTTCAGTGATGCAATCAGCGGAGAAACAAGTCTTGTTGAATTGTAATGGAAATATAAATAACAGACATTATTCCCAGATATTTAAATGGATTTCTTAGAGTCTTGACCTCCAGCCGCTCAATTTTCCCCTACCACCAACCGTTTAATTTGGCTAATGCACAACTCATCAGCTGCAATTGCTGATGGATGGATGGCTGACTGCTCCTCAACACTTTCCATCGTAAACTCTGCGGAGTAAGCAGCGATCGCTTCAACATATTGCCACACAAATCACATGGGCGGAGGGGGAAAACGCTGAAAAGGAGGAGGAGGCGGAGGGGGGTTCAGGCTTTTCAATTGAAACCTGCGTTTGGTCAGCTTTTCCATGCTTCGCTTGCCCTCGTCTTCACTGCCGCATTTGCAATTGAAATGGAAATACATTCAAGTGATGGTCAAGGGTGAAGTGATTTTTCGCATTAGAAGGTTTACACATGGAACAAAAATTAAAACAAGTTTGAAGGAATGGATTTTAATGTGCTTATCCAAATATGTTCGAACTAGGGTATTCTCCCTAACTACTTCTATAATATATTCCATAAAATCTGTTCTTCTATTCACTGGTTACTTAGCAGTTTTCCTAAACATATCTTGAAATTTTGCCAGTGTTTTCAAATGGTCACGCGTGGCAATGACGACACCCACGGCCATGACTTAATCGAACCCGAATGTTAATGCCACTCTTTGTTTATCGCCCACGGGTCTCCACCCCATCGATAAGGGTCGTCCCCCCTGACTTATCACTACGGTTTATGTCCTCCGATAGCAATGATTCACAAAATGTCAGTTTGAAGGGAGTTAAGTGCATGTGTGCCTCATAATTACCCAGTTGCTCCCGGCTTTCTCTGTGGTTATTTGTCTGCGATTCGGCCCAATTAAATCCAATTGAAGTGCAGCTCATTTGGCGACAAACGAATTAGTTTAGTGCCTGTGTTTTCACACGCAATGTGCGGCCTTGAACTTGAGCAATTGCCTTTACTTGAGGGCCAGCGAAAGCTCATAAGTCAAGGTCACCTGGGTGGGTTTTCCGTTTCATGAAGGATGTGTGTGTTTCCAACCGAAAGCGTAGAGAAGAGAGAAATTGACTTCTGCCTCCTGGGGACAGCATTTTTGTCGCTTTCTCGTGTGCTCTGGAATTGATTTTGAAGCTCAGGGCTGACCTGAATTTAAAGCGATTATAATGAGGGTTGGCAAATAGCCTGATGCCTTTTCAAGTTGGCAGCAGCTGCTGAGAGTTGTGCTTCCTTATGTTCAGTCATGTTCCCAATGAGTTGAATTGAAGAAGTAAATTTAATATTTAAGAAACAACCCTTTTGAAAAGTTTACCAATTCAATAACTATTGATTTTGAACATAAGTATTGACTTTTTCTCTTCTCTTCTGCCCTCATAAAACTATTTTCCAATCAATATCCAGGGCTTCTGTGCCTGCGTTGCAGCACTTAAAAACCCACGTTGCTGGCCCAAATAAAACAAATAAAAGTTTTAACCGGGTCACGCCAGTTTCCAGTTGGAAGCCCGCCCAAAAAAAAAAAGGCAGTCAGACAGGTCAGCTCCATTAACTCACTATATCTGCACCGAACCGACCGACGCAGTACTCACTTATGCATGTGGATAACCCCTTCTTCTTCTTCTCCTTTGGCTTCTCCCCCCAAAACCTCGGGGACTTGCATATTTAAGAGTCGAACTCACGCAAAGGCAATTTACCGTTTACGGTTCATGGCGTCTCCCCCAACGCCAACATCGCACCATTTGGAATCACTACACTGAGAGAAAATGTTTTCTTAAACACGTGGATTTAATGGTACAAACTAAATCTGAACTGTGTCTTAGGGTTCTCTACTTGTTGAAAATAATAAACAAATTGTATAAGCTAACGAAAAGTGTATCTGCCTTCTTCTCTCTGTATCACACCAACTAAAAGCAATGAAAAGTGTAAAAACCAAAAAAAGAGAAGACAAACCAAGCAAAACCGAAATTCAAAGGCAGCCCGAACCGATAGTTAAACCAATTAGCATGTTCTTGTTTGCTCACCCCAAAAGGGGAGGCGCAGGGGTGGTGTTGGCAGGGGGTGGAGGTGTTTCTTGGAGGTGTTTGCTTTGAACGGAACTTGGGAACTCTGGTCGCACCCTTGGCCACCAACACTTGGAGGCAGCTGCTCACCTGGACCGGTTGCAGGTTATATTATGCGGAGCTTGCCCGTTCCGGTAATCTTTCCGATGCATCAGTTGAACTTTATGAAAAGGGGAGAATGTGGATAAGAGGGGAAGAAAATTTACTCAGCTCAAAATGACTTTATTTGTTTACGATGCTAGTTTTGGAGGGTACTCCCGGGTTTGAAAGATGTTTACGCAATTTATAACGCACTTTATTGGAAGGTTTTTAAAGTTGATGGCAACTTAGAAATACCGACCTTAACACATAATTTGTTTTTTCAATAAAAATGTATAGGGTATCTTTATTGTAGTATTTTCATCGGTTTGGAAGACTCCTCACACCTTAACCTGTTTTCGCGCCATATTTTTAACTATCCAGTAACCGATTTGCATATCTTTATGGCGGACATGATGTGCAGTTTGACATTGGGGGAAGCTGACTTCACAACAAAACCCGATATCGCGCTGATCGCAGATGCGACGAGGCTGCAAGGCAAACAGAAATACCCAAACACCCACAAGTCCATAACAACCAACACGCCCTCTGGCGGCGGCGGTTGGCGACTGCGGCTGTCATGCGATTTTCTCCGCTTTTGACACATTTACACATTTGGTTTTCCCATTCGGCGCTCGGCTCTTTCATCAGGCTTTTCACACGAGTCTGCTGCGCGTTTCCTCGCTTTCCACCACTTGGCGCCCGATTTTCACCATTTGCTGTACACAGAAAAACATTTTGTTGGGACTTCTTTGTGTTTTAAAAATAATTTTCATAAAGATTATCTTTTGATATATCAATCATTAAGAATGTGTAATCACATGATTTTCCTTTAGAACTCTGGTGTTTTTTATTCCTCCATGTTTTTCTTCCTGTGTGGCTTTTCCAGACTCCGCTCATTTCGCAGCTGCATTCCGCCCATTCTGGGCCCTCTTTCGACACTCTCCTCCATTCTTTCCACTCATTCAGCGCGCTTTGCGGTCGGCTGTTATTGTTATTCAAGCGTACCCAGCATACGAGTATATGAGCGAAAAACAAAGAGGAAAGCGGCAGCAAATCGCCGAGGAGGAAGATGAAAAAGTTTGAAAACAAAAACCGCATTAAAGGTTCATTTGGCTGTCGCTTTGTTTGCCTTTTTACAGTCGCGTAGGTTAAACAGTGTGGCTGAGGCACTCGGATACTTGGCCATTCAGATACTCAGATACAAAGATACGAGCGGGCCAGTCAGTCGGCTGCCGTTGGCCTAGATACAAATTGGCTCTTGGTGGCGATGCTACCGTGACACGAGATGTTCTCGAAAATATATTAATTAATCCTTTTTGGACAATAAAGTGATTAACTTATATACTTACTTATCCGGTGGAGACATTCTTCAATAAACCTTGTTTGTTGTTAGTAAATTATATTTGTGTTGAAAAGATCCTACCGCCAATTTGATACATATTTCCCGACTGCCATCCGCAGCTGCCTTTTCCAGGTTTTCTTTAAAGACTTTGATGGTTCCGTCCGTCTGTCAGTCTGTTTGTTGCTATTGCGTTGCGTTAGCTCTTGCTGCAGCACTTTTGCCACTTCATCGCCGGATCTCGATCTCAGACGGGCTCTTTGGGAACTGGAACTGAAACTGCCGCAATTGCGAGTTTAACTGGAGCTGCGACCAAAGTGAAATTATTATTATGCGCTCTTGACGAAACATCGTTGCTTTTCGATTGGCAGCCACTTCAACGCCGGTGGCCCCCATTTCCCCCAAGCCTCCTGTCATTAAAAGAAATGTTAAGAGCTAAATCGAAATGAGCGGAAAATGGAAAGCACTTCGTGACGCTTTAATGCCGTCAAGAGATCAGCTTCAATGGCTGATTTTACACCCATTATTTAATGGGTTTGCTAACGAATGACAATTTCAAATTGTTCTTCACACACTCGTTATCCAGTTCTGATGAGTTGGTATTAGAGTTCCCCCCTTAACCGACCTATATAAAACTAAAATCGAACTAAATTTTAACGACATCACGTAGCCTCGGAATTTATTATTTTGTTGTTTGTTTCTGGCCCTCTTTGTTTGCATTGGTTCTTCGCCTAAGCCAATAAGTGTTTCCAATGCATTTACGTTTCCTCAAGAGGCTTCCTCGTTATATTTCTTATTGAACAGAATGCTTCACATACCCGAGTATTTCGGTGTTTGTTAGGGTGTCCATCACTCTCACGAGACATACAAAATTGGACACGCCATCCAAGCACACGAAAAAACAAGAAATAAATAAAACTGAGTCAATAATGCGGGGGCAGCAACCTCCAAAGCCAAATAAGTTGTGGCTATTTAAATTTATAATTTACATTTTTCAAGCAATCACCTTGTGCGACTCGGAAAAATATAGTTTACAATGCCGGTTTTTAATAAAATGTCAGTCAGCCAAGAGTGTGAGTCATGACAAATTGGGTTTTGCTTGGGATGCTAATGGTAAAGTGTGCTTATGGAATCACTATAAATAAAGAAAATTTGATATTTAAGCTAGTGTCGGTGTACTCTCCGTTTCCTCTGTTTATGAGATAAGTAAGGAATTGAATTTGCCTCATGGAGCGACACTAGATGACTCCATTCGAGCTGAGATATTAGTGATGGTCCGGGAACAATCAGATACGCTGTAGTACCAAGTACTTGGTGACCCATATAGTGCGACAGATTGTTTGATTGATGGATAGATTCAGAGGCCCAAGCACGATCCGTGATTTGTCGTCGCCCACGACAGAAATTGTTATTCCCGTTCCGTACATGGAGTGTCATGTAACTTTTACTTTTTCAGCGGCATCGGCGAACCAAAAACCAAAAACGGGAAAAGCAAAAGACAAATGTCACGTTTTAAAGGGGGTTGGACATAAACACATATAGATGGGTATTATAGTAGGTTAAGCGTTGCGCAACTCGATACAATTGTAAATATTTTCACAAACATGTCATGTTTGTATGTCATAATTGGGTAACTCAGTTTGCGATTCACTTTACCCAGGGGAATGATGAATTCTAAGAATTTCTCAACCACAACAACAATATATTGCAGTAGGTTCAGGTTCTTTATTTGTCTTGAGAAACATTTGGATTAATAATATGTATTGTTAGTTTTTGTATTTAACAGACTTTACTTATTTCTTATTTACTTTCAGTCTGTGCAATAGTCGAATACGAGTATGCGGCCAAGGAGCCCGACGAGCTGGATCTCCAGAAAGGTGCCATCATCCATCGGATCAAGCAGATGCCCGGCGGCTGGTGGCAGGGCACCCTGAAGTCCTCCGGAGTCACAGGCATGTTCCCGGACAACTTTGTCCGGGTGCTCGAGTCCGGCATCAGCAGCAATGGAAACGGAACCACAGGCAGTGGGGACCACCTCGACGAGGGAACAGCTGTCCAACTGAGGTTCGTCCACTTGGCCCACTTTAATGACGCAATATCTGAATTTCCATTCTGTCCGCCTTCTCCGGGTTTCAGGGACAAATCCGCGACATCGAACCGCCGCTGCAAAGTCATCTATAGTTACACACAAGTCAACGACGACGAACTTACGCTGGCTGTGGGTGATGTCATTGAATTCCTAGGGGAGGTGCGTATACGCAGGGTCACTTGGGTTGGGGCTGTGGGCTTGCTACCCCCATTTAACCTATTGGGCCAATAGAAATTGAAATTCGCTGTACACTGAGGGAAGTGAAAGAACGCTTTTGTACTGAGTAATAATTTTTAAATGAAGATGCCTCATGAATAACAAAATCCTTTTGAATAACACAATTTTCTTATGATGATTATATTTATTATTCGCTTTAAAACTGTTTAAAGAAATCAACTTCCGCAGAACGTTCTACGTTTCTCTCAGTGTAGAGCACTCGCTTTCAGTCTGTTCATTTCACTCAATGCTCTTCCACTCTGTTTTCTCATTTAGGTCGAGGAAGGCTGGTGGCGCGGTCGTCTGCGCAGCAAAGTCGGCGTCTTCCCATCGAATTTCGTGCAACATATCGAACCGTCGCCCATTTTGGCCTCCAAACGGCCGCCGACAATCGGCGCCACTGTGACCACGTCGTCGCTGACGTCCAAGGCGGCGAATGTGGCCAGTGTGGCCAATGTGGCAGCCACATCCACGTCCACAACATCCGGAGGAGGAAGCACCGCCTCCGCAGCAAAGCAGGCGACCAAGAGCAGAGCGGTTGCAGCAGGAACTGCGGCTCCAGCGGAAACAGCGGCCATAGGATCGGGATTGGGATCGGGATTGGGATTGGGAGCTGGAGCAACGGGATCGGCAGGACCTGCGGGTCCTTCGGCAGTGCCCATGCTGCCACCGAAGCCCCAGCGGGAGTACTGCCGGGTGGAGTTCCCCTACGCCCCGCAGAACGACGACGAGCTGGAGCTCCGGGTGGATGACATAATCACAGTGATCACCACGGAACTGCCCGACAAAGGCTGGTGGAAAGGAGAAATCCGCGGCAAGGTGGGCGTTTTCCCCGACAACTTTGTCAAAATGCTGGCACCCTCGGAAGGTGAGTTTTCTCCCGGCGTTTTCACCCGCCGCTTTTCTCTCCATCATCGCATCTCGCATTTTTGATTTCGGTCTGTCAAGTTTGTTGTCATCCAAAGTCTCCACCTCCCATCAATGCATTTTCCCCCTCTTAATTGGAGGCAATTTTCCAAACGCATCGTCTGCAGAGCTGCAAGTCGTTAGACTTCCAAACGACTGACTGTCGTGATCCAAAGTCAATAAACGTTTGTTTGGTAATTGAATTAATTAAAAGAAAAGACACAAAAGCCACAAAGCCACTCCCTCCCCGTTTCCCCCGTCGCTGCATATCTCTTGGATCGTTAGTTTTCATCGTCTGTGCGAAATTTGTAGATGACTTAATTGCCGCTGGCGCATGTGAATCAGATAACTTTTATCGCCGATGCGTAATGGATTTTTATTTAACTAGGGATTTGTGTACGGGAGATTCATAGGCGGAAAGTGAGTTGACTATTTAATGGTTGATTTTAGAGGGAGTTGACAAGGTTTTTAACGAGCCTTTCAAATTGTAAACAAGGATAGGCATTTTTTATGACGAAGACGTAGTTTAAGATAGGGAAACTACATGAATGTATCTTCCAATAAAATGCTTGAAAAATCTAGCATAGCATAGTATAGTTTATTGCAAATATAAAAAAATAACACAGATATTAGTTAATGGACTTTCTTAAATCAAAAACGGACATGTATGTAGCTTCATACTATGCTTAAATAACAAAAGACAGTAGCTAATGGGATCAAATTAGAGGTAGACAAAGACTTATCAATTTGATGGCTAGTTTTCCCAATTAATCGCTGGCACCTCAGATACTTCACATCCATAACACGCACCTCACGCTCCATGCAGTTTCAATTAAACCATTCAAATATGTTTCGGTTAAACCATGTCTTCATTTCGTTTCCCAGTTTTTTATGACTTGCTTTTTGGTTTCTTGGCTTTTTAGTGGGAAATTATTATTACTTTTCTATCTACCTGTGTCTCTTGTGTTATGAATCCACTCACTATTTTGTATTTTACGACTCCATGTTGTTGCTCTTTCTCTTTGTAATTTTCCTCAACACTTTTCTCTTCCTCTACTTCCCTTTTCTTCTAACTGAACTTCTCTTTCCACTGCGATTTTCTGCGATTTTTCGGTGTTTAATAATGAATACTACTGCCAAACACTACGAACACAAAACACTGCCAATGCACACAAAAACTGTATGAAAACAGTGCGAAACGCAGCAGCTCCACCGCTGCCACGCCCACGAACCCGTGCTAGAAGCGGAATCGGAATCGGTGGCGGAATCGGTGCCGGATCCGGGTCCGGAGTTGAACCCGGAGACGTAGAGGGGGTCCGTATTCCTCGGCGGACGCAGCGCGGCGGCTCTTTCGAGTTCTTGGGCGCGCGTATGGCCAGCTTTATCACCACGATTTGTATGTAAACGAGTTTTTCCAGTGAGCAGCAGCAGCAGCCACAGTGAACCACCCCCTCCCCCCTTTCCCGCTCCCCCTGCCCCTCCTAAATGTTCCTCTGGGCTCTTGACTTTTCTAGTTTTTCTTATGTTTTTTGGCCAATTTTCATTTTCCTTTCTCTGTCGGCTTTGTTGGTGCCTCCTTGAGGCGCTTTGATATGAAATGGAAAATTGTTCAGCTCTGAACGCCCCTCTTCCTGTTGCTGCTCCTCTTTCTTTGCCCATAATTTCTGTGATTTATATTTTGCTTAGTTTGCGCACTCAGTTTAACTAGAAGACAGTATAGTAATGGTAACGGATTTGTTTGAGTTGAAGGAGCTGCTTCCACATAAACAAAAAAGATACAAAACATATAACATGTACTGAATAGTATTCTTATATTTATATAATTTATATATTCCAACTTGTTTGCTAGAGTAACTAATATATTCCGCAATATACTTTTCTTGTTTTGGCCTCTCCTCTGTTAATCACCAGTGCTTTGGTTTATTTATTTGGATTTCCTTGGCACTCGCAATGCCAGAGGGTCTGCGTCCAGACGCGTAGGCGTGGCAGGATGGGCGGTTCTTAAAGGCTGGAGGCGAAGCACATTCAAATAAAACCTCTTTTTTACGATCGCTTTTTTCTTTTCAATTTTCGTTGCATGTATGAATATTTGTTTGAGCGCCAACGAGTTGACATTTGCATGGGTGACCGAAAACTTGTTTGTTTTGTTTGCCCGCTTTGTTTGCGAAAAAAGAGTTTTCTCCGCATTGTTCAAACACTTGGCAATTTGTTGTTTGGAAAAGTTGAAATATTACACCTAATTAACACAAATTATTTCGCAGCATACTTTGCGGTCGCCAGTGGAATTCCATGTGGGGCTGGAATTGCGTTTTGCTAAATTTATGCTTGGCATTTAATTTTGCTTTGGCTTTTTGTTTTTGTCAACGTCGCGTTTTTTCCAACCACCTTCGACACTTGAGCAGCAGCAACATCATTAAAATAAACAACAGTTGGCCGTAACTGGTTTTGTGCTACGTTTTGGTTTTACGTGGCTCTTTTGCGGTCGGCAGCTCTTCCTTCTCTCTTTCGGCCGAAAGTCTCTTTGATCATCAGGGGCGATCATCATGATCATCATGATCATTTTCATTAGCGGCGATTACTCGGGACTCCCCCCTTCTAAGGGGCCAAGCCCCTTTTGTTTTAGTTTATCAACAAAGTTGCCAGAGAGCCGAGAGCCGAACGAAAACATAAACCCATTTCGCTCTCAACATTTCGTTTCGTACCTTTGCCAGCGTTTTTGTTTACCTTTTTAGCCAAGTCAGTTCGCTTTGATTTCTTGACCATTTACGTTATTGAAATATTTTTGTCGGCGCGTCGAAAAAAAAAAAAACCGAAGTAATTTTCTTTGCTTTTTTGTGGTGCGTGTGTTACCGTTCTTGCGGCTTTCTTTATTACTTATTTCTGCCCGACTGTCTGCAATTGCATTCGTCATATTTTTTGTGCCACATGGCAAAATAAGTTTTCTCAGATCGATTCAAAAGGGGAAAAACTGTTTGGGCGCGCTTTTCTAATTATGGTTTGTGTGTCAGTCAGGTGTAAATTAATGATTATAAATTGCTGCGTGTCTCGGATTCAAAGTCATCATTAAGTCGCGTTCGTTGCTTAAGTCTTTCGTTTTTCAGTGCAAAAGTGTGTGTGCTAATGCGTTTGCACTCGTGTGTGTGTGATCTGCCGTTGGCCACAAATCCAAAAGAAAAAACAACGGCCATCATCATAATAATGACAATCACCCAACGCTCAATTACTCAATGCTTAAAAATATCAAATTCGCGCTGCTCTTTTTTATTTTATTACGAATTTCATTTCGGCTTGGCATATTTTCTGCGCGGCTTTGTCATTAAAGCCAGTGAAAGTCGTTGGGCTGAGCGCTTTTCTTTTCAGTCAGCATTATTAGAAATTTGACCATAACAAAGCCAATTCTTTGCTCGCTTACCATTCCTCCTCATCCATTTTTCGGGTAGATCGGTTTGTCCGTGGGAATCGTAAGATTGATGGGGTGTGTCTAAATTTGGGCACACTTGGGGTTTAAATTTAAAATAAATTCGAGCCGCATCGAGAGGCTGATATACTGCAAATGACATCACCAGAACAACTTGGATTATAATTAGACATGATTGCTTCGTTGAGTCTTTATTGGTTATTTGCTTTGACTTCGCACTGCAAAGCAAAATTATTATTATTTTTGAACCTGAAAACCAATTTGTAAATAATATTGTTTGCTTGATATTAGCTTTGATTATTTAAAGTATTTGTTTGTAAACTCTGAAAACATATTAGCTAAACCCACTTTCGTTTGTCTTTATCATAGAGCACCAAAAAACAAGTAGTAAATAAATAAGTAGTTTTGTTAAATATCATTTCAAGTTTTAAAGGGCATTTCCAGTTCGTTGCCTGATCTTAGATTGCTGTTTCCTGTTGGCCATTGCCATTTCTTTGGCTCTGCGCCTGACCTTTACACATTTTAAGTTGGTTACTCAATAGTTTTCGTTGGCTTTTAGTTTTGCTTTGATTTGGCTTTTGTCATCACAGCCATTTATTGGCGTTTATTTATGCCCGTCGCCTGTCGTTTGCAGCTTGCCGTTCAGCGTTCAGCGTTCGCTGTTTGTTATTTTAGCCCGCTTTGATCCGCTCCTACGCCTCAGATTCAGCTACAAACTTGAGTTCGGTTTGTGTTTCTGTTGTTCGAGTATTTCCCTCAGCGTTTCCACATTAGTTTTATTGACATTTGGCAACAAGTTTTCGGCACGAAACCAGTTTCGAGTTGTTTCTGTGCTCAGCTGTTCTGAGCCGGGATGGTTAGTCACGGACTGCCTCATCTTGAATGCGGATTACGGAATTGCAGTGGGTATCGGATAAAAGATACAAATAAATAATAATATACAGCATTTCTCATGAGAAAATCAATAAGTTAACAAACCAGTTAACCAGTTTTTGTTCGATTTGTAGCTTTTAACCGATCTCTACTGTTGGTAAACGGAGCTGAATGTTTGCATGTCAGTTTGCAGGTGCTAATTGTGTCCACCGTCTCTAATATCGGACTCTGTTTACCCATTTTCCAGTTGCCCCGATCAACGAGCCGCCGACCTCCACGCAGACCCAAGCGCAGAGGAAGATCAGCAGCACCGCCAGCACCACCAGCCACATGACCACAACGAACTCGAGCAACTCCAGCACCACCTCGGTGACAACGCAGCAGCAGAAGGAGCAGGTCGGGGGGCGCGGGCGGGGGCAGTTCCTCCACCACCTCGAAGGTGTACATCAAGAAGACCGGCAGCAGCAGCAACAGCACCACCAGCAGCACCACCACAGCCTCCTCCTCGGCGGGTCGCAAGGAGAGCTTCGGGTCGCGCGACTCCCTGAATGACATCCTGAGCGAGACGGGTCTGCCCACCGGCAATGTGGCCGCCCAGCGGAAGTCCCTGGAGAACAAGAACCTCGATCTGACCAAGCCGCCCGGCGTGGGAGCCTCTGTGTCCGTGAGCCAGCAGAGGAGCAGCGCCTCCAGTGCCACCGTCTCCTCGGTCACCACCACATCCACGGGACTGGCCTCCTCGGCGGTGAGCAAGTCCATGGAGAACATGGACGAGAAGGTCAAGTCGCCCCCGCCGCCGGTGCTCAGCAAGAAGCCGAGTGTGCCGCTCAAGAAGACTCCCACAGGCGGAGTGCCAGTAGCTGGTGAGTACTGTACAGCAGAGCAAGGCGATACTGAAGGCTTCTGTGTTCTCAGAAATCGAGTCAAATGGAAGACTAATTCCTCCCTTTTTACCCACAGGTAATCTTCTGGGCGGCAAGAAAAAGAATCCGGAGGGCAAACTCACCACTGCCGTTTCCCACGACCTGGCGGACGGTCTCACCGCCAGTAAGATGCTGACGGGTGCTAATCAGCTGCCAGAATCCGGAGCAGCCGGCAACGTGGTGATCCGAAGAGCGGCCACCATCGCCGTGGAGGACACAGACTTCGACCGCGTGGAGCGGGCCTCGATCCTCACGGACATGCGGCAGGGAAGAGTCAAGGCGCCGAAGAGGCGTCCGCCCTCGGCGGCCATAAACGTGCTGGGAGAGAGCAACAACAACTCCGTGTACGTGAACGGCAGCGGAATGGGCGGAGGAAGCGCCAGTGAACTGAGCGAAGATGGAGGCGCCGGGGGAAAGACTTCCGATGACAACTCGACGGGCGAGGAGCCACAGCTGGCCAAGCCGAAGCCCCGCGAGTGGGAGAAGAAGAAGGCGCCCTGGATGGAGGAGCTGAAGGCCTCGCAGGTCACCCGGAAGAAGACCTCGCCCAGTGTGGAGCCCCGAGGCGCTTCGGTGGCCGAGAGGACCTCCAAGCTGTTCGCCGCGGAGCAGGCAATCAGCAGCAGTAGTAGCAGTACCACAACGAAAGTGCAATCCTCGGCGGTCACTTCGTCCATAATTGTGGACAGCGCGAGCAGCAGTTCGGTGACCACCAGCAGCCGGACCTCAACCACCACCAACGATGCCATCATGTCCCGCAGCCTGACGGCCGCGAAGACCACAGCCGCCAGCAGCGACGAGGAAACGAAGGCCACGCGGCCGAACAGCCTGGCCATTCGAAATCAACGAAGTGTTTCGCCCCTAGTTAAGTCAGCCAATGCCAGCAGTTCGCAGTCGCAGGAGGAGAAGCCCTCGCACCAACTGAACAACCACCAGGACGCCAGCTCCTCGCGGGTGGCCCAACTGGAGCAGCGGGTGGACAAGCTGGAGGGCCTCGTTCTGAACCAACAGCGAACCATCGAGGAGCTGGTAAATGCCCTGAAATCCGAGGCCGAACGCGTCAAGGTTTTAAGAAGCGAACTGGACAAATACGCGCAGTGCGTGACGCAAGTTTGAGCCTAGTTAGAGTCGCCTTTTAGCTAGCTTTTGAGTCCTTGATTTTTAGCGTGTGCTGAACTCTACAATTACAATTGCAATTCCCAGGCCTGAAACGTAGAACGTAGTAGAGTAGACCCAGACCGAACCCAAGACAATCCCAAATATCTGTACTCTGTGTTCTGTACTTATACACCAGAATGATCTTTCCAAACTGCTAGCGATCATCGTTTTTGCATGCCAAAACCGTTTTGCTTTCGCTAATTACTTTGTATCCCCCTGTATATCTGCTAATTTCGATAAGTATTTTTTATACACTCGTACATTCCGAGAAGCTAAGGAGTGATTTCTTTTAGCGGCTTTCGATTGCGATTTGTTTTGTTTATACGATTTACGATTATTTTTTAAAGATGTATTAAAGTTATGAGTAAAGTGTACTATAAACTATATACTAAACGAGAGAGAAACATACAAAAGTTCGATGGAGTTGATGGATGATGCCTAAAACTTAAGCAATACCAATAAATAATGCAAATAAACACTACACTGTTTCTGAATGTTTTTTATTTCCTTGTTTCGATGTGATTTTGTTTTCCTAATTTTCCAAACGACTGATATAGATAGATAGCGAATAGAGAATCCACATATCTTAGCCCGGATAATAAACTAACCTTTTTGATACAATCTCTCTTTCAAAACAGCAAGCAAACGCGTCGCGGGAAGTTCGACAATTGGATGTTCTAATCGATCTGCGGACTTCGCCGTCAGATCAAAAGATTAAGCTTACTCGTAATCTGCTAGAGATTTTGACCCTCACCCGCCTGTACAGAATAATCAATTTTCTTTTGTGATAAGCCTCAGCATTACTCGCTATTTGTAGTCTAATCGAATCAATCTGCGTAGCTAGCGACCCGCCACTCCCGATTGTTAGCAAATATATTGTGGTTTACTTTCCAATATCGCATTTTGTACCGCTTAAAATGTAAATACTATTGTAAATGAATATGGGATATTAAATAAACATTTCATAATTAGTAAAACATGTCGTAAATGCTGTCTGGTTGTTAGACTTTGAAAATGGTTGCCTTGAACATGTTTTCGCTTCATATTTCATAGTTCGATACTTCTTTATTAGCTTTCATCGGTAAAATTATATTTATATTTTTCTTAATTTTTTTAAGGACCAAAACATTTTAAAAATTTTGAAGCATTCGGCGATTTGCATTAAAAAGTTTTGACTTCTTGAACCCATAGCTTGGTAATTTGTGCTCCGATTCTAAAGAATGATACCTCTAAGAGTTCCTAGTCTCATCGTCTAGCTATTTCAATCTTTCCGTTTAACTTCAGTCACTTTTTTGACCCATATACATATATGTTGGATATTTCCAAGTTTTCGGTTTTTTCTATCTTCAAGCCATGGCTTAAGTGGCAGCACTGACTACAATTTTTTTCTTTGGGTGGTTTGTGTATTGACTAACAGCAAACGTTACTTGTGTAAAAAAAATGTAAAAACGAGATAAGCTCTGGACATCTTACATTTTTTAGTAAACAAAATACAACATTAGTTTAATAACTTGAATAAAATAAGAGAAAAAATATACATTTTTTAAAAAAATTTAGGAGACCTAATTATTTTTGAAGAATGAAATATTTGTTTTTGTTGTATAACAACGGAACAAATGGGAACGTTGTTCAAATCTTGTTTAAACGTTTGTTTTGGTGTGTGGCTTTAAAGCTTTTCTCATAACAAGCCACTAGTGCTAATCTTTTAAACGAGAGAACAACTTTCGGGCGCAAATTGTTTGCTGGTTGGTTTTTGTTTGTTGGGAGCTGTGTTTGCCGTTTGTTCTGCAAATCGCGATACTTTTCTGCTAAACCTGGGCTTTTGCTTTTGCCTTTCGTGTTTTCGCCTTGGCACTTGGCTGCGTTCTGTGAATGTGGCTAAGACTTGGGGCTCGAGCCGAGTCGAGTTGGCCGCTCTCGGAGCTTTCAGCCTGGCTTCTGGGGCGACTTATCAGTTTCTGATCGCTGTGGGAATTCAGTTAATTGTGGACGCTGTAGCGAAACGGACGCAAAGCGCGGCGCTCGAGAGACTTTCCGAGGTTTTTCCTATATCTCAGCACTACGTGTTTCTGGTCGTGAAAGTATCTTTTCAGTTAGGCAGTACTGCTGCAGTGGCCCCACCCTTCTTGCCTCCATTCCTCAGGCCCCAGAAAAGAGCCGTTGCCAGTCAAAACTACGAGCAACACAGCTGAAAACCTATTTAAGGACCGTTCCAAAAATCCAGGATTTATCAAAGACCTCTTTCGACCAAGTCAGTTAAATAAAGTGTTTTCAGAGTGTGTGTTTCTGTGGGTGTGCAGTGTGTGTTTCTATCGTGTTCGCTTATCCATTAAAAATAATTGAGCCGAAACAAAAACAAAGTATATAAATATATAAAAAAAAAACTTTTGAAAGAGCCATAAACAAATCGCAGTCTACGAAATCCGTTCAAAGCTCGCGCGCCAATATTGCTCCAATTTAAGAAAACGGCTTAGCAACAATTGCATTGAACAGCTAAAACTGAAACAACAACAAACACGTAAATATAGAAAGCTTAACAATCAAATTCAACAACAACGACAACGAGGGATTAAAAGCCAGTAACAACTATAAATGTGGTGGGTGCATTATTGGTAAGCTCGGCGGGTTAGGTAAAAAAAGTAACGGTTAATAATATGCCACACGGGGAGAAAACTATAAAATCATTTTAAATTATTTGATATTTTGAACTGAAAAACTATTTATTAATTTCTATATGCTTTAAAAATCAATTGTTGAAATGTTGTTGAACTAATTATTCATTAAGTTTGAATGTGTTTTAGTTTTTATTTTAAAAATTTCTGACTGTGCAGGAATATAAACACAAAGTGTATATATAGACTGCTTTGCAGCCAAACGGCTAAAATTGGCCAAAACCAAAGCGTTTTTATACGCAAACGCGTTTCTTATGTTTTTAGCATTTTCCTCCCCCTGTTGAAAATTTTTTGCTGGTCGCTTTCCGTTTGTTTTGCAGTTAAGTCGGCTCGTTGCTGCTGGGTTTTAATTTTGTTACAGTTTTTTCTGCATTTTTGTATGTTTCTTGTGGGCTGCCTTGCTCAACGTGCGGACTCAGTTATTGTTTTTGCTTTTGTTTTCGTTTTGGCCACAAAGTGGATTTGTTTTCGTGGACTGTGGACTGTGGAGTGCAGAGGGCGGAGGGCGGGCCAGATCGGGCGATATGTCGGCCAGGCGCTTCAAGGTCACGGATGAAAGTGTATCGGTGTGAGTCAGTCAATCGGCATTCGAGTGCATTAGTGTTTGCTGGATAGTGAATAGTCCGAATGGGTGAATGAAAAGTAATCGTTTCTTTTGTGCGGATCGTATTCCCGATTTTTGATGGACAGGCGTGGACTAAAGCCATTAATTTGTTTTGCAGGCAGATTCATGCCTCTCGTTCCCGCGATCGACAAACGAGACTTTAATGGCCGGCATATCTCATTATTTTTAGACGCCCTGCTTATTTCGAACCGTAATAATTAACGGTTGCTTGTAATTGAGCGTTGATTTACTGACCCACTGTCCAGCTGGCATTCAAATCCGAAATCCGAATTCCGAAAAAAACCTAAATCGCCGTGGAGTGAATTAATATCAGATTTGTCAGATTGAAAGTCCGTTGCCAGCTGAATGCCAAGGAAAAGCTTCAATATCCATCCAAGGGCAGTAATTGTGTGCAAACGGACTGTGAAGGAAAATTTATGGTAGCAATTTAGCAGCATAAATTACGGTCTTATTTTCAGTGGGCTTAGTACTGAAATAATAAGACAAAGCTTATAATCCAATTAGAATTCAATTAATAGGATCATAATTGGGTGCAGAACACGTTCGATCGCCAACCACGTTGGTAGCCTAACTGATTTAAATTAAAGTGCATTAGATAAATGACTTGTTTAACGGCAGCATGCAGTATAGCGTTTAGTTTTGATTAATTTTATGGCCACATTATCTAAACAGTCACTCAATCTTATAATACGGGTAATTGAAATTAAGTTCAGGTTCCAGCAATATCACTTATATTTTCTAATGTTATGTTATTTTAGAAAATGTGAGATGAGTCTTTAAACATATTGCCTACTTAACATAAATTGCAGGCGACTAGTTAATGACTCAATCAACAGCGGACAAGTATTTATGTTTTATTTGCAATAACCGAACGAAGCAATTTCAGCTCGCCATTATCTAAACACTCCTGTCTTTACTCTTAATCTTTGTAGCCGATGTTCGACCCTTAATCAATCAAAGAGTCGTATCGACGAAGTCTATAATCTCGAGACCCCCACATTCTAAGCCGGATTGCAAAAGTGAGCAGCCACTGGAAGCGTTGCCAAACCGTTCAACATTTTTTAAACAAAATAATTATTAAACGTAATTGCACCGCAAAACTGCCTGAAGTAGCAGTTGCCGAGCTCTGGCCAAAACAATTAAGGCTACAAAAAGTTAAATTAACAAATTATATGCTCGCTAAAAAAACAAAACCAGAGGTAAACGCGCTGACAAAACGCCCCGAAGTCTCGCGACCTGCGAAAGATAAACAAACTGGTTGGGATTGCACTATTTAGCCAGTGTTTCAGTCTTGGCCGCAAAAATGCGATGACAAATGGCCGAAGAGCGGACAGTGCAATAAACTCTTAGAAATTCCATGGAAACATAAACACAAACGAGAAAACGCTCCAATTAGAGCTCACTCGAATGTGTTTTGCGACTTTGACAGAGTTTTGGTTTTGCGCTGGCTTTGTGATTGCTTTTTTTATATCCTTGAAGAGGGAAGTTTCACTGGGGTAAACAGGGTTTTTATTCACAATAAACGTACGTTTCCGTTTTCCTTGCAGAAATATTAATTGAATCTGGGGCTAGATTCGACTCGTATTTCATTCTTCTGTCGTTATTTGGCTGTTGATAACATAACGCATACGACGTGTGGCCTCTCCCTTCTTTTGCCTTCGGCTTTGAGGCTGTCCGTCCCTCAACTCCGCTCAACTGAACTCGAATCAACTCGACCACACTTCGATTGTTAATGAATTGCAGTCGTCGTGCGACATTTTCTGAGACTTGGTATGAGAATGCGAATGTTTGACAATTTGTCACAGGGTCCAACACTTGTCTCGTCCCCGTCTGAATCTGAATCTGAGTCCGAATCGGAATCTGAATCAGAATCTGGCTCTGAATCGGAATCTACTTTGTATCGGAGTGAATTGCGGGTGCGGACCACGTTTGTCCATTTGTTACACATTTTATTTCGCCTTTTTGTTTGTTTTGTGTCATTTGAGTGACCATGCATTGTGTGTGTACTTAGTGGCAATTTATTTGCCATTACCTTTTGCCCGCAGTGTTCACTTCTGGTTTTAAATCAAGTTTATTAACCGGAATCTGTCAGTCGGCCATTGTCCACGGTTCCCTCCTCGCCGATCTGCCAGCTCCCTGGCCGCGTTTTCAGGGCGTATCCATAACTATCGATTAGCATTCTAATTTATATACTAACTGCCGGGAGTGCGAGCGCGGCACAAATTTAGTAACGCCAATGGGCATTCACGAGTTCTGAGTGCGAATGCGAGTGTGATTATTCCATTTCGATTTCAAGACCAAGTTGCGGTTGCTGCACTACCAATAAAGGAGTTCAATAATTGCTAGATGGTCTTGAAGAATTAATCTGTGCAGAATAATAATACGACTCAGAACTTATAAGTAATACAATTTATTTTCTAATAAATCCCACCAAATATGATGAAATTAACTCATATAACCCATAAACTTGTTCTTCTTATTTACAAGAAAATACTTACAAGCGTTTGTTCATTTATATTTTCTGCACATAACTCGAAAGAGTATAAATCGCATAATGGTTTTCCTCGCAGATGTTTTGGCCTTAACCCAAGTAGTCGTCGGAGATATACTTGTTCTCAGCAAAAGCTACAACTAGAGCATGTTCCGATTCCAATTCCTTTGACAATTATGGGTGCAGCTTGGTAGTTATAGACTTACAGTAATTTAGAGACGCTTAACTGCGGATAATAAATGTGTGAACAAAACGGAGGACGTCAGACTTTTACTTTCCTATTGACTTTACAAATATCTGAAAAGGCCAAAGAACTTACAGAAAAACCTAATGATGCTCATCAAGAACCCAACAAGACACCAGAAAAGAGAATAAAAGAAATTGAAATGACGTCAGACGGAGCTAAGAAAAGAGCAGAATAGAATAAAATACAATAAATGCCGGCTTCGAATGGGAGGTTCTGGCATTTCCATATGACTTTGGCTAATTAATGACCCCTCGCTTAGCCAAGAACGAAACTTTCGTTTTTAATGAGATGCCTGCTCGCCTGCTTGCCATAAACATATTTGTTTTCCCCGCAGAATTCCTTAGTAATTAAACGCTGTCTGTTAAAAATACAGAAAACAAATCAAGAGAGGGCCATGAGTAATTATATGGCCGGTGAAGAAGGCTTGATAAGAATTAGAACTGGTTTTCGGCTGCGTCTCTTTCTTTCCCTCGGCTTTTGTCTACTAGATGATGGTTTTTATTGCCGCAAAATATGATTTTTTGCCTGGCTCGCTTTATGGATTTGACTTTGGCTGAAGTTTAATTACATGGTCTCCGAGTGGCGGAAATGCCTGAGAACGGTTAATTAAATTATGCCTGGCCAAATCGAACCCATCATTGTGGATATTCAGCCATCGATTGCTGCAATTCCAGCTAAATCTTCCACCGACTTCAATGGCATGCCAATTGCTAACAACAAAAAGCTATCAAAATACCTTGCCATTAATTATAAATATGTTGAAATTGCAACAGTCGACTGAGCATCTGTCTCGGTTTTGGGCTTGGCTCTTGGCTCTCTGCTTCTTTTGTGGCCAGACTCTGCAACTTGTTGGCCGCTTCTTGAAATGCTGGTTGTTAGTGGCTGTTACCAACCTGTTGCCAATACAAGTTCAATGATTCTTCTACACCCAAAAAAAAACAGAAGCGATAGGCCCTTAACTGAAGTTGAACTTTGTAAACCATTTTTATTATAGTTAAAGGGTCGTAATATTATTCAAACATACTTTTTTATTTCGTTTGATCGTCTTGTAGAATGTTACAAGAAATAAATAAAAAATTAAAAACTTTTTTGGGTGTACTTCGTTAACTGCGGAATCCGTCGAGACTCTTAAAATTTGCTGCTAGTGACTCCGACTCTCAACAATTTCTGGTGTGAAATGCACCTTGACATTTGGCGTGGATTTTTCCCATGGCTTATCGGTCGAACGTAATGAATTTGTTTTCTGATCGCAATTTTGTATGAGCTTGCCAAATATTTATAATGGGAGACAGAGGGTAATATATTTGAAGCACTAATTCCACGTCTTGTATTCCCTAATTGCAGCCATTAACCAAATCCCGAGCGACAGTGGCCAAAATGATCGCAGAGCAGCTGCCAAAATGACCAAGTGAATCACTGAGGAGCCTCAGAGAGCGAACCCCATTAAGCACTGAGAACAAAAGAGCAATAAAACGCTTGATTAACAGGTGGACAGGTGGACTAAATCGAAAGCGGAATGGCACACTTTTGCTGGCTCCTCAAACTCGGATTTCTGCTGCTGGTGAGTGTCGCATTAAGGTGCAGATTGCCCGAAGTTGTATTTAATTTACCAACAGGTGCTCATAGAATTCCAGGGAAATCACGGAGCTTTTGGCCAAAGACAAGCTTAAGTTCAAGGTTTTTGTTTGGCCATTTAAGCCTCCAAACTAAACTAGTTTACAATCTATTTTAAGCACTTCTAAAAGCAATTGAGTTTCCGTTTTGGTTGGAATGTAGTTGTTTAATACTTTGGGCCGCACAATACCTATTCAAACCGAATCAAAGCCTTTCTAGAGCAATATATACATTTTTCTTTCGCAACGGCTGAAAGAAATCAATCAGCGTTCCCTGATCTTCAACCTGGAAAGTTTATGTTTCTTCCATACGGTTTTGAGTTTACAGTCGAACAAAATAGATTTTAATGGCACCGCTCTAGCCGCAATAAAACTTTAAAGCACAATTGAGACTTCATCTTTATGGGCACCATTTCCCAGGCACAAAAATGCAGTTGCCAAATGCATTCACAGGCGGGGTGCTCCATCAACTTGGCCAATGCGTTTTGAAAAATGGTTTAATGGCGCGATCGCACTCCATTTGTTTGCCGACTTCGGCTTTATTGGCCCAAATCATCCATAATTGTGCTGGCTGGCTGGCGAATGCATTTGGAATTAATTTTGCCACACACTCGTGTTTGTGTCTGGCCGGCACTTTATTGACTGCTCATTAGACAGACCGAGTTGATTGTGAGTAATGTGGAGTGCAGTAAGGCAAACTGAAGCCGAGTAAACTAAATAATTGCACGCGATTTAACTTCTGCTGGTTAGCTGCTATACTTAGAAAAACAAACCGCAATTAAACACTGAAGAAATATTAAACAATTTGTATTCCTACGAAATCAAGTTTTATGTATTCTTTAAATACAATTTGTTCTAAGCAAAAACTTTGAATGATATAATATTTTATTATTGATTTTGTATTAATTAGAAACGCTTTTCTGTATCTTTAATTTTTGAAGAGTGTTTATGTGCAACTGACTTTTGGGCTGCCTCTGTTTTTGGCTCTGACTTTTGCTCTGCTCTTGGCTGAAACTCTGACTCTGTCTTTTGGCCATTCAATGGCGATGACGACGGCAATTTGCAAATTATTCGCAGGGGCAGGGAGTGGTTGGCGGGGAGCTCCGCCAGTGGTGCAACTACATTCTAAACTCGGATATTCTCTCGATTATGAGCCATTATTAACCCACCGATGCACATCCGAGGCTTTGCTTTTCGTCAAGTAAACGGTCTAGTTTATGGATTTAGGCAACACCCAAATGTTCTGGGGCCAGCATGGGTTAATTCCCACACGAATCTGCATTCGGCTTATGTCTCTGCCGTGTAATTAATAAATGTGTGCTATTGTGCCGCAGCCCAAGTTGATAGCTGCAATTTGGAGCGACTTGAAAGCGAATTCGAGTCCGATTCTGATTTCGAGCCTGCCCCAAAGTTGTGGCATTGAGCACGGCCCTAATGTGGGCTGCACTTGGCTGGAAGATCGATAGCTCGATAAGTACACTTCTGAAAATGAAGTTGTGGCAGCAATAGAAATTAAATAAGTAATTGCACCGATGTTATTTTAATAGGGAAGGAAAAATCAAACTATGAACTAAGGCTTTCCGAACCTAAATAACTTTTTTTATATGATTTTTCTCCAAGTGTAAAAAGCACCGCTGGCGTTGGCTTGTAATATTGTGCACACAATGTGTTCCACAGCTGACGACAGCGGGTGGTGGCCAGCGAATGTCCGACGTCTGCTACCAGAGATTAGACTTTGGCCGAACAGTTTAGGCTGGGTTTATGGGGAAAATGGACCGCTGACACATTCACTTGGCCACCGACTGTTTCGGCGGTTGCATTAGGTTGCATTGCGGTGGCTGCTCCCTGGCAACCGCCCACTTCTAGCACAAAAAGCCCGCGGACACCACTCGAAATGTGCAGAAATGTGCAGAAATGCCAGAAAGGGGGGTTACATGACTTTTTCCGCATTCGATACCGCGGTTCGTGGCCTGAGTCACTGGCCCCTCTCCATCGCCAAATCCTGTTTACGGAGGCCCCATATCAATCATCGTACTTCCGAAATTTGCATAACGCAAACATGAATTCAATCTGTCAACTCGTGGCGTTTGTTTAGTGTCAAGCGTAAAAACTGAAATCACGATGATTGTGGCTAATTAAAGCATCGGCATCGGGTATCGAGTATCGAGCACTGAGTATCGAGTGGCAGCATCAGCGGCACTTGAAAGCCAATCGAGTGGGCCAGGCGATCTTAATGAAAAGAGAGCTCATTAAGGCGTGATTATTGCTTAATTGTTCGCTGTCTATTCACGCGCACACAAGGCGGATACGTGATATTCTGAAAGTTACCTTTTTTGACACTTCCGCTAAGTTGACAGCCGTGAAAATTGTCGCCAATCGCCAATAGCCAATCGCCAATAGCCACAATCGAATGATAAATCGTCGCGTACACCCCGCAAAGTGCAAAAGAATGTCGGAGCAGGATTAGCCAATTCCAAACGCAGGTAGCCGCTGTCGCCTGATAAATCAATCAAGATTAATTGTTGCTTATCATTTGGGCTGGTTGAAGGAACCCATTACCCGATTCATTCATTAAACTGGAGCACGTCACTGGCCAGGGGTTTTAAATAACCCCACAATGGAAAGGAATGCTCATTGTCTAATCGGACTCGTTATTTTTAGAACGTTTCGCTTTGTCTTAGGCCGAAACCAAATAGTCCAACGGCCCTTCTGTAATTGTCACTCGAATGGCTCGCTGGGCCGCTGATTTGGTGTCAATGCTAACTGTCGCTTTTCCATTCAACGCCTGCGGTCGCCGGTTACTTCTGCAATTTTAGACATAAAAGGCAAGGCGACCCGTTGTTGGATGACTAACCGATCTAGTGATATAGTATAGTAACTGGTTGGTCAGCCACTCCGCTGGGTTGGTAACTTTAGCACATGTGCGAAGGTGTTCGCTCAAATCTGCTCTAGAAAATGCTCGGCGACAGGCGCCCACTGCACTGCCGGATGTTGTTATTGTTCTTGCTCAGGGGGATATAAACACACATTAAATAGATAAAAAAAAAAAAAACAGACTAAAAAAAAACCAACGTGTAGAAACAGCTTGAATAATTATGCTATTATGTTCGCCGCAGCGATCGGTTTCCATTAATATTTGATTCAATTTTCGCCATTTTTCATTGTTTTCAATTTGCGCCTTTCCAATTCGCGTCAATGGATCAAGAGTGTTGGCTAGTAAATTATCTGCCTGGTTGCAATTAGCAATGCTAATGCTAGTGCCGACCGATAAATATCCATAAATATGTTTTATTGGCTCCATTTGATCGGCGGGGCATTTGGCAGGGCAAGTTCGTGCCCTAAGTCTTTTGTTTCTGCGGTGGGTGTGTGGCGCTGATAACTATTTATGACCGATCTCTGGCCATGAATTTGCACTGGGGTGCTATGGACAGTGATATGGACCTAGATTACAAGCTAATAAAACAGTTTAATGGTCGGTTAAATTTGAATTGTTTTGCATTGAAAGGCAATATCCGAAGTGGTGTCCGTTACATAAAATAAATCAAAGTGGCATTATGATATTGCATTTGTAATGACATGCTTGTATCTGGAAAACATTAACCTCAAATTGAGATATATTTTATAAAATTTTCAATTTTCGGATGGTCGCAAGTAACAATATCTGAACTTCTAGAACCAATATTTTTTCAAGTTTTTATATACAAAAATTCTGAAACATTTTCTGTTCTCATAAATTATAAAAGAATGACTGACTAAAGCTCACTCACCGGAATGTGAACATTAGTCACCGAGAAGGACATTCCCAAAATGCAATTTGATACCTACAAAACTTGTCCTTAAGCAGGAAAGTGGCTTCCTGAAAGCAAAACAGGTTGATGGGCCGCGAGATGAGTCGTTGAAAGGCATGCAAAACGGTCGGAACATACATAAATATCCGACTGACGCGGAGTGACAGATTGACCGGCAGCGTTTAAGTAATGTTTCCATTTTCCACTCGAGCGGAGCGGGTTCCACTTGTCCGTTGGGCAATCCATAATCCACGGCTCAAACTGTTTGTTCGATCGGTGTTTTCGCTACCTTACGCCACCCACTTGATCACTTGCAGCGCGGTTAATTATGCCGCATTCGCCACTCGACTAGGGAGCAACATGCACCACTTCAAACGGAGCACCGCAGCATTCCTGCGATGTCTTAATAGACTCGCCGCATTACTATTCAAATGCCATCGAGTCGAGGTCCAGATCGAAGTCGGCCGTTGCATGACATATGCATATTTGCCCGCGACATGAAGACATATCTCGGCCCAAGTGGATCGTCGAATGTCGATCGATCCGAATGATATTTTAATTACGCAAATTTATAAATAGATCGCTGAGATAAGCTCTAAATGCGATCACCCCGATTGCATGTGCTTACAGTCAGAGAAAAACTTCACTGAATCATACCATTCTGCTGTGTATGTTGTTTTGTATTTCCCAGTGCTGATGCTCTCATCTCCGAGGCGGTGCAATAAATCTGACTCAAGGGAAATGTCGAGCATAACTAACACTCCTTCTTCTCTGGCATTTCAGATGTTGGCGGGCTGTCGCACCCGCCCCGCCCCCTTCCCGAGCCGCCCACAGAGTGAGCTCATAGCGGGCAACGAGTTCCTCAAGCTGTTCCTCGACCACGACGACCAGCAGAGGAGCCTCCACAGCGGCGAGCAGGACTTCGAGGGCAGAGCGGGGTCCCCGTCCCCGTCCACGTCCCCCGATCCCCGCCAGCGAGCAGCGGCAGGGAGAAGCCTGGACCTCGGGAGGAACCGCTTCAGGAACTCCCTCAGTTCCGGGAACAGCCAGGATGAGCAGCCATCCGACTCGAAGCAGGTGGCCAAACTGGTGACCTCGGGCAGCAAGATAGTCTTCCTGGAGGATGCCCCCAGTGCAGGAAAGAGGAAGCCCGGCAGCGACGAGGTCAAGGTGGTGGCCGTGAGTGTCAGTTCCTCCAGCAAGCGAGGTCCTCCGCGGATCAGTTCCACGGGTTCCACGGGAGGCGGTTCGGATTTCGTGAACCGTTCCCACAAAAGTGAGCTTTCCATCGAGGAAACGGAGCCCAGATTGGGGGGAGGGGATTCCATGGACGCCGAGGGGGATTCCCTGAACAGTGCCTCCAACATCCAGAGCGTCCTGGCTGCTCCCTCATTGGCCGCCTCCTCCTCCCGTTCCTTCCTGAAAAACCAAAGCGAGGTCGCCGAAGAGGATGGAGTGGGAACTGCAGCTGGAGCAGGCCTGCCCTTCCAAACGGTGATCTACCACGACTCCAAGCAGGGCAGGGGACCCCAGTCGAGGTCCATATCCTACAGCTCCATTTCGCAGAACGTGGACGACCTGCAGGCCTGGCAGCAGTCGAGGAGCGGCATCCTGGCGGAGGCCCAGAGGAACGTGAGCGAGAGCCTGAAGCACGGCCACTCCTCGGAGCCAGCCAAGTTCTACTCAGTGCCCTCCAAGATGTACAGCGTTCCCAGCAAGTTCTACTCGGAGCCTGCGAAGGTCTACTCGGAGCCAGCCAAGATGTACGGCCAGCCGGAGAAGGTCTACTCGGAGCCCTCGAAGGTCTACGGGCAGCCCTCGAAGTTCTACTCGGAGCCCGCCAAGGTCTACTCGCAGCCTTCGAAGGTTTACGGGGAGCCGGCCAAGACCTACTGGCCGCAGACCCTGACCACCACGGCAGCTCCACCGCCGGGAAGCACCAGTGCTCCTGCCGCCACCACCAGCAGCACCACCGAGAAGCCGCTGGCTCCCACCACCTTCACCCCGCTGAGATCGAGACCGCGACCTGCGATCGTCTCTCGCATCGCCTTTGGCGAGGCCCAGAGCACGAGCACCACCACAGCAGCACCACCGAGTGGCACGGCGGCAACGTCGAGCAGCACGGCTGCACCACTGGCCAGCAGGGCCACCACAGTGAAGCCTCCCGGCAGCAGCACCAGGCCGACCACTTGGCAGCACCACTACCACGGCTACAACCACCAGCAACAGCAGCAGCAACAGCAGCAACATCAGCAGCAACAACCAGCTCATCCAACGCGCAGAGTACTCTTTAATTTGGATAAATTGCCCTATGATTTATTGAATGCACCGCAGCCGTATCCACTGGAGCCAATTTTATCGAAGCACTCAAGTCCGAGCCACTACCACCAGCAACATCAGCAGCAGCAACACGAACCGCAGCAGCAGCAACAACATCAAAGTCCGTGCTGGGAGCAACAACGTCAGCATTCATCACCGCCGCATCAACATTCTAATCAAAATGCCAAAGGATTGCCCAACAGAGGTGAGTCCGAGTTGCAGTTCGGATCCGAATCTGGTTAAACAAATTACACTGTGCAGCAGGGCGAGTGTTGCAATTGCATAAATTAAGCAGATCAGTTCGCGAACCTCTCAAGTTTAATCGCATATCATTTATTGCGACCTGTTATGATGGAAGACAATGTTTCAATTCAGCAAAGGTGACTTAGTAATTGCGGCTCTTGTATCGATCAGTTTTGTGAGGCCATCAAACTTAATCATATATCATTTCCTCCCACAGAGAGGAAGGTTCTTGAAGACTCAATTTATTTTTCACACTCTTCTTCGTAGCTGTTGCACAGTGTAGTTATGACAGACAGCGACAACGCACGGGTCCAACCACTTGAACCCCGACCAACTAATCTTGAACTTATCAAACATCATCTCTCGTTGCATCTCCCCTGCAGATCTAGTCAAGTGTGTTTCCAAATTCGCACACCAACATGGAGCGGCGGCATCGGCGGCGGACCCATCAGCGCCGTCATCTTCGGGGTCAGGCGGTGGCTACTCGTACAGCTCCAGCTCGAGCTCCACCAGCTCCTCGTCCTCCTCCTCATCCTCCTCCGCAGGTTCGTCTGTGCCGAAGCAGCCACATCTGCACCAGCAGCAGCATCAGCAAGCCCAAAAGCAGCACTTCACCACCGAGCGCCCCGAGCTCTATACTCCGACCTCAGAGCAGAATTACGAAATTGAGGAGTCCGTTAGTGTTATGACGAACGGACGGGCCCACGGACCGCAGGGCGGTGCAGGTGGTGCCAGTGGGGCGGGGAGTGCAGTGGGGCAGGCCACAACACCAGCCAGTCCAGCTCAAGCACAAGCACAAGCGCAGGCGAGCACCACCGCCAGCGGTCGTGGCATCAACAGAGGACGTGGCTCGGTGGTGTACAATGCAAATGCCAACGATTACTCGGACGACGAGGGGGAAGCGGGGGAGGCGGGGGATGGGGGGTCGGAGGGGCCAGAGTCCCCCGACGACGAAGACAAAGTCGCCTACGTGGTCGAGGGACGCAACTACCGAAAGTACCGGGTCGAGGAGAAGACCGACGACGGCTTCATCGTCGGCGAGTACGGAGTGGTGGACCACAACGATGGGAACCTCTGGGGAGTGCGTTACACCGCCGACTCCACCATCAACCGCAGTCTGATTCAGAAGGCGTTGCTCACGTTTCTCAAGCTCAAGTAGGGGCCAACTGGCCGGCCCCACTCGGAAAAACACTCGAGATGAAGTTGGGAAGCCCGCCAGTGCGCAGGAAAATCATTGGAAAACACAGGGAAACAGAATCAGATTGTAGGCATGTCGATATTACAGATAGAAGAGATTTGGGGAATTGTGAGAAAATAAATTAGAAGATTGAACCCTAAGCTGAAGCTTATACATCAGTTTGGTTAACCTAATCTTTTAGAAAATAACAAAATAAATTTACAAGCTTGATATAAATCATTATAGTAAATCATTGGTCTTTAGTACGAGAAGATCTTGTGATTTCCAACTCAAAGACTTAAAGCAGTTAGAATCTGTTTAAGCATGAACCCAACTGAAATTAGTATTTGCATTAACGAAAATCTGTAAAAGTTAAGAAGCAGACATTTTTTACAGAAAATAGCAAAATATTTGTTAAAAGTAATATAAAAAGCTCCATGATAATATTATCAATCCATATACTTTATAAGGCAGGAGATGAGGTCGAAATCCTGAAGAATACTCAAGAAGGCATCGTTGTTCTTAAGTTCAGATCGATGGTTTTTCCGAGTGTCCAAAGCATCCCGCACTTCCTCACCGAAGAGACAGCTGCAAAGGCATTCACATGTGATCCAAGTCGTATTTTAGTTAGCCTAGATAACCTAAGCCTAAACCTAGATAGACGAACCTAATAGAGGTAGCCCTAGCTTACAGCCACTAGTTGCGTTCCCACGAGATCAGTGTGTGTTAGTCAGTAAACGAATTTTGTTTAATGTTTAGTTAATGTTTTAATTAATTTATTGTAGTTGTTGGTATTGTAATTGTAACTGTAGCCGTAACTCTAACCTGAGCCTAATTTATTCCGAAGACCGACCGACCAGCACACTCGAAATTCCGCAGAACTAGCAACTTGCCATAAAATCCGAGCACCTACCAGCATTAAGAACACGCGAAACTATCCTAATTAGAGCACTAAGTGACTTGCGAAGTGAAATAAACTAAATTACACCGAGAGTAGATCGCAGTTGTGCCTCAATCATTAATCTCGCAGCGGGCGGGGGCGGATGTGATTGGGAACAGGTTGTCCTGGGGCTCTGCTCCTCCGATCCGCAGAGTAAATAGCCACTTAAAATTGATTAAAAACATGCAGCCCGCGGCGCGACGGAGGGAGTCGTTTTCCTGGACAATATCATTAAAATTTAATTGATATGAACAAGTGACAAAGCAGCAGCAGGACAGCTGACGCCAAGGAATCGCAGTTCAGATTGCACTGCCATTCACACTGGAAATAAATACTGGCTTAAGCGGATTATCGAGATGGATAATGTTGAACAATTCTACGCACCTTGAATCATCGATATTTTATTGCCCTTTAATAAAGCTAATTTTAAACACCGCTTAACAAAAATGAAAGTGTTTATTTTCTTAAGAACCCCTTCTTTTTTGCAGTACAGGGATCAGTAAGATAAGCAGTGACAAGAGCTCCTCTGTGTTGGGATAATGATAATGCCCTGGCATCTCGAGCCCGCTCGACTATCACTCTTCCGAGTGAAACGCGGAAGCTGCGAGATCGAGAAGAACTGGAATCGCGGATCCGAGATCGGGGACAAGGAACCTGTGACAAAGTCAAGGCGGCCGTTTAGGGCCTTTATAGAGCCACATTTGGCCAATTAAGAGCATCGTTTCCATAAACGTCCAGCGGTTGTTTACTGATCTGCCCCAAACCAAAAGAGCGCCATAAAAGCGGCACTCAACGGGAAGCCGAGTGGAGCTGCGATCCGATGCGAAGGTCGCTGAACGACCTTGCTTGCGGTCGCCTTCTTTCCACCTGGAATGCCTCCTCAAACGAGGCAGCTTCTTCGGCGTCTGCGTGCCGTCATTTGGCCGGTTTTATTGGCCCTCGGGGACTGGCTTTCCGACTGGAGAGTGGCCGGCAAAATTTCCACTAATGATTGCATGCGCCAGTGCCAGGTTGCAGTTGCAGTTTCGGATTCAGACTCAGTTTCGGATTCTGTTTCAGGCCAAGTCCAAGTCCCCCACCTGGATGCGCAGCTATTTTTAGATATGTAAGACAATCGGAGTTCGGGCTTTGGTATGCGGTCTTATCGCAAACCGGCAATCAGCCAAGTTCGAGTCCCCTGACTGCGATTCTGACCCGGCTGCATCGGCGACGCGATCTGCGTGAAGAAATACAGCACATGACCATAAAGATCTCCTGACCGATCCGAGCATCCGGCACCGGGGCTTAGAATACACTATTAAATCAGTTAACTATATTCTAATACATAAATACAAATGGAGAGCTTATAACTTAAAGTTATACAGGTAAATTAGTATATTCAATGTGAAGAAACATCCAGGGAAATGTATTTTTAGTTTCCTATTTTTAGTTTTAAAGCTTTAAGCAATTACAATACCCCTACCCAAGGGTAAGGAAAAAGAGAATGTGCCTGGCCAGTTGCAGATTTAATGCGAAATGCCAGAGAGGCAGAGACAAAAGTGCTGGGGATGGGGATGGGGATGGGGATTGGGATCGGATCGGATGGGATGGGTCTTGCAGCTATGGACGGGGACCCAGCCGTGCCCTTTCTGCGGTCAGCTGCCTGATGGACATCTTCCAAGGGGAGGACCAGATTGTCGAGGTGAAGAATGCGGTGGGGCAGGAACTGGTTATACCGTTGCGGACCGCTCCGCTTAAGTGCGGCAATTACGGGGCACAACAGTTCTCTTCGCCTTTGCCCGAGTGAAAGAACTTAACTGAAATAAAGCGTGATGAATGCCAAGCAAACACGCTGCCGCTCCATGGATGCACTGAAAAAGCTAGGGTATAAATTACTTATTTTACATTTTTTTTAATATTGTTTTGATATATATTTATTGCCTTTATTTTAAAATGCGGAAATAATTTCAGCAGTACATTTTTCGCAGTGCTTAATCCTCGGCTTCGGGGGCGTCGAATTGCGTGTCGACCATAAATTTGAAAACTACACGATCGCCAATCCTTATGACAGGTTGAACGCTGCCACGCCCCCGCCCCCAAGTCCTGGTTAGTTGCTTTTTAATGCGGAGGGCGTGGCGCCGAAATGGGCATTCTGACAGCTTTCGAGGAGGCTGTCCATTGGCTTCATTAAAGCCCCCAGTTTCGAAGAGCATCCGCGTCCAGCTTCCTTTTACTTTTGCCTTGAGCTGCTGGCAAATTGCTCCCCAATTGATCTTGCTTACAGGAATCCGTACTTTTGTCTAGCCCCAGAAAGTCCTGTTAATTATCTCGATCCCACGGAACCAGAGGATCGCTCCTTAATGAAGTCGCCCCCATGCAGGTGATCGGGTGAACAGGCATGTTTTCACAATTTACGATCCATTTTATTCAATATTCGAGTCGAGCGGGGTTCGCTGATCGATCGTGGTTCGGAAATTTATGACATGGCATTATAATTGACCGATTTGTCATTATAATTAGCGTGTACACGGCCCAGACACTGCAGATCGGGAACACTAATTTATGCATATTGCCGGATTATTTTTAGAGAGGATGTTTTGGTGGTTCAACACGAAACAATGTTGCATCGAACGGAAGGAATATGTAATGACGCGATTCGCAGTTTATCAAGTTGATATTAAAATATAAATATGCCATAAGTATACAAAATGAAATTATTTTAAAATACATTGTAGGAATGTTGTTACCAGTTTTTTACAACCAAATTAGTTTTTAAAGAGTCCTGATCTTAAGAAGCACTTATTTTAGTAACAGCATATTTTATGTGATTTATACACATCAATAACTTAAGTTATATATTATTAAACAATTACAAAAATTTTAAGCTTAAATGATTTTTGTTTATATGTACGTATTTTACATTACATTGACACACTCATACCTTTCTACATATATCTACATCTATCTACACTCTCATACCGTTTCTACATCCATCTACACGGCATGATTAAACACTCGTAGCAGTTCCTTGAATTATTGTGCCTAAAAGTATGCAATGTTTGGTGAGTGTGATTGTACAGTGAAAATGCAATAGGTGAAACCTAGTCAATGTAAGGCCTAAATTGTACTGAGACATACTAAAAGCGGAGATTTCTTAAAACTGAGTTTATAGCATTAATTAAACGCTTCGAAAACCGTTTTAAAAAGTAGAGGAATCTTCAGGTTCCTGGTAGTAACCTTATAAGTTATCAGAGTATTAAGGAATTCTTTTCAAAATAAGTAGTCCCTCCTTCTTTTTAGATCAATTGAATATGTTATGAATCAACGAAAAATACTTAGGCAGAAACAGGGCAAGCAAAACGCCCCCAAAAAAATGCAACACCGGAAAGGCTGATTAAAATTACCAAAAGTCATGAATCAAGCTGAGAAGTTAATTCAAAAACTCGAAAAAATACGGAAAAAGAGTGGCTCAAACACGGGTCAGATGTGCAAACAATGAAGAATGCAAATCATTGCACATGTCCTGCGAGTCCTGCATCCTGCAATCGATTTGGAGCACAACTAATTGTCCGTCGGCAATTAGCAGGAAAAGTATTCTGCACTCAACACTTTACTAATCTGCAAGTGTCAAGCGGCCGCAAATGATGGCGATGACAAAAGGAGTTGACAGGCAGGACATTCTGGGCAGGACAACAGCACGGCTGCGGGCTTGGGAGGGTTGAAGTGTGCGTTTCGGCTAAAAAATATCCGAGCCAGCCGCACCGGCAGCATCGACCTCGAAATTCCCCTGAATTGCAAGGGTTGCTTGTTGCCACACTCGAGAAAATATGGTCATAAATTCGTTTCATTTTGGTTATGTGATGGTTTTTAATTAAAATACGTCAAATTTTTAAGAAATGTTTAAAGTAATAAAAAACTCTCGATCTTTGTAAGGATATTTATCATCTATTGATTACTTTTCTGAAAACAAAAATGTTCTACCTTATTTCTGATTGTTTAGTTTAATGTCAGGTACACTTTTTCTAAGTGCACTGACTCAGACGCAAATTAAATTGTAGTCGTAGACGACAACAGGTCTCGAATGCGGAGCACACAAAAGATGGAACGTCGTGTACCTTTTCGCATAATGAAATTCAAGTACCGCTCGGTGCTCCTTTAACGTTTGATATCAAAGGACATTCGATCGGGCATGCAACATGCGCTCATTGTCCCGCCGTTGTTGTCAGTTCTCTTAAGCGTTTCTCGTATTTATGCCAAAGATTACATGTTGATCTCGCATATCTTTCATCTTGACGGACTGGGTTCCTTTATTCGAGCTCTGATCCTGGAATCCTGTGCGTGCTTCCCACGTCGCTGACATTCGATACTCGTTGGCAGGCGAAATCAAAATGCCGTCAGTCAGAAGCCCAGTCATGATCTTGCATTAATTTGTATACAAATGGAGAAAATTAAATTAAACTATTCTTTTTGACTGGAATATACCTATTATTCGATTTAACGTAGGGTAAAACTTTCATATGATAATAAAAGGACACACTTTGTTCAACTTTCTCAAAACTTTCACATTAATTCATTGACAAGGAGACACTATCTATCTTTCGTGGAAATCTCTTGACGATGACAACTCACCCGCTTCTCTGGTAGTTCATTGTGGCTCATATCAGCAGCTCCAAGTCCACCTCATAAAGATTCCATCCAATCGATAAGCCCTGCCCAGAATTGCCCCTTTTCAGCTACCTCCAGTTAGCGATTTGATGAGGGTTTCCATTGATTTCCCTGCTCCTGGATAGATAATTTCCCGATTGAAACAAAAGCATATTGCGCATGCTAGATTGATCGCCCACTTGTTCGAAACCCTAAAAAAAAGGCCAAAGAAATTGAAATCCTTTCATTCACATTCCGCTGTTTTTTGGCTACCCCTTTTTCAGTTCAATTCGCAGAATAAAGTTGTTGAAGAATCGCTATTTATTCAAACCCTATTCTCCCTTTTATACCCATATTTTTGGGGAAAATATAAAATTTAAAATTTCCCGCATGACTGGTGAGCCATTTTTTCGGTCTTGTTATAAAATCTTAGCGCATCAGGTGCCATCACGTGCATTGTGCGTAATAATAGCTCCTTAATTCTTCATTCAATTTCAATCAGCCATGGATCCTTGAGTGGAAGCTTACATCTCTCTTCCCACGGATAACAAAAAAACGTTTGTTATTTGATGATGACTAAAAGGCCAAAGGTGGAAGGTTAACGATCTTCCAGTTTCAGAGCAACGAACTCGCATAATTACAATGGAATTTATGAACTAGGGGAGATAGTATTAAAATAGAGTTCAAAAAGGGAACCAATAAATTCATAATAATAATAATTAATAAGTGCCTTAAAAATATATTTGCTGCTATTAACATTTTCCTAAATATTTACATGCAGGAAATATATTTAAGGACAACTTTTACTTCAATTTCTTTGCAGTAACCATTTCCTGTTTATTGAAATAGATATTTTTAAGACCTTAGACATAATCTAATCAAAGAGAGTTACCGCTTCAAATGCCACTATCTGCGCATATCTAGGACTCTTGCCGAATACTTTTAGCCGGAAAAGTGGGACAAGTTCGGTAAGACGTCGAAGATTGCTTATCGTGTGCCGGGAAAGTGAAAACATAAACACATTTTGCCGTAGATTTTTGCAGAAAATGTGTAAAATTTCTCAGCATATCGGAAAACGAAATCGGAAACTTTTGCCAACAGTTCTTCGGGCGTGAGAATTGTAACGCAAAGTACAAAGCCCCAGATCCCGAAATCGAATAATCTGCGTATGACATAATCTTCGGGGCTTATAGATGCAAACGAGACGTGGCCTGGTTTTCGGCTCTGAACGTCTTCCCAAAAACAAAAGGCCAGCAGCGAACAGGACATCCTACTTAACAGCAAAGAGCCGGGTTCAATTGTAAAAAAGGCAAACAAAAAGTCCTTAAGTTATGTTGGCTGGCAAATGTTGAGCGCGAAACAAAGAGGCTCCTCTCTCAGAATCACAAAAGGACCTCAAATTCAGTCTCGAACTGAGGCAATGCCACTTATGCAAGGTCCAACTAGTACACGGAGAAAAAAGCTCAAGTATTAAAAGTGACAAGGAAAAGTAAACTATGACTCTAGCTCTTTTCTAAGTTTCGAATGAGGAACATAAGATTATCATATTTAAGAACTAAACTGCGCCACAATTCCATACAAAATTTCTCCCTGTGCAGGACACAACAATCAAAACTGAATTGGAAATGGAAGCAGCGACTTCATCACTTGTTTCCTCTCGCTCTCCTGTTGCATAAATAATCTCGGGGGCATTCAACAGTTTGAAACCGGAGAAGTTGGCGGAGAGCCTCGCATCGAATATCGGGTAGTAGTCGGCCGAATCTTGGAGGTGTGTCCCATTGTCCTGGCCGCGTTTCCGTGGCAGATTCGAATATGAAACCCATCGGGACTCCACCGCTCTGCGCTCTGAAGATTTGATTTTGCACGTGCAGGTCTGGGAACCTCGGAACCCAGGAGATCTGGTTGTCAAACCCGACAAAAGTTGCTCAACTTTCTGCCTGCATCTCCTCCCGACTTGCGCAATTCTTTCCAAGGATATTCGAGCACTTTAATTTCATGTTTGGGATTGTTCGCATGATTTCTCAAGATCAGATTGCTTATCTGTGTCCCTGCCCCTGATTCAATTTGTCGGCCGTGTAATTATTGCGCTTTTCCTAGGCTGTTTGTCCTCTTTAGGGTCTAATAGTCCACTTCCTGCCCTCGGGGATCTTGGGGTTCCATTTGCACTTCAGTTTGACGTGATTTGCGAGTCGCTTCCTGTGGATCTCGTTCCCGGGAAGGGATATTCGGAGTTATCTCCTCCTCCCCTGTCTGTTTGCACTTTTCTCGTTGGGTTTGACATGCTTTTTGCTTTTATGAACTTTGCCGTCTCGCTCCGGCGGATGTTGTTGGCAAAGGATTCCACTTCCGCACTTTCTGGGTGCATTTGCATATTATGAGCGCCAAAACCTCTGATTGTTGTCTTCTTGGCGCCAAAAGGGGTAATTGATGGTTGTCATCCGAGGATTTGGTTACAGTTTAGGGAAGAGCCCGCCAAAAGTGATCGCTATGCGTTGAATTCAATATCCACGGGTACGTGGTTTTCTGTTTACCTATTTTTGAGAAACTTTGCATCCTTTACTTTTTCTGATCAGTTGTAGCAGACATGTGTAAAACTTAACCGACACTTTCGGTGCACCAGATAGCGAGAGGCCATAAAACGGGAACAAAACGCTCGCCTAATGACATTTTGGGTCTTTCCCATCAAAAGTCTGGCGCGATTCATAATGACCAGAGCGCAGGGTCAGATGCAACACGTACATAGAAATAACCGAGGAATATGGTAGGCCATCCCTTCAAGACTTCTCTGCTCAATGAATTCGGAGCGTCGGTGGCAACTTTTGGGCCATAAAACGGAGCGGCGGGAATTTTCCACCTCGGCATGCAAATGAAGCGAATTTCCCAACTCCTCTCAACCCTTTCCCTTGGTTCGAGGAGCCATTAGCCGTGTGGCGTCTCAGCCTATTCTTTCGTCCCGTCGAGCAATTCATAAAACGCAGCGAAAGTGGCATAAAAATCGAAGCCATCCCAAACAGGAGCTACCTGCATTCTTCGAAGACAAAAAGGTGCTAACTCGTCATTAAGGGAATAATCGCTACCTATTCCCTAACTCCGTAAAAACCCTTTCGCTTTCGCTTTCAGTGCCGAAAGAACTTCGCTAAAAAGTCGTAAAATTTCCGCCGATTTTTATTCATTTTTTGTTTATTGGCGACCTTGAATGGCCGAAGGGTTGGCGGTGGGCTGTTACCTGATTTAGGTATGAGCTATGGACGGCAATATCCCGACCTGCCGCTGACTGCTGTTTCAATTCTTGTGGTGGATTTAGCGCTAATCCCCCGGATTAGCGACTCGCCGGCGTCCCGAGTTCATTAAGTAAGGGAGCTAATAGCTGCTCTCAATGGAGGAAAGGGAAATTACTCAGCCACCGAACTTCCTAAAGTCGTATATTCCTCAGCTTCAACTAGATGAATGATTTTTATTGCCTCAATCAAAGAAAGTTAGGCTGCGAATAATTGAATGATTTTGCTTAAACCTAAACTTAAATTTGTATTTTGTAAGCAAAATAAAATATAACTTTGCAGTTTCAGCTTGATTAAGCCTTTTCGAATTATGAAAACCAGTCAAAACGTGGGAAGATCTGACAGATGCAGCCTCTTCATCTGCATATTCATGAGTTCCCACAATTAAGTGTCTCCCACTCATCGAATGGTCAGCCAATGTCAAAGAATTGATATGTCATCGTCATCTGGTTCAGTAGAGCATCCTCCCCCCGAGGTCTGGCTAATGATCGGAATAGCAGGACACGCAAGCGAATTCCCATGCAGCCCACCTGAGCTGCAGGGTTCCAACCAACCACCCCCTACAAAGCAGCATCATCGCGAGGGGTTGACGAGTCCAATTAGAACGCAGTGCAACCCCCGGCGAGTGTTGATATCATGTCAAGCATTTTATTGATCAAGTTACGCATCCGTAATACGAATCGAAATATAATTGCTCTTTTCAAGTGTCTGTCATATATCAAATGAGTTGCATTTGCATCTCCGCCCTTCTGCCCTCTGCCTTCCAGTTCTGCGAGGACTGTTCCCACGTTCGAGCTCCTGGATCAGGATCATATGGCCTCGGGCGATGGTGCGTAATCGCACCAGACTGACGGGATCTTGCTTAACATTATTAAGTACGCGGCTGAGGCCAGGACCTCTGCACAATGTCCTTCTTTCGAACTCGCTGATCCCGAGTGCGAAGTGAAAAGCTTGATCTAGCAGCATCCCGATCTGCGTGCCTATTTCAGGCCAGTAATCCGTAATCTGCTTAAGCGGCGAGCTTAGTCCAGAAATCGGTGGGTCCTTCGGCAGGACTTGGCTGGTCCGCGAAGATTAGAGGCACTGGCCACTTGAATCCTGAAGGCTGAAGGCTCTCAAAAGGCAACCAATAATCTGGCTTACCAGAGGGAGCTGCTCTCTCTATCCGGCGTGCTCCCGCTTTAAGATAGGTCTTAGTGGAACTATCCTTGTAATCGTTTGATTTTTTAATACACACAATACTGCAAAATATTAGTAGTCAGAAATAATTTTCAACTTATTTTATTTCTGTCAAGCTGAACTCACTGTTTCATCATATAAGGAGTTAGAATGTTACAAGACATAATTAATGTAATTTGAAATATGAATTGGATTGTCAAGGGGTTCAGGGTAGTTTATATTACAGAGTCTTATTTTTAACCATAAGTAGCTATGACCTTAAATTTTTTATACAGTTTTGAATAAGTTCAAGAGTACGTTATTATAATAAATGCTGACGAAAGCAGCATACAACTATATTAGTTGTACACTTTAAATATAAAATAATGCGTCTTACAACTGAATACACAAACAATTATAATTTGAAGTTCTTAGCAAGCCATAGAAACCCAATTTGAGATCTGGTTTTTCAATTTGATATCTATCAAATCTGTAATTTTTCGTTCCCCCAAAACATTCATTCGCTTGCATCATAAGAACCTAATTACTGAATGGAAAACAATCAATAGTGCGCGCTGCTCAACCCCTGCTGGCATCGCCACTCGAAGGACTCGCCGTGGAAAACTAGAGGCGAACCCACAGGTACTTCACACAAATCACAAAGCGGCAATAATGGCAGCGCCATAAAACTCGGCCATGGATGCGGAGGGATATGGATGGGATGGAGGTCCCCGCCGCTGTCTTCATTAACAACTGTCGCACAGGACGAGCAGGACTCTCTCCGCGGAGAGAGGGTAGAATGGGACTCCGGAGAGCAGGTAGCGAGTCCTGCGGAAAAGGCAATAAAACCCAGCAGTTGAGAATGAGCGACGGCTGCTGCGCTCCTTGCTCAATGAATTTTTCGCAATGGCAGCCTGCCGCAGGATCGAAGGATTCTGCGGGCGAGAGCGAGAGAGGGCGAGCGGGAGAGCGTTAGAAGCAACCCTCAGCCGAGGTTTCGACCAATGAACGCGGCCTTCCGCTACCTAAGGGTGATCGCCTGCTCGATGAATGGATTTCGGCCGGGAGGACTATTAAAACGCCGCCGGTCCTCAGAGCAGACAACACAACCCATCGTGATCTCAGCGAGTCCACTTCGGAGTAACCAAGGATATATCGAATATATCACAAACGCCGCAGTCGAAACCACAACCGAAACCCGTACAAAACCAGAGACATTCGTGCTTAGTGCCAAGTGCCAAGTGAAACCAAATTTGTGCAAGCCCCAAAGTTTTCAAAAATCGCCAAGATTACGCCCCACATCGGTATGCAGTCTTCGGAGGGTTCGCCAGATATGATGGATCAGAAGTACAACAGCGTGCGCCTCTCGCCAGCGGCATCAAGTAAGTATATCTAAAAAAAGAAAATAAAATGGAGAGAGTAAAGGAAATGATGTTCCTGACTTGAAAACTTTAAGAAACCCTTTACTTACGAAAACTTTTCCCTTGCTTTTCCAGGCCGCATCTTGTACCACGTGCCCTGCAAGGTCTGCAGAGACCACAGCTCCGGCAAACACTACGGCATCTACGCCTGCGACGGCTGCGCCGGATTCTTCAAGCGGAGCATCCGCCGCTCCCGGCAGTACGTGTGCAAGTCCCAGAAGCAGGGCCTCTGCGTGGTGGACAAGACCCACAGGAACCAGTGCCGCGCCTGCAGGCTGAGGAAGTGCTTCGAGGTGGGCATGAACAAGGACGCAGTGCAGCACGAGCGGGGCCCCAGGAACTCCACCCTGCGGCGCCACATGGCCATGTACAAGGACGCCATGATGGGAGCCGGCGAGATGCCGCAGATTCCCGCCGAGATCCTGATGAACACGGCTGCCCTGACAGGCTTTCCCGGAGTGCCGATGCCCATGCCTGGCCTTCCGCAGCGACCCCATCATCCTGGCCACCTGGCCGGCTTCCAGCCTCCGCCTTCAGCCGCCGCCGTGCTGGATCTGTCCGTTCCGAGGGTGCCGCACCACCCGGTGCACCAGGGCCACCACGGCTTCTTCTCGCCCACCGCCGCCTACATGAACGCCCTGGCCACCCGCGCCCTGCCCCCCACTCCCCCGCTGATGGCCGCCGAGCACATCAAGGAGACCGCCGCGGAGCACCTGTTCAAAAACGTGAACTGGATCAAGAGCGTGCGCGCCTTCACCGAGCTGCCGATGCCCGACCAGCTGCTGCTGCTGGAGGAGTCCTGGAAGGAGTTCTTCATCCTGGCCATGGCCCAGTACCTCATGCCCATGAACTTCGCCCAGCTGCTGTTCGTGTACGAGTCGGAGAACGCCAACCGCGAGATCATGGGCATGGTGACCCGCGAGGTGCACGCCTTCCAGGACGTGCTCAACCAGCTGTGCCACCTGAACATCGACAGCACCGAGTACGAGTGCCTGCGGGCCATCTCGCTCTTCCGCAAGTCCCCGCCGGCGGCCAGCTCCACGGAGGACCTGGCCAACAGCTCCATCCTCACGGGCAGCGGCAGCCCCAACTCCTCGGCCTCGGCGGAGTCGAAGGGCCTGCTGGAGTCCGGAAAGGTGGCGGCCATGCACAACGACGCCCGGAGTGCGCTGCACAACTATATCCAGCGGACGCACCCCTCGCAGCCCCTGCGCTTCCAGACGCTCCTGGGCGTGGTGCACCTGATGCACAAGGTGTCCAGCTTCACCATCGAGGAGCTCTTCTTCCGCAAGACCATCGGCGACATCACCATCGTGCGGCTCATCTCGGACATGTACAGCCAGCGCAAGATCTGAGCAGCCGTAGGATATAGCATCGCCGCACTCGAAGTGCCTTCCAAGTGCTGGGAACTGTGATAATCTCGGAAGAAGCGCCTTGGACAATACTCAATCAGTGACCGCTCGCTCATCTCCAGGAGTCGAGCCCTAAAGAACACGAATACCTTATCCGATCCGAAAGCGATCCTCGCTAGAGTCTTCTAGACCATCCAGATGTGTTTCAACTGCATTCGCACAAGTTTCAACTTTGCCTGTTACATTCGTAGCCTAGTTATAAACGATTTAGTCATAAGTGCATATCACTAGCTTTAAGATTAAAAAAATAAACCTAAAGGTTTTTCAAACGAACATTTACTTGATTTTTTTGGGAGTGGGAAAGTTTTGGGATGATTGGATACAACTTATAAATCGACTCTTTATCAACAAAGAGTCATAATGGGACTTCAAAAAATTATTATAAACATGAACTAGAAAATATAGTTTCGTTAAACGTCGAATTAAAAACAAATTTTAATTATGTTTTTAGTTTTGTTATTTTCTGAGTTTGTCTTTCATCAGCAAGGGATCACACCAAAAAGGATTAAATCGGCTGAAAATGAAAGAGCGTCTTAATTTTTTACTCAGACTACGATTTGTTTGCAATTACCGCTCGCAGCTGAAAGTGTTATTCCAAACATGGAATCACGAGATTACAACTGAATTATCATACTTTTTTATGGCCATTTCGTGAGGCTTTTCGTGTCTTTGGAGTCGTCTGAGGAGACCGCACAGCCCGCCCAGTTAATCAGAAATGAATTATGCAAATACGGGAACAAAGAAACGTTGGATCGCAGAAGGAACCGTGAAAAATTAGCATAGTTTTTCCGCATGAGCAGCCCAAAGTCGGGATTATTTTGGGAACCTCGACGGATTGCAATGGCCGCCCCAGATTTGATATCCTTTCTCTCGCCCCGAATTCGAAAAGTTAAAAAGCAAAATTCACTTTTGTGACTTTGTCGAGCGGCGTTGGATCGGTGGACTGCTGCCAGGGACCGGGGATCGTTCTCCCGGAGGGACAATTGAATCCTTTCACAATAGCCAACCGACGTGCAGCCGGAGCCAAATGAGTTTTCGTTGGCGAAGGCTGAACAAACAGTTGCCAAATTGTTCGAATTGCGTTGGCCAAAGTAAACAGAGATGAGTACATTCCACTGACACACATCCTCCTCGACGAGGATGTGCAAAAACCTACCCTAACCTACCCGAGAGTCCGCAGTCCAGAGCCCAGAGCCCAATTCCCAATTCCAGTCCAACCACGGCACCCAGAACATCCTGCGGGGATTGGCATTGGGATTGGGATTGGGAATTAAGCATGCTTCGTTGGTGCTGCCATTTCGACTTTCGGCAAGGACCTTGTGTGCCGGGTTCCCGGTTCACTCGGATGCTGTTGAACCCGGGGTAACAAATTGTGATATTTCTATTTCCCCGCGCCGCTGAGCCCTTTTAAGTCCTAATGGCCCTTTATTATCTGCCTTTAGACTTTTAATAGACTCAGGCACCAGGCACCAGGACAGGAACACATAGCAGCAGCAGCACCCAGGTTCTTTCACTGGATGTGTGCTGGCCTAATCCTCATCATTCTGTCATCAGTGACGTTTTCTGCACATTGTTGTTTCGCCATTGTTCGCTTCTTCATTTGCAGTTTCTCTTGTGTTTTTTGCACTCTCGGCGAGCAAAGGATTTTCGCTTTTTTCACTTCTTGATTTCTATAATGTCCTCGGACGAGGGACCATCTTTGATTTTGCCTCGAAAGTAACTCTTTAAGTTTGTAAAAAAGAAACCATTTATAACCACACTTTATATAGTTTTATTAATAATTTAGTTTTTAAATTACTTTTTAGATAAATGTAAAAATATTTTATTTTACACATGCATCATAAAATAACAGAAATCTTGATCTTTATAGAAACTCTCCAATAGAGTCAAATTGTAATCTGCTTTCGCAGTATTCCCCTCACAGATTTAACTACTTACGATCCATCTGAAGATCGAAACCGACTTGGACTAGGACTTGGACTATCTCAGGGACTAACTTGTGCCTCAGCTGAACTGCTTTAAATCCGCGAGCTTTACCTGGCGAAAAGAGGTGGGAACTGGCTCATCTGGGCCAAATCTCAAGTGGCCGCAGGAGTCTTAATTCCGGGGAAATTCGGAACAAGTAAGCGGGAAGCTGGGGATTTCGTGTGGCCCGTTTAATTCATAGATTTTCGTTGATTAAGTAATCCCGCGAGGGCTCAATGGAGGCGACGGTGTCCCGATCCCGATTAGCGCAGTTCGCGTAAGCGGCTGTCCCGATTCCGCACCCAAGGGCAGGTGTGGGTTAACCGGTAACAGGTTAAGGGTTTCGCAAGCTTAACCAACACAGGACTTCTCCCGCTCTCGCTTTCGCTCCCTTTCCCTCTCGCTCTCACTCTGATCCTTATCCAGGCGCAATTACCTAGCGAAACAAAAATATGAGTATGCAAATAGATTTTAATGGGCAGGATTACCCTTTTGCTAAATGCCCAAATCCTGGCCGGGCGGTCCGCTCGCCGCAGCTCCTTTGTTTTCAAATGTAATGAGAATGTCTCTAAGCCAAAATATTAAACATCCGTTTGAGCCTGGCCAGCAGATACACCTCGCAAATCCGGCTTCCGATTGTCCTGGTTGTGTGTACCTGAAGTCAGGACGTCTCTCATTCCTTCTGCGGCAAGCAAAAGTCAAAGCGGCAGCCCGGGCGGCGTTGTTTTTGTAAATTGAGTAGCTCGATTTATCGCCAGATCAATTTCCTATATCTGCCGCCCAGATAAGCGGGTATGCAGTCGTTTCTGTGGCTTACGCACTGCCAACTAAGCCTGCTTTTGGGCCTGGTTCTGGTCTGAGCCGTACTTAGTTCCCCTAAGTTCTGCTTAACTTACTTTAGTGGGCAAATGGCAAATATTCGGCGGAAAATTCTACGGAATTCTTTGTATTTGCATACACATCCGTGGCGGCATTGTCTTTGACGCTTAGTCGCATAATTTGTCAGACAAAACGGTCAGAGGGAAAAGGGGCAATGCACAGAGAGAAACTAAAATATTACTTATATTATGTACTTTTTTTTATATTGTTATTCCGGTACACTGAAATATCTGCGACTTTTAAGATTCATCGAATTGAATACATAGAGCAAAGCAGCTGCTTTTTAGGGGGAGAGGATGCCTTAGATCAGCAGAGTGATCAATGCTATCCTAAGCGATTAGGACAAGGACATCACGTTGCAGGATCATCGAGGCGTGGCCTCATCCAAGTACTTTTTGCACTGGTCCCTCCATTGTATCTGCCCCTTTTTTATGCCTCTAAGTACTTGATGCCCGAGTCTAAGTCCCTGGAAATCTGTGCACATCCTTTTGATTGTTGCCATCTGAGAGCGGGACAATAGCCGTGGTTTCTGCGACGAGTGGACCTCCTGGAGGTGAGAAAATATTAAGGGCAAATCCGCTGAGCCGCCGAGCCGCCGAGTCGCCGAACAATGTCCTTAAAAAATCTCGAGAGCAACTTGCGTTTAACCTCAAGAAAGTAGCAATTGCCCGCATTATTTCGATGATCGAGGGGTTCTTTTGTTCCGCGATAGAGTTCACTGGAAACTGCGTTTACATCGTACATGTCGACGGACTAACAAGTGTCATACGATCTGCGACAGTTTTTTTTTTATCGATCGGAGGGCCGCAGTTCAAGGACTTGCAATCAAAAGCTGGACCACCGCGAATGCTGCATCTTGTGTGTTCCTTCTGGGTCTTAAATTAATAGGGGTTCGTTCTCTGAGAAACTTTCGCTGCAGCCGAATTGACGGCGGATCTGTCTAAAGTATTTCGAAGTCGGAAGTGGTGGAAGCTGCATCTGCGGACGGAGTTTCGCCTCCGGGCGGAATCATTGCGCAGCCTGCTAATTGAATTTGTTGCCTTTTCATTTAATGTTTTCTTTGCATAACAAAGCAGACCGCTCGATGGCCTCCGGCTCTTCGAAAACCGATTGCGTAGATAGTTTTCGACGGGGTTGTACCTTTCCTGGAAAAATGGCGGCCAACCAGCATTTAAAGGCGTTGCGTATCATTTAATTAAGCTGTCGCACGAAGCTCTCCCACCTTTGTGTTTCCCGGCTGGAAAAGTTCGAAACTTTTCAACTTCCGGTCAAGAAAGCAGGTGGCGGTCATCAGGTGCATCCCCGGAATGAAGCCATTACTGAGGGGTCACGCGATGTCCCCCGGCTAACGGCTAACGGTCCTGGGAACTTATGAACTCTTCGGGCTCGGAGTCGACCAGCCACGGTGAAAAGTGAAAAGCCGTCGCGTCATCCTAGGCGATGGGAGGCCATATGTCATCATAACGAGGCCCGAGTTCCGATCAACCCTGAGTGGGCCACTGAACTAACTAAAACGGTAAGCATGCACCGGAATAAAAATTAATAGTCCTTAATGCAATCAAAAATTAAAGAGAAAACATATAAATGAGTATCCAAATATGTTTACTTAGTTTGAGATAAAAGTAAAACGAATTTTTCAAAAAACCTGACATAAATTTGAGTTATATTTAGGGAACATTGGGCTTTTCTTATAATTTACCTTCTGTCTCGGGTTTTGTAAAAAATCGTTACATTTTTCACCACTTTTCGCTGTTATTGCTCTCAAGAGCACCGCTCGAACCTTCGAGGTTCGATTCGCAGTGTAACCGAGGGTCCAACAACCCTGCCCTCGCATTCCGCAACAGTTCGACGAGAGCTCGGCAAATATTGAAACAGCTCGCAGGAAGGACCTGGGGGAAGGGACGGGGAGAAGGACTTGCCACTTGAGAAATGTAACAAATCGACTTTGACAAAGCTCGGCATCAGCCTCAAAAACTCGACCTCAGCCTCAAAAACTCGACCTCGATCTGGGAAAACGCGAATTCAGCAAACAGAAACTGTCGCTTTCGGTTCTCGATTCGGTTTTGAGTTGTCGGTGGTTCTGGGCCCTTGGAAAGTTGTGAAGTGGCCACTTAACACTCGAAATCGGGAACGAGCTTGCTACACGTCACTCACACCAGCGCCTCATTAGAGTTCGCTCCCAGGATGCGAGGATGTTTGTGCAGGATGCGTGGAGCGCCTAAAACAAAAGGGGTAGTTAACCATTCCGAATCGCCAGCAAACTGCAACAAGGAGCAAGTTCCAGTTCGAAGCTGAATCGGGATATTGGCAAACCAATTTTCGAGGGCTTTTGTTTCGCTGAACGACGCGAGTAAGCCACAAAGGATCAACAATGCTCGAGAATTATTTGTAGGACCA